GTCAAAGGACCATTATAAATGCTTGCGTATATGAGGACTAAGAATAGGCATGTTCCGCCTTGGTCCCCAGGTAATAGAACTGGCAGATAGGCACGTGTTCTCGATACCCTTCTACATTTTTCCATATCCGGAATTAATTCTCAGCGTAGGGCAAAAAAAAAGAGATGAACATACGCGAGCCCGCTTCCGTCCGCATGATTTGCTGCCGTCAATAAATGATGCATGCATTCACAGCCGCCTGCTATGCGGATAGTATGTTCAAGACGTGTGCTTCGATAAATCCTATGTTCAGGGGCGTACTAGAATCTAATCTAGTGATATTCAGAATAAGGAATACATTTTTAATATTTTTTTTTATTTTATTCACAAAATATACACACACACAATATATATACTGAGAAATAAGAAACGTATGTTTATCCCATTTTAATAATTTTTGACATATACAGGGTGTCCGCAAAGTTGGGGTTTTCCTTTTCAGAAACTACCCTTGAAATAACAAATGTAATGCGTAGTGAAACGAGGGCGACCAAGTAAAAAAAAATAAAGGAAAAAGTACTCACTCTCCAGTTGTCGAGAAGGGCTGAGTACGTCTCTGCCCGAAATCATACCGCTCCAACAGAAAATGAAATCAGCTGATGCGGTACCGAGCAGACGCAGAAACCACATTGATTGTCTTACACTTAATGGCACATCTTCTAACAAGGAAGGCAAAATGTTGCGTAAAAAGTATAGGTATTGCATCCCGTAAAATCGATTTGGGAGAATAAATGGTCCAATGAACATAGCGTTCACCATGCCAGCCCAAACATTCACCGAAAATGTTTGTTGAAAATGTGCCCGACGGACAGCGTGCGGATTTTCTACTGACCTAACATGAGTGTTGCGAAAGTTATTCACCCCATTACGCGTGAACGTAGATTCGTCTGTCACCAATATGCACTTCAAAAAGTCCGGATTATTGTCATGTTGATGCAACAACCACTCACAAAACCGCACTCTTGTTGGAAAATCGTCAGGTTGAAGGGCTTGTACACGTTGGACGTGAAACGAATACAGCCCCTCTTCACGCAGTGTTTGCCACACTTTAGTTTTTGATACTTGCACTTCTCTAGCCACGTCTCTAGTGCGTGTTGAGGGATTCTCGTCTACGCGATTACCTCTACACGCGTGACCGTAACCGTCGGTTGAAGGTTGCATACTGACCTGACACACTGACCCCGATCCAGTTCTGTCGTCGGGTTGAGCCAGTGACCTTGTACCAGTCGGTGATGTCGCGGCTACAGGACGGTATTCAGATATTTTTGATGTTGCAGAGCCCTTTATCTCGGTTCCCTTAAGACATTGGTGTATATGGTACTAAGAAAAATTGCTTATGTTTTCAAGATCTACACGTCGTGTAAAGGAAAACCCCAACTTTGCGGACACCCTGTATATATATGTATATATAGAAAATTATCATGCGGAGAAAGGTATATAACAAAAATAGGAAAATAATGGGCAAAATCCGCAAAAAGTGGATTCGAGCAGAAAATAGGATAGGTAACCCGAGCGATACGTATTTCTGCTGGTTGGCTTCATCAGGCCCGAATGAAATTGTTGTGGACTTCGTGTGTCAATGTTGGCATAGGAAGTAATAAATGCTTTTATCCTTTGATAATACTAAATATAATTTGTCCCCTTTAATGTGGTTAGTCACGATCTTTTTATGTTGTTTTTCTGTGGCCGCTGATTAGATTTTTGTAATGGTTTGTAGCAGTACATGCTTTAATAATGCTACTAATAGGTTTTGTACACTGTTCAAAAATTTACGAATTTTTTCTTGTCCAATTTTTTCAATCTCATTTCCATACTCTCTCGAAAAATATCAATGCGACCAAGTTCAGGAATCTCAATCCCTGTATAATGAAACTTAGAAACATCGAAACCACAAATTGGCTACAGGCTATATGGCTATTAGAAATAAAAATTAAAGTTCTATTAGCTGATTTTTCATCGAGAAGCATTCAAAAACGTTCTCCAACACATGAGCAAAATAACGAGCATGAAAAAAGCTGTAAACGATTTAGTTTGACTGTTACAAATGTAATTTTGTCTAATGGCCGTATCGTCAGTCCTTCCTACAATAACTGTAGGACGCCTTTATGGCCCACTTGATTTTTTCAGTCTTGTCTCTCCTTCAGAAAGGCTGGGGTATTTCCAGAATTCTACTGTTCCGTGTCAGCGTCAGCGCCCTCCTGTTGTGAAGTTATGTTGCCTTTTGAATTGTGGGGAATTTCAGAATGATAAAACAGATGATATAATCAAGAGCATGGACAATTTAATGCAAATATATATTTGTGACATAACCTCAAAAAACAGGGCTGACACGGAACAGCAGAGAACTATGACTATAAGAATAAGAGCGTCTACAATAAATTGTAGGAACGACTGACGCTACGGCCGTTAGTGATAAATACACCATTACTAGTTTTTACATAAGTATTACAAAAAAATAGTAAGACTCAAATACGTAACGTCAACCTTTCATCACACTACAAGCTGATTACATCTCGTCCATCTAATTCATCCCGTTTATTGTTCCTAAAAAGTAAAAATATACATACAAAGACCTCAAGAAAAAACAGAACAATGTGTCACGCTTTCATTGGTACTAAAATGAGTTGACTAATACCTGAATATCCAATATGAATAGGATTTATTCTCCACAAAAAACCGGGCAAAAATACGAAGTACGAATGTGAACATTACGATAAGAAATAATCTGCTACATAGAAGAGGTTTTACTTTATTGGTCGAGCGTCGACCAATACGATTATCGTTTGAAAAATATGTGCGCGTCTCGCATCTATCGTGAACAAGTAGGCGGGCGTTCAACTGTTTTTTCGTAGTTCACGGTTATTTGGTTCAATTCGAGATTTGGGATCAGGGCGATTTTTACTTCGTGTGCCAACTGATGAGAAAGTATTGTAATCGTAAAAATAATACACTTTGGATGGTATCCGAGGGCGCCTTAATGTTTAAAATACTCACAATTATACAGAGTGTGCCCAAGATCAAAAATACTTATTTGTTTTAGGTGGAAGGCCCCCTACTTTTTATTACACACTAGGATAGATCCTTTTAAAACAAAAATATTGAAATAATATTGATGGGTTTTGATTATTAGTTATTGGGCTATTGGGTATTTTATCTAAAAAAAAACACCAAAGTTTGACTATGAAGAAAAATAGCTTAAAGATCAACTTTTCCAATGGTGAATTCGTTTTTTTCAAATAAAAAATTCCATGTGCGTGAAAAAATGTGGGAACCCTATTTTTAAAACAACCCTCGTTGTTAGAATTTCGCAGATTTGACCACGGCCATAACCTTCAAGGTTATGTCAAGGTCAAATCACTTCTTTTCGATTAGACATTAGACACATTTCACATCGAAATATGTAGATTGAGCCAATAATAAGTCATGATCATGACCTTCAAGGTTACGTCATGGTCAGGTGAACTGTTTTGAATGGAAAATAATGATACTGTTGATATCGGACGTGATAAAAGTCGATCAATGGGTCCGGAATAATCCGAATAATATGAACAAGTTTGCTTGATATTCAGTGATTTTTCGGTGATGGTTCCAATTGTTCCATCGTTGTTTCATTACAAGCTACTGTAATATGTTGACATATTTGACACAGTGGATTTTTATAGCCATACGAGCACATATACAGGGTGTCCGCAAAGTTAAGGGGTTTTCCTTTACAAGACGTGTAGATCTTGAAAACATAAGCAATTTTTCTTAGTACCATATACACCAATGTCTTAAGGGAACCGAGATAAAGGGCTCTGCAACATCAAAAATATCTGAATACCGTCCTGTAGCCGCGACCCGCGACATCACCGATTGGTACAACTGGGTCGGGGTCAGTGTGTCAGGTCAGTATGCAACCTTCAACCGACGGTTACGGTCACGCGTAATGGGGTAAAATTCGCACGCTGTCCGTCGGGCACATTTTCAACAAACATTTTCGGTGAATGTTTGGGCTGGCATGGTGAACGGTATGCTCATTGGACCATTTATTCTCACAAATCGATTGGACGGGATGCAATACCTAGACTTTTTACGCAACATTTTGCCTTCCTTGTTAGAAGATGTGCCATTAAGTGTAAGACAATCAATGTGGTTTCTGCACGATGGTGCACCGCCCCATTTTAGACGCGAAGTGCGTGAGTTTCTGAATAAATTATTCCCGAATAGGTGGATCGGACGTTATGGACCCGTAGCGTGGCCTCCGCGATCTCCAGACTTAACACCATGTGATTTTTTTCTTTGGGGAGAAATGAAACGCTTAGTGTACAAAACTGAAGTGCATACGGTTGACGAACTTCGTCTCAGAATTGAACAAGCTGGTGCTTTCATTCGGGGGAGAGACTCCATTCTCAAAGCCTGCGTCGATGCTTGGCTACGTCGTGCACGCATCTGTGTTTTTGAATCAAACGGCGATAACTTCGAACAATACCTATAAAGTACGTTTACCTAAAAACAACGCCGTCATATTTGTTACCTCTATTCTTTTTATTTGGTCGCCCTCGTTTCACTACACATTACCTTTGTTATTTCAAGGGTAGTTGTTTCTGAAAAGGAAAACCCCAACTTTGCGGACACCCTGTATTTGCTTGAGATGAACCCTGCTCAGCTCACTTATTATTGTAAACTTTTCGTGTAAAGTGAATGCACGGTACGCACTTTTCGACATGTTTATAACTCTAATAATTCTGATTCCCGGAAACAAAAGTAGTGCTACGCCGTTGTCCGATATGTGATTGTGGCGACCTTGACCCGCGAAATTGACCTAGACTGTCCATTTACTTTCATGGAAAGGGATGGAACGTCGTTCCATTACAACATGTCAGTTTTCCACACAGTATGTTTGTAGTGCTGGCCACTTTAAACAGGCCATTAATAGTAATTGGGAGTTGCACGCAATTGTGGAAAATTGGTTAGGCTAGGCTTTTTCCACGGATTGCGCGTCCAGTCGCTGGTATTTGCCGTTGTCATTGATAATTCATGGGCTCGCACTCAACATCGTTCGTGGTGGGTAACGAGCTACTTGAAAAATTCGTGTAATGATATCTATTGCTAAACAAATAAATGTCGCGGTCTACGGTGGCAGGTATTGTAAAAAAGTATAGAGACAACTCAAGATTGCAACGTTGCTTAGGGCCTATTTGACTGACTTGATCCATTGAATTTCTTTGTTATACATGTCCTCTCAGAGGGAAAAATGTGTGCTTGACGCTATCTTTTTTTTTTTGTTGCAGCGAGGCCTGTCGTTACAAGAAGGTGTTATGGAAAGAAGTACGAGTCGGCGACCTGATCCATCTCTCCAATAACGAGGTGGTGCCCGCGGACATTTTGTTGTTGAAAAGCAGCGATCCTAGCGGCTGCTGTTACATAGACACCGGACATTTGGACGGAGAGACCAATTTGAAGCAGCGGCAGGTTGCTAGGGGTTTTGTCGAGAAGGTAAACGGTGTTTAGATTTTTCGGAAACTCCGATTCAAATCTATTTAACAAGACCAGTTTTTGTATAAATTGCAGATTTTAAAGATTGTTTGAACAATGCATTGGTACATATACGAAAAATTGTCAGGAGTTTTGTTGAAAAGGTAGAGGAATGTCCAATTACGTTTGTATCCAGGGGGATGCTCCGGATCCCTCCGCGCGCTCTTCAATGTTCACCCCCGAGACATCTTCCTGGCCATAAATCCTGAGCCCTCACCCCCTCCCCATACAAAAAAAAACTTTCATATTCATCAGATGGACCCTATCCCAAAATATTTTCTTGATCCGGCCCTGCTTCAGACGAAATATTCCTTGGATCATTACAATACGCACTTTGTGAGCGTTCTCCAAAGTTAATTGTTTTCGAACTATAAGCGATTCAAAATATGAAAAACCCTAAAAACGGTCATCTCTAATCCTTAAAAAAGTTGGAAAAATCTAGTATTTTTGAGGTTGTCAAGTGTCTGAATTAAAATTTTGTTTGTTTGTTGAAGTTTCATTTAGCATGATTTTTGCTTGTACATTCTCTTAAAAAACTGCAACAATTACATAACATACAAATATTCAGAAAAACAAAACTTGCATCTCTAGAAGAATTGTCACTCACTGTTCATGAAATGTTCCATCTTTAAATTACAAGTGTACTTTACATCATAATTTAGTTTATCATATTCAAGTATGAAATCTTGAGAAATACATATTGATTTGCTAATTATATTTCTATTGCAATTTTGTAAATGAAAATTTACGTTTCCTCTTGTCTAATTGTGGTAATGATTATTCAATTCCAAGTAATGTTCTAAATGTGGCAAAATATTTATTTCAAATATGAAAATATGATTTTTTTTCGGCGGCTCAAGTGAAAAGGAAGCGCGAGGAAGATCGCAGATCAGGAACTCCGCATCAAGCGCGCTCCAAGCGGAAATGTTTCTAAGTAAAAAAGCTAGAGATGGGATTAATGATTTGCGATTCTAAAATGATAATCAAGAAGTGATTTAATAAATACAATCGGACGGTGAAACTGTTACAACTCAATGATAAATTTAGTACAATACTGTGACTCAACATTGTAATATGAATTCCAGCAAAGGATATTCGAACCGAGCAAGTTCCGAAGCACCATAGAAGTGGAAGCGCCGACGACGAAGATCTACAGGTTTCACGGGGCCATAGTTCATCCCTCGGGCGGTAGGGTGCCTGTTGGGACAGATAACTTACTTTTAAGGGAATGCCTCCTCAAAAACACTGACTACGTGGAGGGTATCGTCGTCTATGCTGGTGAGATAATTTATCAAGAAATTAACCTTTTTTGTTACAATCTTCTCGAAGTAATACCGTTTTATTTTTCGAGTCTTAGATGTTGCTATTACGATTATTAGGATAGGATGTGTCGTCTAGAAAATGTTTATCCTTGCTTCGATCTCTTCTTTAAGCTTTTTTTGGGTATTCAATGCCAATCAAGAGAAATAGTTTGTTTTGTTTGCATATTCGTAAGATCAAGAGACTATACAGGGTGTCCGCAAAGTTGAGGTTTTCCTTTACACGACATGTAGATCTTGAAAACATAAGCAATTTTTCTTAGTACCATATACACCAATGTCTTAAGGGAACCGAGATAAAGGGCTCTGCAATATCAAAAATATCTGAATACCGTCCTGTAGCCGCGACCCGCGACATCCCCGAGTGGTACTAGGACACTAGCTCAACCCGACGACAGAACTGGGTCGGGGTCAGTGTGTCAGGTCAGTATGCAACCTTCAACCGACGTTTACGGTCACGCGTGTAGAGGTAATCGCGTAGACGAGAATACCTCAACAAGCACTAGAGACGTGGCTAGAGAAGTGCAAGTATCAAAAACTAAAGTGTGGCAAACGCTGCGTGAAGAGGGGCTGTATCCGTTTCACGTCCAACGTGTACAAGCCCTTCAACCTGACGATTTTCCAGCAAGAGTGCGGTTTTGTGAGTGGTTGTTGCATCAACATGACAATAATCCGGACTTTTTGAAGTGCATATTGGTGACAGACGAATCTACGTTCACGCGTAATGGAGTGAATAACACTCATGTTTGGTCAGTAGAAAATCCGCACGCTGCCCGTCGGACACATTTTCAACAAACATTTTCGGTGAATGTTTGGACTGGCATGGTGAACGATATGCTCATTTTACCATTTATTCTCCCAAATCGATTGGACGGGATGCAATACCTAGACTCTTTACGCAACATTTTGCCTTCCTTGTTAGAAGATGTGCCATTAAGTGTAAGACAATCAATGTGGTTTCTGCACGATGGTGCACCGCCCCATTTTAGACGCGAAGTGCGTGAGTTTTTGAATGAATTATTTCCGAATAGGTGGATCGGACGTAATGGACCCGTAGCGTGGCCTCCGCGATCTCCAGACTTAACACCATGTGATTTTTTTGAAACGCTTAGTGTACAAAACTGAAGTGCATACGGTTGACGAACTTCGTCTCAGAATTGAACAAGCTGGTGCTTTCATTCGGGGGAGGGACTCCATTCTCAAAGCCTGCACCGATGCTTGGCTACGGCGATAACTTCGAATACCTATAATGTACGTTTACCTAAAAACTGAAAACGCGGCAACGCCGTCATATTTGTTACCTCTGTTCGTGGTCTGCACCACCGCCGGCGTCTGCTCGGTAGCGCATCAGCTGATTTCATTTTCTGTCGGAGCGGTATGATTTCGGGCAGAGACGTACTTAGCCCTTCTCGTCAACTGGAGAGTGAGTACTTTTTCCTTTATTTTTTTTTTACTTGGTCGCCCTCGTTTCACTACACATTACCTTTGTTATTTCAAGGGTAGTTGTTTCTGAAAAGGAAAACCCCAACTTTGCGGACACCCTGTATAGGGTGATTCACACAAAAATGAAACATCATACCCAGGACCGGATTTTAAGAGGGGTCTTTCGGGTAACATTTTTTCCTCGAGGGAGTTTAAAAATAAAGAACAAGTTTTTTTAACATCTTCAAAAGCGTGAACTGGAATGAACTAAAATTTTGTATGTGGATTTATTGTCCACATTCAAAAGTCTTTACTTAAAATTAACGTACAGGGGATTAGTCGCGTTATCTTAAAAAATAAAAATAGTACACGACTGTTTTTTTTTCGAATTTTACCTTCAGTTTTCTTCAATAAATTACTCTTGTGTTTTTTCCTGGGGTGCATTGCTTTCGCAACAGCAATGTTGATGTTTTAAAAGTTTTGTTTCGGACTAATGCCAGGAGGAAATAAAAACGACTTAGAGTAAATTCGGAAATACTTCGACTTTCTAAACTGTCCAAGTTCAATTTTTTTTATTTACCTATACAACTTGCCCCTTAAAGTACTCCGCGTCGAATATTTACAGGGCGTTCGAAAAATAGACAAAGATATTTTAGAGGGTGATTCCTTGTTAAAAAATATGAAAAAACGTACAGGGTGATATTTTTTTTATTAATATCTTATAAAGTATTTACTCGATTATGTTGAAATTTGGCAATATTATTTGTTGTATTAATAGGCCAATTTAGCCCTAAAAAGATTAAAATCATCCGGTACCAGTGGCGTCCCAGGGGCATTTTAGAGAATATTATTGGCAGAAAAAATGTATGCAACTGCCATTTTTGTAACTTTAATGTTTGTTTTTTGATTAAGCTTCGAAAAAATCAACTTATTTGCCTCTTTTTTTGTATCTCACGTCGTTTTCGAGAACAAAAATCAAACTGTTTTATTGCATGTCACTGGTTTATTAATTTTTGATAAAAAAGTCTTAAGTGCCTTGTAAAACAACAAATCCAAAAAAAATGCAAGAAAAGAGTATTATGAATTGTGTGAATATTAGACACAGATCCAGTTTCTTCAAATTTTCTTATCAACTTAGCCATATTAAATACTTATACTCATTTTTTTTGTCTGGATGTAACGCATGGATCACCCTGTATTGTGCGGCTATAGATGAGAAGACGTCCCCCTAGAATTCAAAATTGACGTTTCACAAATGCCTTGGAAAACAAAAATAAAGAAATTAGCCTTTTTAATACAAAAAAATATACTTTGAAGTTGAGTCATTAATTTTCAGATAATGATTGTAGAAGGAAGATAAACCAAAATATGTGTGTAAAAATAAAAAAAAAGTAAAAAAAAATGTTAGCTTGTTTTATAATCCTCCCGACAAGTATTTCAGTGCGGACCTGTATTTGTTCGTGCAGTCTTGAAGCACCGGCATGCCCTCCCCTGTGAGGTCTTAAGTCACCTGATTCACGAGCCCTTTGTACTACATTATTAAAGGCACGAGGGGTTGGTTGCACTCGATTAAATAAGAATCATGTCCACACGTTCAGCATTTTCGTAAACATGTGCCATTTTTTATTTCGTTTGAGCCACGCAACAGACACCACTATTCACTCGCGTTACCGACTGACACTGACTGAATACAACTGAATAAAATAATTGTAAAAACATCGTTCCAAATTCTTTCGCTTTTTTGTTTCCGATGCGATGAACCGATAAGGCGGATTATATCCGTTGTTGCCAAACACGAGCACATAATATTATTATTGAGACAGGGCGGTACTCAAACTTCTAAAGGGCTATAACTTTGTTAATTTAATTTTACCAGAAAAATGTTAAAGGAAAAAAACATTTCTTTTGATCAGATCTATTCACTGTTAAAATAAATGACTCAACTTCGAAGTCACCCTGTATATTGGCACATCTAGGAACGACAGTCGTCTGTACCCAACTACCCAAGTTTTTTTCATATTTTTTATCAAGGAATCCCCCTCTAAAATATCTCCTTGTATAAAGAGATGTGATATTTATTGACCGTGTAGGCTGGACGTGATACCAAATTATCGTATTTTCACCCTTAACTTTAATTTTCACCCTACACAAACATTTTAAACAATGGCTGCACAGAATCTCTTAAATTTAAACCGATCCGCGCCAATTGAAAAAAAGAGGCTTATTAGGAATGCGCGTAAAATAAAATTGTTAATGGTAAAAACTTGTCTGCTAATTACTAGTGACGAAACGTTAGGTCATTGTTAAGTTTCATTAACCAGAGACAGGATTTTACATAATGTTTTTTTTTCTATTTACACTCAGTTATAACTACAGTACGACACGTCGAGAGTTCAGCACTTAACTAGTCAGACCTTGATCGAAAATACTGATGACAGAATTACAGTTCGCTATAAAATTAATATTATGTGCCACTAATATATTCTTCATTGTGTAATAACTTTGATCACATCACAGCAAAATTTAATTTTGTGTAATTTTCCAGCAAAATGTATGCAGCATCCAAACACAAAAATGTTGATTATAGTCGAAATCACGAAAGATGACGATTACGTCATCATTTTAGTCTGTCAAACGACAGCGATTTGTGAATATTTTTAATGAAGTTTCAGACAGAGACAAACAGAATTTTATTGTCTAAAAAATACTGTATTGCTAATTTGCATGTATCCGATAAAGATAGACGATGTTTTCATGTTGCATGATCGATCATATTTGAAAGATGATTTGTTAGGTTATGTTAAAGCAGGTTAGGTTGTTTTCGAATAATACTTTGGTCTTTGGTGTTCCTGTCTAAGTGTGTATTCTACTCATAACTGTTTTTCAAAACAAAAACTCCCCACTAAAATTATTATTAAGGTATCACTTAAAACCATAAAATAAAAATAATCAGTGAAATAACCTAACTTCGCAAAATCATTATATAAATTTGTTGCCATTATGTTCCTAACATCGTGATTTTATCATCGACATACGTCCATTGATTTCTTCAGTACAATTTATGGTATGACGTAATAGTCATCTTTCGTGACTATGTGGTCAACATTGAAAAGATATCAAAACAGTCCTGTCGAGTCAGTTTTCTTGACATCCTCTTTCCCGCGTGTTTTCAGGTCACGAAACCAAGGCGATGCTGAACAACGGCGGACCTCGTTACAAGAGGTCATCTTTAGAAAAACAGATGAACCAGGACGTGATCTGGTGCGTGTTCATCTTGATTTTTCTGTGCGTCATCGGGGCGATAGGGTGCAAATTGTGGCTGGGCCACTACAAAGATTTAGCGCCCCCTTTCAAGGAAAACGATGACACCACGGAGGCTTTCCTGGCCTTCTGGACGTTCATTATTATCCTGCAGGTGAGACCCGACGAGGACGATGTCGTAAAAGTAGAGAAGCGTACCTCATTGACTCTGCATTGTTAGTTGTTTTGTTTAAATGGTGATGCAATCCGCCATCTTATTGCTTCTAAATTATGAATTTATGCAAAAATGTCAGGTCGTCCGGAAATAGTAACCTCCCAGATGTCACACGAGTCATTGATGAATAGTATGAACAATAGAGGGCCTAAATTAGAGCCTTGCGGTACTCCTGAAGTAGGAATAAAGCAATTTGATTGATGTACATTATACTTAACGCTGATATTTCTATTAGTTAAGTAGGAATACAGAAGAGAAAGAAAATTAATGCAGATGACATTTTTTTACTAGTGGCGTGCCACTTGTGCTTTTTTTAAACTTTTCTCAAAATTAATGGTGCTTAGGATATACGTTTATATGACGTTTTTTTCAAATATTGGCATTCCTAGTATTTCTCATGAAATCGGTTCAGTTCGTTTGGTATAAATATTTGATTCAACTTTTATTTTTGTTGTTGTTGTTGAAGATTTATTTAGCATTAATGCTATATTGTCAATTTTGTATAATGATGCGGTTACATATTTTTCTTCAATCCGTTTTCTGTAATTTTACATTCTTGTCTATTAAAATTAAAATTACGTCACTATGTATTTTGATTATTCATAAGTGATTTTTTAATTTCACCTTAAACATTTTTAAATTCGAACTCTGTTTAATATTAAATTCAAATACTCCCTTTTGAAATATAGATTTACTAGCTATACTACTATTACAATTTTGCAGATGAAAATCTATACTGCCTCTGGTTTCGTAGTTATGATAATGACTATTTAATTTTGTTAAGTTCTCTACATGTGGTGGTAATAAATGATTTTTTAATTTGAATATGAAAACGAGAACTAAATAATATATGAAATTTTTCACATCCAACCACTGCAGTTCCTCTAACATAGACTTAATCCTAGCATCTTTGTTTTTATTTAAAATGATTTTCATAGCTTTATTTTGTAGAATTTGTAATTTTGAAAATATGTTTTTATTTGCTGTAAACAAGATGGTTGAACAATATAAAAAATGGGGAAGAATTATAGTGTTATACACAATTTTTTTGGAATTCACACTAAGATTATGGGAAACTCTATAGAAGTAATTTATCTTTTTCGAAATTTTTGAAATAATAGCAGTAGCTTACTATCCACATATATACCAAGATATTTAAATGACTCGACTACTTTTTTCATCATTAATCATGAGCCTAATTGTATTCTCACCTAAATGTTTCCCTATTGACATACATTTTGTTTTATTAGTGTTCAGGTTTATTGACATTTAACCAATTCATAATTTTTTCAATATCACTATTTAACAGTTCTAAAGCAGTGTCCAAATGCTTGTGTGCTATATATATATAACTTGAGACGTGGTCATTGTCGTCTAGACCAGTTAGGTGAAAAATTAAAGCTTCCTCCTTTTGTTGTGTACTTCGACAAAATTTAAGCAAAGAGGACTCTTTATACTTTTTTTAATTCTCTCTAGCTTTCAATGGACTTTGCCATCATCATCAGGAGCTGCAATTACAATGATAACAGTAGCAACAAAAGTGTAAAATGAATTTAAATTGAATCAACTTACAGTAGTATATGAGGATGTTGCTAATTGTTGTTTTCGTATAGGATGAGGGAAACGTCCAGTAACATGGTGAGAGCTGGATACATGGTACAATGGTTAAAATTATATAAAATATGACAAGACAAGTTAAAGACCGATTAAAAATTATTTAGAAAACATTAGAGCATTACGTCGTGAAGCCACTTGATGATTGCACAAAATGGTGGTCATGGAATAATGAGTGAGATGAACCTTTGACAGAAGGCCGAAGGTTGTCAATGTCTGTCTTGAAAGATGGAACGAATTGTGGGCGTGTGCCAAAACGTTGCCAAATCACTTCAGATGATGTGATTTTCAGAATGTTATGTAAGAAATTGTTAAACCGACCAGAGGGAGTTGAATAAACTATATTTTAATTAATGGGAATTTTAAATTAAAAATTATTAATAAATCGTGAGAAGAGAATTATTAGATTTTGAGTGGAATGAAATTTGTTGGTGGAATCGGCCAAAACACAGATTATATTTATGGTTGGGAAAAGTCGAAATTTGGGGAGATATATATATATATATATACAGGGTGACTTCGAAGTTGAGTCATTTATTTTAACAGTGAGTAGATCTGATCAAAAGAAATGTTTTTTTCCTTTACCATTTTTCTGGTAAAATTAAAGTAACAAAGTTATAGCCCTTTGGAAGTTTGAGTACCGCCCTGTCTCAATAATGATATTATGTTCTCGTGTTTGGCAACAACAGATATAATCCGCCTTATCCGTTCATCGCATCGGAAACAAAAAAGCGAAAGAATTTGGAACGATCTTTTTACAATTATTTTCTTCAGTTGTATACAGTCAGTATCAGTCGGTAGTCGGTAACGCGTAAGTGAATAATCGTGTCTGTTGCGAGGCTCAAATCAAAAATGGCACATGTTTACGAAAATGCTGAACTTGTGGACATGGTTCTTATTTACGGGGAGTCTTTACAAAATGCTGCCGCGGCATCACGGATCTATGCGAATCGGTTTCCCAATCGAGTGCAACCAACCCCTCGTGCCTTTGTTAATGTAGTGCAAAGAGCTCGTGAATCAGGTGACTTAAGACCTCACAGAGGAGATCATGCCGGTGCTCCAAGACCACACGATCAAATAGAACTAGAAGAACAAATTTTAGAATTAGTAAGTGATGATCCAACAGTAAGCACCCGACAAATTTCAACTCAATTGGCGATTAGTCAGTATAAAACTTGGAAAACTCTACGTGAAAATCAGTTCTATCCGTTTCACATACAAAAAGTGCAGGCCTTACAACCGGAAGATCATGAACAAAGGGTTGACTTTTGCAATTGGCTTTTAAATAAACATCAAAATGATGACAATTTTTTAAATCAAATTTTAGTGAGTGATGAAGCCCTCTTTACTAGAAACGGAATTATTAATTCACGTAATTCTCACGTTTGGGCTATTGAAAATCCCCATGAAATAAGGGAAACCAATTTTCAACAGCGATTTGAACCAATCAACCTGTGGGCGGGAATTGTTAATGGAATTTTAGTGGGGCCTTTTGAATTACCAAATCGCTTAACTGGTGAAAATTATTTTGATTTCTTGCAACACAATTTGCCTGGTTTACTGGAAGATGTGCCTTTAAATATTAGACAAAACATGTGGTTTTTACAAGATGGGGCACCACCCCATTATGCAAGAAATGTGCGTGAATTTTTAAATAGACAATTTTATAATCGTTGGATCGGCCGTGGCGGTTTTGTACCTTGGCCGCCAAGGTCTCCGGACTTAAATCCTTTAGACTTTTGTTTGTGGGGTTGGCTAAAAACTCTAGTGTATAAAACACCGGTTAATACACGCGAAGAATTACGTGCTCGAATTGAGGAAATGAGTACAGTGATCAGAAATCAACCAGTGATTTTATTGCGTGCTTGTAAAGAGACATGGCTAAGACGCGCCCAGCTGTGCGTCGAGCAAAACGGAAATCATTTCGAACAGTTTTTGTGACATGCTTTTGGGCGCACAGGTCCGCACTGAAATACTTGTCGGGAGGATACTTTATAAAACAAGGTAACATTTTTTTTTTAATTTTTTTTTTATTTTTACACACATATTTTGGTTTATTTTCCTTCTACAATCATTATCTGAAAATTAATGACTCAACTTCAAAGTCACCCTGTATATATATATATATATATATAAGTGTATCGTCTGCAAATATTATATAAATAATAAATAGTAACGGCCCTAATTTACTCCCCTGTGGCATCCCTACTGATATATTTTGAACACTTGACATAATATTTCCAACTTTAGCTTTTTGACTTCTATTTTGTAAAATGTGTAATAGTGATCTTTTAAAGCCATAGTTTTTATCTGTCTCCATTTTTCTTCTCCAGTTTTATGTGATTACAATTTTCGGTTTATTTGTCTGTTTTAACCCAGTTAAAAGGAAAAAATTTATCAATTCAGGTAGCAACTGTCCCATTAGGAGATACCACTTGTGCTATTTAGATTACTAATTAGTAGTTTGTAGATTATAATAGTTAGTCTAGTCGGAGATATTTTAATTTCTTTAATTGCCTTTGTTTTCGTTTATAAAATATTATCTTTTGTTACAGATAATGATTCCTCTGTCGTTGTATGTAACGTTGGAGATGTGCAAGATAATCCAAGTATACCATATCCACCATAACGTTGATCTCTACGATTCTGCTGTGGACAAAAGGACTGAATGTCGTGCCTTAAACATTACCGAAGAATTAGGACAGATCCAGTACATTTTTTCTGATAAAACAGGTAAGATAACCGCTCCCGACAAACGTTTTAAGTTATCGTTACGTTATTTCAGCCACAAAATAGGTTAAAGGAAAACAATTAGAAATTCTCAAAAACGACTCGACCAATCTACTCCAATTTTGTTGTGGTTTTTTAGAAGTACGAATCCTACGAAAGTGAAGAAATTCAAGTGCCAAAACCTGCAGTTTGCCTCTGTTTTCGGCCATAACTTTTTCGCTATTAATCGAATCTTTTTACATATGGTCTCATTTTGTAGGTCTGATAAATACCTAAAAATCTTACATGAAGAGTTTTTTCGTTCCTTCCAACCCTTTCGATTGAATCCAAAAAAAAACACGTTTTTTCATTCTTTGTTGTCGAATAAAAAGTTTTCCCACAAAAATTTGGTGTACCCATTTTATGCGTCCCTGTTTGAACAACTTGCAGCCATAAAACCAGACTGTACAATTATTTCGTCTAATATACAGTTGGTAACCTATTGGTTAAAAATAAGACTAGCTGGTGAGGCACTTATCTATAGCCAAGTGTGTTAAAAAACGGCTTCCCTTTGTGGTAGATTTCTAAATTAGATTTTCGGTCAAATGTGAACGAGTATATTAAAAGAACACCATTTACAGCAAAAAAATATAGGTCAAAGATGCTTCAGTTACCTTTCCACTAGAGTTTCTGGCAAGCCATATAAAATCCATTTCAGTTAGAAATAAATTCAAAATTGAAATAAAAAAATTCTTGTTAACCAAAAATCGACATAAAATAGCAAAGCTCACTTCTATGAAAGTTATTTATGTTTATGTGTTGACATTAAATTTAGATTTAACTAAGTTTAACGAAAAAAAAATGTATGAATATTTTTTTTCCACGCACAAGAATTAAATTCTTCTGTGGACTATTTTAGTTTATTTGTGTATACAGGTTGTCCGCAAAGTTGAGGTTTCCTTTACACGACGTGTATATCTTGAAAAATAAACGGATTTCCTTAGTAGCTTATACACCAATGTCTTGAGAGAACCGAGATATTGGACTCCGCAAACCGAGGCCGGTCCTGTCCTATCCCTCGATCACGTCCACAGCGCCAGCGTACATTTATACGACGTACGACTATGATGTAAATACGCTAGTATGCAACCTAACCTAGATGCCGCTAGCCTGCACCGATGCTTGGCTACGTCGAGCAGGCACATGTGTCTTTGAATCCAACGGCGACAACTTCGAAAATACGTTCACCAAGAAAAAGTAACACCGACGTCATATTTTCAATCTCTTTTTTATTATTTTTGTTACATGTGCTCCTCGGAAAGAGCCGTACTTGGAATTTCAATTCAACTGAGCAGTGAGTACTTTGGCATTTATTTTTTTTTTCTCGTTCGCTCGCGTTTCACCACACAGTAGCTTTGTTATATCGAGCGTTGTGTCTGAAACGGTAAACTCCAACTTTGCGGACATCCTGCATATACTAATTTTGAATAAATTTTAATAGTTTATACGTGAATAAACTGATTATTATAAATAATAAATTTCACTACTATGAATTCTGGTTTTCCGTGAGATATTTTTTCAATTTCCCTTCGAACATTTTCAAACTGACACACATCTTGATATCATTTTGAAATACTGACTTGCTCGTTATATTGCTACTGCAGTTTTGGAAATGAAAGTCTATACTTCTTCTAGTAGAATAATTGTGGCACTCATTGTTCAATACAATAAAATTTTCTAAGTGATTTGGTAGAAGATGATTTTTTAACTTGAATATGAAAATCAAAACGAAGTAGGCTATGAAATTTTTGATATTTTGTATTATTTGTAATTTTGAAAATAGATTTAGATTTGCAGTGAACAAAATGATCGAACAATATAACAATTGAGGAAGAATGATAATGTTGTACACAATTTTTTTAGAATAAACACTTAGGCTATGCGAAATTCTATAAAAGTAATTTATTTTCTTGGATATTTTTGAAATAATATATTCATAGTGCCCTTCAAATTTTAATTTACTGTCTACGGATATGCCCAAATATTTAAATGATTCGATTGACACAATTTTTTCATGATTAATTGTAAGGTTTATCGTATTTTAATCTAAAGATTTTCCTATTAGTATATATTTTGTTTTGTTTGTGTTTAGTTTAAGTTTATTTACATTTAACCAATTTATTACGTTTTTCATATCATTATTTAACAGCTCTATTGCAGTTTCAATGTCTTTATTTGATATATATATATATATATATATATATATATATATATAGGTGAAAAATTAAAGCTTCTGCCTTTTGTTGGGTACTTCGACAAAATTTAAACAAAGAGGACTCTTTATACTTTTTTAATTCTCTCTAGCTTTCAATGGACTTTGCCATCATCATCAGGAGCTGCAATTACAATGATAACAGTGGCAACAAAAGTGTAAAATGAAATTAAATTGACTCAACTTACAGTAGTATGTGAGGATGTTGCTAATTGTTGTTTACGTATAGGATGAGGGAAACGTCCAGTAACATGGTGAGAGCTGTATAGATGGTACAATGGTCAAAATTATCTAAAATATGACAAGAACAATTTAAAAACAGATTAAAAATTATTATCAAATAATTTTTCACCTAACTGGTCTAGACGACAATGACCACGTCTCAAGTTACATCTCAATATATATATATATATATATATATATATATATATATATATATATATGTATCATCAGCAAATAGTTGAATTTTGCATTGTTGTAAAATATCAGGAATATCGTTAATATATAAAATAAATAGTAATGGACCTAATTTGCTACCCTTCGTTAACAATTTATCCCCGTCAGTAGTCTCAAATTCTCTCTTGAAATCTAAGAACAATGTTACTGTACACTTTTTTTCATCCATATCTTGCCTCCATTCTTCTACTACCATTGCTATTTCAGTAGAATACTTTTTTCTAAATCCTGCTTGAAATTTTGTCGATATCTTATTTTCTTCAATAAATTCAATGACTTGTTCATACATGATTCCTTCTAAGAGCTTCTCGACATCTGGCAGTACATTAATTGGCCGCATGTTTGTATATAACTCAGAATTTTGCACTTTTGGAACAGGAGTAATTTAATTTTGAAGGAAATTCGCCATACACTAAACAGTGATTCACTAACAATAATAACTTCTCTCCAATAATGTTGAAACATTCCTCCATAACCATTTTTGAAAGATGTTCACTAGCATTTCTATTCGATTTCAATCTTGTAATAGCTTTTGAAAAATGACTGATATTTATTGTTTGGAATTTTCTCATAGAAGATTACAAGTAATTTGCATATGACATAGATTTGGATCCCCATCTTCGATTGATTCCACTCATTTACACTTTGTATAAAATAAGCCTTCATTCGTTCTGCAATCAATATTTTTTGTGTTACTATACCTAGTAGGAGATATTTTTTAGTGTCTTCCACATCATTTTACTGCCATTTTTATTGCTATCGATTTTGTTTTCATAATATTTTTTTTTTCGTTCCTAAGATTTGTTAAACACTTGTGTCTTATATTGTATCCAATCTTCCTCAGTTTGAGTGATCATAAACCTTTTATAGTCATTATGTTTACCAAAAATAACGTTTATTCTTGTCGTTTCAGGTACCTTGACGGAGAACCGCATGATCTTCCGGCGGTGCGCGATCGCCGGCGCCGACTACAACCATCCTTTCCTGGAGAACGAGAGCAGCGCGTCCAACGGCGCCGTCGGACACCTCAGCGTCGCCGTAAACGACCAGTTGTTGAGCGACCTGCGGCGAGAGGCGGGCGGTTGCGATCAGGGTTACTGCCTTAGCAGCGGTGGGGGTATCGGAGTGGGCGGGGCTTGCAGAGGGCCAGCGCCTCCCACGCATTCGGCGCGCATTCAAGAGTTCCTGCTGCTGTTGGCCATCTGCAATACGGTCGTCTGCTCGCGGCATCCGCATGTCGATCTCATGAATGCTAGTGGTTAGTACCGTCTTAAACAATAGTTAGGCAAATTAACCAGTAGAATAGCCACTCCATGGAAAAATGGAAATGGTGTTCCAATGTTTCTTGCTTGCTAATGATTTTAGGCAAGTATTGTAATTCCAGCATATTTGGAATCTGTTTTCCCATGCAGGAACTCACGTTTGTTTAAGATTTATTTAGCATGATTGCTACAATTATATTCTTCTAAAAAACTGAACAATTACATCACATACAGATATTTAGAAACAACAAAATTTGCATCTCTAAGAATTTTCACTGTTCATGAAATATTCCTTTAATCTTTAAATTACAAGTAGACCTTATGTCATTATTTAGTTTATTAAATTCAAGTAATTATTTCTTAAATATTGATTTGCTAGTTATATTACTATTGCAATTTTGTAGATGAAAATCTATATTTCCTCTTGTATAATGATTGTGATGAGGATTATTCAATTCTATGTAGTGTTAAATGTTGTGGCAAAAGATATTTTTTTGTTTTAAATATAAAAATAAGAAACAAATATGATATGAAATTTTTTATATTCAACCACTACAATTCTTGTAACATAAATTTTATTATGGTGTACTTATTTTTATTCAATATTATTCTCATAGATTTTGCAAGACTTGTAATTTTGAGAATATAGCTTCATTGCCAGTGATTAAGAAGAACAATGTAAATGTGGTAGAATAATTGTATTATAAACTATTGTCTTGGAATATGTTCCAAGACTATGAGAAGCCCTATAAAAGACATTTGTTTTTTGGCAATTTTTGAATTCATGTATTCATAGTGATCTTCAAATTTTAGTTTACTATCAATATATATATATAACTTGAGACGTGGTCTTTGTCGTCTAGACCAGTTAGGTGAAAAATTAAAGCTTCCGCCTTTTGTTGGGTACTTCGACAAAATTTAAGCAAAGAGGACTCTTTATACTTTTTTTAATTCTCTCTAGCTTTCAATGGACTTTGCCATCATCATCAGGAGCTGCAATTACAATGATAACAGGAGCAACAAAAGTGTAAAATGAATTTAAATTGAATCAACTTACAGTAGTATGTGAGGATGTTGCTAATTGTTGTTTTCGTATAGGATGAGGGAAACGTCCAGTAACATGGTGAGAGCTGGATACATGGTACAATGGTTAAAATTATATAAAATATGACAAGACAAGTTAAAGACAGATTAAAAATTATTTAGAAAACATTTGAGCATTACGTCGTGAAGACACTTGATGATTGCACAAAATGGTGGTTATGGAATAATGAGTGAGATGAACCTTTGACAGAAGGCCGAAGGTTGTCAATGTCTGTGTTGAAAGATGGAACGAATTGTGGGCGTGTGCCAAAACGTTGCCAAATCACTTCAGATGATGTGATTTTCAGAATGTTATGTAAGAAATTGTTAAAGCTAGAGAGATTTAAAAAAAGTATAAAGAGTCCTCTTTGCTTAAATTTCGTCGAAGTACCCAACAAAAGGCGGAAGCTTTAATTTTTCACCTATATATATATATATATATATACCTACATATTTAATTTATTCAACATTTTCAATTCGATGTAAGTAACTTCTTCAAAGACTTTTTCAACATCTGGCAGAATTCTTAACTTTAGAAACAGGAGTTATGGTAGAACACTTCAGTTTTGTTATGGAATAATTTACGAACTTCAGTTAAAAGCTAATCGTCAGAAACATTCTCAAAACGGACAAAAACGTTGTTACAGAATCACCAGCTACTTTAGCAGCGTTTGTCTGAGCAAAAATATCGTTTTTACATTCCTACTCGCTGACAAGTTGTATCGGTTTGATAATCGAGAGAATGTCCTTTTCGTCATTGCTCTATATTGTAGAATTTCCTTTGTTTATGATGTTTATTCATGACGAAATAAATAATTTGAATTTGAATATAATCCGTTCATCAGTTTCCATATCCATTAATAGAAGAAACATAAGAGAAAAAAGAACGACGCAAAAATCGTTGAAAATTACCCATTGCCCTTTTCTGCCTTTTTTAGGTATTATTGAACAACCTTCAATGTTCGACAAAAGAGAGCATTCCGGCGATCATACATCAAGTTCAACGAGTCAATCGTTGTCGATGAACGATAAGTACACTAGGCTAGAAGAATCACGATCTGTCACTCCCTCACCGCCATTAAACACGTACCTGCTAGATAATAAACGAAAAGTAAGTAGAATATCCAACGAATTTACTTTGATTAATAAACGAATATATATTTGATCACATTTTTCACATTGAGCCATTTTAATCTTTATCTTTATTCAGTATTATTCTCATGCACTCATTTTGTAAAATTTGAATTCTTTCAAAAAAAGAAGTATTGAAGAATGATCGTCTTATAGATAATTCTTCTAGTATATGAACTCGGAAATCTAGTAACTCTCGATAAATATCCCACGAATCCTGTTTATAATTTTCTCTAAATGAATATCAAAATTTATCTGAGAGTCAATAAAAACCACAAAGTATTTAAAATGTTCTGTGAATTCAATATTTCCACCACATATTTGGTCGAACATTTGTGCATTCTTTTTTTTTCAATTAACATAGCTTTCGTTTTACTTGTATTTAATTTGAGTTTGTTAGATGCTAACCATTTTGGAACAAGTTTCAAGTTTTCATTTATACAAGGTGACTTTGAAGTTGAGTCATTTATTTTAACAGTAGATCTGATCAAAAGAAATGTTTTTTTCCTTTAACATTTTTGTGGTAAAATTAAAGTAACAAAGTTATAGCCCTTTAGAAGTTTGAGTACCGCCCTGTCTCAATAATAATATTATGTGCTCGTGTTTGGCAACAACGGATATAATCCGCCTTATCGGTTCATCGCATCGGAAACAAAAAAGCGAAAGAATTTGAAACGCTTATCACGATGTTTTTACTAGAATTTTATTCAGTTGTATTCAGTCAATGTCAGTCGGTGACGCGTGAGTGAATAGTGGTGTTTGTTGTATGTTTACGAAAATGCTGAACTTGTGAATATGATTCTTATTTACGAGGGGGGAGGGCTCGTAAATCAGGTGACCGCTCGATCAAATACAGGTCCGCACTGAAATACTTGTCGGGAGGATACTTTATAAAACAAGGTAACATTTTTTTTTATTTTTACACACATATTTTGGTTTATCTTCCTTCTACAATCATTATCTGAAAATTAATGACTCAACTTCAAGAGTACTTCTATAAATAAAAGTGTCATCGACGAAAATTTTAATTTTGCATTTTTTGACTAAATTGTTTATGTATAAAATAAAAAGAAGGTTGCAATATACTGACATGTGGAACACCTAACGTATTTTCAATTTTTGATGGAATAGTGTTATTAACTTCTGTAACTTACATCCTTTTAGACAAATAATTTTCAAATCAGTCGAAAACACGTCCTGATATACAAAATGCCTTCAATTTACCTAACAAAATATCCCTATCAATCGTTTCAAATGCCCTCTTCAAGTCCAAAACTACAGCTGTGACAAATTCTGCTGAATCTATGGCTCTTCTCCAATTCTCGGTAACGAACTGGAGAGGCGAAGAAAATTGTCCGTGAATGTGCAAATACATCGTAGTATAGGATCGCTAACGCCTTACGTAATTTCACCATTTGTTTCTGCCTCGAGGACTCTCCGACAATGAACAACTACGCCACGCCCGACTCCCGCCAAAGGCAGCACGTGTCGGCCCTGTCGCCAATCGACTCCGTCGAATCCTCCCCCACTCAGGAGGCGGTGCCTTCATCTGCCACGCCTACGACAACGTCGACGCCGATCGCCGCCCAAGCCGCGTCCAAGGGGCAACGCCCGAAGCTGCTCAACATCCCGTATTTCCTCAAGAAGGGCAACAACCTGACGGACGAACAGAAAGCGAAGCTGAGACAGCAGATGCAGCAGAGCACTGGTGCTGCGGTCCCCGGGACACCGTCGTCGTACGAACTGAAGCCGATCTTCGAAGCTGAGAGTCCGGATGAGCTGGCGCTGGTCGATGCCGCTTATAATTATGGATGCAGGTTATTGAGGAGGTTCGTTACGTAAAGTATCATTATATCGGTTTAAGCAGACAAACAGAATATGCGTTATTCGTCAGGTGAAAACCCTAATGCGCTTCAAGAAATACCTCTTCATCCACAAAAAATAACTGTATGGTGTGGTTTTTATGCCGGTGGTGTCATTGGGCCATTCTGTCCGTTAATGAAAATGACCGTCACGTTACAGTCAACGGAGATCGTTACAGAGACATGTTTGCGTTTTATTTGAAAAGAAAGTTGTCAAATCCTTAATGGAAAACCCTTTAGTAGGTACGTTTTCTCTCATTAAAATCATAAATCTGACAAAAAAATGTCAAAAAATGCTACTCAAGTGAGGAGTGTTTCTTGGATGTTCGTTGGTGAACAACACAAACTAAAGTGCGGTTTTAATAACTGAAGCTTCGCTCATTATTAGAAGAAGCTTCAAATATCATGGTGTGATACTGTATATTGTGCAAAAACCTAAAAAAATTACAATGTTTGTCGTTCTATGCCATTCTTGTGTTTTTCGTCTGAAAAATTATTTTTTACCAGGACACCGACTTCAGTAACAGTAGAAACGCCAGACGAAGGAAGACTGAACTACGAAATTCTAAATGTTTTGCCTTTCGATTCGACCAGAAAAAGGATGAGCATCATCGTTCGGCATCCTCATACGAAACAAATCATTTTATATTGCAAAGGTAAGTACAAAAAACTTTGAAATTGCACAAGTATATGTATACTTTCTTAAGTAGGTCTTAAATATTTTTAAGTATCCTATTTAGTTTCAGCACCCTAAAAAACATAAGAATAAGGTATTTTTCGTAAAAAAGTGTGTTCGTCGTTGGCTTGGGTTATTTGTGTAACAAAATAGATTTTTCATAAAAACTGTTAATAAAATTGCGTCACTATGGCTTTGAAGGATCAGTATTACACATTTTACAAAATTATTTAGTAAATAGAAGTCAAAAAATATTGACATAATATTGGAAATATTATGTCAAGTGTCAAATATATCAGTAGGGGTGCCACTGGGGACTAAATTAGGGCCGTTACTATTTATTACTTATATAAATGATATCTCTGACATTTTTTATATATATATATATATATATATATATATATAAATAGAATCTGTGTTTTGGCCGATTCCACCAGTAAATTTCATTCCACTCAAAATCTAATAATTCTCTTCTCACGATTTATTAATAATTGTTAATTTAAATTCCCATTAATTAAAATATAGTTTATTCAACTGCCTCTGGTCGGTTTAACAATTTCTTACATAACATTCTGAAAATCACATCATCTGAAGTGATTTGGCAACGTTTTAGCACACGCCCAAAATTCGTTCCATCTTTCAACACAGACATTGACAACCTTCGGCCTTCTGTCAAAGGGTTCACCTCACTCATTATTCCATGACCACCATTTTGTGCAATCATCAAGTGGCTTCACGATGTAATGCTCTAATGTTTTTAAATAATTTTTAATCTGTCTTTAACTTGTTCTTGTCATATTTTATATAATTTTGACCATTGTACCATGTATCCAGCTCTCACCATGTTACTGGACGTTTCCCTCATCCTATACGTAATTAGCAACATCCTCACATACTACTGTAAGTTGAGTCAATTTAAATTCATTTTACACTTTTGTTGCTACTGTTATCATTGTAATTGCAGCTCCTGATGATGATGGCAAAGTCCATTGAAAGCTAGAGAGAATTAAAAAAGTATAAAGAGTCCTCTTTGCTTAAATTTTGTCGAAGTACCCAACAAAAGGCGGAAGCTTCAATTTTTCACCTAACTGGTCTAGACGACTATGACCACGTCTCAAGTTATATATATATATATATATATATATATATATATATCACGTAAACATTTGGACACTGCTTTAGAACTGTTAAATAGTGATAGGGAAAAAATATGAATTGGTTAAATGTCAATAAACTTAAATTAAACAATAATAAAACAAAATGTATGTCAATAGGGAACCATTTAGGAGACAATACAATTAGGCTCATGATTAATGATGAAAAAATTGAAGTAGTCGAGTCATTTAAATATGTTGGTATATATGTGGATAGTAAGCTACTGTTTCACGTTCATTATGAATACATTATGTCAAAAATATCGAAAAAGATGAATTACTTCTATAAAGTTACCCATAATCTTAGTATGTATTCCAAAAAAAATTGTGTATAACACTATAATTCTTCCAGATTTTTTATATTGTTCAACCATCTTGTTTACAGCAAATGAAAAAATATTTTCAAAATTTTAGATTCTACAAGATAAAGCTATAAGAATCATTTTAAATAAAAAACTAATATGCTAGGATATTATTTAGTTCTCGTTTTCATATTTAAATTAAAAAATAATTTATTAGAGAACTTCATAAAATTAAATAGTCATTATCATAACTACGAAACTAGAGGCAGTATAGATTAATATATTAATATTAAACAGAGTTCGAATTTAAGAATGTATAAGGTGAAATTAAAAAATCACTTTATGAATAATCAAAATACATAGTGACGTAATTTTGATTTTAATAGACAACAATGTAAAATTACAGAAAACGGATTGAAGAAAAATATGTAAACGAATCAGTATACAAAATTGACATTGTAACATTAATACTAAATAAATCTTCAACAACAAAAAGTTAATAACTTTTTATTTATATGTACTGAATCTTTCTCAATTTCTTCTTTCAGTGTTGTCTAAATTCCGGCTTTATGGATGATGGTCGTGTGTTTTTTCACTTTTTGTTGATAGAGTACAACTTTACGTTTTCTTTGCTCAAGGTGCCGATTCGACGATGCTACCCCAACTAACCCCCGTAGAAGATGACTCAGAACAGAAGGTGATCATATCAAAAACGCAACAGCACCTGAACCAATACGCGCGGGAGGGGCTGAGAGTACTCGTGATGGCCAAACGTGTGCTCACGCAACATCAGTACGACGAGTGGATCAGAAGACATCGGGAGGCGGAAATGTCCTTGGAGAATTTGGAAAGGAGGGTCAGAGATAGTTATTCCAGTATAGAGGCTAACCTCACGCTTTTAGGAGCTACAGGTAGGAACTTTGTCTCGAAAGTACCATTTTAATAAAAATATTAAATACAGGGTGTCCGCAAAGTTTTGGTTTTCCTTTCCAGAAACAACTACCCTTGAAATAATAAAGGGGGCGACCAAGTAAAAAAAAATAAAGGAAAAAGTACTCACTCTCCAGTTGACGAGAAGGGCTAAGTACGTCTCTGCCCGAAATCATACCGCTCCAACAGGAAATGAAATCAGCTGATGCGCTACCGAGCAGACGCAGGCAAACAAGGAAGGCAAAATGTTGCGTAAAAAGTCTAGGTATTGCATCCCGTCCAATCGATTTGGGAGAATAAATGGATTTTCTACTGACCAAACATGAGTGTTGCGAAAGTTATTCACCCCATTACGCGTGAACGTAGATTCGTCTGTCACCAATATGCACTTCAAAAAGTCCGGATTATTGTTCATGTTGATGCAACAACCACTCACAAAACCGCACTCTTGCTGGAAAATCGTCAGGTTGAAGGGCTTGTACACGTTGGACGTGGAATGGATACAGCCTCTCTTCACGCAGCGTTTGCCACACTTTAGTTTTTGATACTTACATTTCTCTAGCCACGTCTCTAGTGCTTGTTGAATCGGTGATGTCGCGGGTCGCGGCTACAGGACGGTATTCAGATATTTTTGATGTTGCAGAGCCCTTTATCTCGGTTCCCTTAAGACATTGGTGTATATGGTACTAAGAAAAATTGCTTATGTTTTCACGATCTACACGTCGTGTAAAGGAAAACCCCAACTTTGCGGACACCCTGTATATGAATTTGACTTATGTTCAAAATGAATGTTTCAGTGTGATTGGCGAGAATCATTTGTCAGTGCATGGTGAATTTCCATCAAAATTAAAGTAAGCATGAGCATATTTCAGAAATATCAGGAACGATAAATTACTTCTATAGTGCAGCTTCATTCAAAACTCTCCAATGATCACTTTTTTTCACTATTTTTTCACTAACCCAAGATTATCACAAAGGTAACCGACAGCAAACTAAATTCTTTCTTTCCCTTAGCAACAAATAACCAATCAGGTATAACAATAAATACAGTTCGCCCAGGATATCTGTGTTGACGAAAAGAATGCGGAAAAAATTCGGGGTGTTATTTGATTGTTGCACGTATAATCTTTTCTAATTTTCTCGGAGACGAATCGACTGATTTTGAATAATCAAACGTCAAAATAAAGAAGTTCGAAAGACCTTACAAACAAGCTATTACTCGATATCCCTTGTCATTTTCATGAATATACGAAGCCTAAACCAAAATTTTGACTGTTTTAGTATCTTCCTAACTACAATTAAACACAAATTTGATATAATAATATTAACAGAAACTTGGAAAATTAATGATGTATCTTTGTTCTGTTTGGAAGGTTATGATACGCTTTACAATAATGGTACGTACAACCAGAATGATGGGGTGGTAGTATATGTAAGAAATGATATCAACTACAGATGTGATTTTGTTAAATTTCATGACGGTATCACAGTGTTGGATTTGATATTGAGAATTAATATCAAAAGTGTAAAAGTTACATCTGTCTATCGACCACCATCATCAAACATTTGTAGAAAATCTTGAAAAATTTTTGTTAGATAACAAAAATGCCATACAGTCACACCACATCATAATAGGAGATATGAATATTAATATACTCCAACATACCAAATTAGTAAACAAATACCTCACTGTAATGCAGAGCAATGGATTCATATCAAATATAAATTTACCAACAAGAGTAGTCAATAATAGTTCCAGTTCTTGCATTGATCATTGTTTCATCAAAAAATTTTCAAATTTCTTTCGGTACATAGCGTTAATTGTTGAAAACCATATTACCGATCATTTACCCACTGTAATACTTATATCATCACCAGAAAAAAATAAAAGTAGATCCATCTCCAATAATGAAACAGTGAAATTTAGGTGTTTTGTCGATAATAAAAAACTACTTGCAAATATCAAATTAGAATCGTGGACAGCAGTGTACTGTGCAACGAATGTTAATGATGCTGCAAACACACTCATTGAACGCATAAAATATTTAATTGAATGTAGTACAGAGTTAAAATTAAACATTTTGACAGAAGCAGGAATCCCTGGATAACTAAAGGTTTGATAAAGTCTGCCAACAAAAAAGAGGAACTATACAAAATAATGAAAGCATAGCCATGTGCAGATACCTCCCATAAATATAAAGAATATAAAAATATTTTTATCAATCTAGTTAGAGAAGCAAAACGCCAATTCTATCTAAAAAAATTACAAGATGCCAAATCTGATCCAAGAAAACTGTGGTCAGTTGTCGATCACTTAACTAACAAAGACGTTCAAGAAAAGCCAAATATTGATGAAATTAAGAATCGTGATGGAACAATATTAACAGATAAACGACAAATATCCGATGCATTCTTAAATTTTTTCACTAATGTTGGAGAAAATTTAGCATCCAGTATTAAAAAAATGGTTACGAACGAAAAGTTCACAAAAACCCAACTTCCCAATTCATTCTTTTTAGAAAGCGTTAGTCCGATTGAAGTACAAGAAGCTGTCCTATCACTTAAAACCAAAAAAAGTCCTGGTGTAAATGGTATCAAAGCTGACCATTTAAAAATAATAGCCTACAACTTAGCCGAACCACTTTCTTACATCATTAATTGGTGTTTCCAATCTGGAATTTGTCCTGATGCATTTAAAACAACTGTTATTACTCCTGTTTATAAAAACGGTGACAGAATGGAAACATCAAATTATAGACCCATATGTACTATCGAATATGGCCAAAATTTTCGAAAAATTACTACAAAAAAGGATATTACAATTTTTGGACAAAAACAAAATTATATGTTCTGACCAATATGGATTTAGAAAAAGAATATCTACTACAGATGCAATTTTGGCTGCAATGGATGAAATAAATTAACTCTAATGTCAACAAAAAGATACCTACTATTACGGTTAACCATGTCGAGCTTCTGAAAGTTATGGAAAGATTGGGATTTAGGGGAGCGTCACAAATCCTTTTAAAAAATTACCTTTCAAGTCGGGCACAGACTGTCAAAATCACTAACACTTACAGTAAAAAAATGTACATCAAGTGTAGTGTGCCTCAAGGAACAGTACTAGGCCCACTATTATTTAGTCTCTACTTAAATGACTTATTCAAAATTAACAGTTCTGGAAAGATTATATGTTTTGCAGATGACACCCTCGTATTATATAAAGCTGATGACTGGAGCACACTGAAGCAAATAGCTGAAAAGGATTTTATAAGGATCATTGACTGGTTTGATACTAAAATTTTAACAGTTAACTTCAAAAAAACAAAATTTATTGCATTTACATCCTATTCAAAATTTATACCTATCTTCGAACAAATTTCCGTTAATTATCATGGCCAAAAGACCAAAATCGATAGAGTTAACAGTATCAAATATCTTGGAATATTTATAGACTCACATCTAAGGTGGGATAACCATATTAAATATGTTATCAAAAAAATTAGAAATGTTGCCTACAAACTCAAAATGCTTGCTAACATTCTTACAGAAAGTTATCTGCGAATCCTATACCATGCCTTAGTTGAAACCCATATAATATACGGCATCACAGCCTGGGGTGCCGCCTGCAAGATATATATTTCTATTTCTATTCTCCATAAGCCAAGATTATATCCAACGAACAACTTATATCAAGAAACAGGGATACTTGATACAAGACAACTTTATTTCTTACATGCCACCACCTTATACCATAAGTATTGTAATAAAAAGAAAAAATCCTATAAACACGAGCATAACACACGATTTCGAATAGGATCATCTAATATCCAAAGACCACACAAAACATTCAAAAAATCATTTAAATTCTTAGCAAAATTTAGAAGAAAATTGAAAGACTGGGTTAGTAATGTGCAGCGAATGACTATACATAATTATATAGAAAACTAAAACTACAAAATTCCAATTACATTAATACCTTTTAGATTTAACAATAATTGTTATACACATATATGATTGATTGTTAGTTATTAAGATATAAACCACACACAGGCGATGCCTTCTGTGGTTTTTTCATATTTATTTGCCCATTTTTTGTATTTTGGCGAATAAATATTATTATTATTATTATTATTATTTAAAATTTTTTAGGGGATGTCCCTGGGGGGCAGAGTGTGAAAAGGGGCGAAGTTTTCGATAAATCCGTGGTGGAAAGTTTTCAAATGAACACCCTACTATATTATCTTGGATTTGGATGGGACTTAGAACGACCAAACGATTGAAAAATTTTAAATCTAGTACGAAGCCATTATCACATCACGTTTTGTTATAGGTATCGAGGACCGTCTTCAAGAGGGCGTTCCAGAGACCCTGTCCTCTTTAATCTCGGCCGGCATTGTAGTCTGGGTGTTGACAGGCGACAAGCCTGAAACAGCTATAAACATAGCCTACTCCGCGAAGCTGTTTTCGCCTCAGATGGAACTGTTGAAGCTGATGGCCAGGTCGAAAGAAGCTGCCGAGAACACGATACGCTGCTACTTGGCAGAGATCGAGAGGTCTATGGGCGAGGCCAGTGCTAGCGGAGATAATAGGTAAGTTAGGATAGATGGTGTTCCTAAATTAAATAGAAATAACTACACATTTCAGAAAATCTGTTTTTATTGAAAATGATGCAAATGATGTGGAGATTTTTTTAAGTATACTGTTATTACTTATTTAGCAACATATTTTTTTCCAAGTTAGTGATTTTTCTTTGAGTATTATTGTAGCTTTATTCTTAGGATACGACAAATGCAAATAATCCGGACATTTTCTTTGAAAATGCTAGATGCGTAAACGATAAGTGATGCATAGGGCTCCATTTTCAGTTCCAATCAGAATTTAAGTCTAAATAAATGTTTCCATTCAAGACCTCTGGCAGCTCAAGGAGTACAATGATTCTCGCATTTAGGATCCCAACAAAAGTTTATATCTCCATGGCTTAAATTTTGTTTTCAGGATAAGACCGTCAACAAGTACAAACGACATCTACGATTATTCGCAGAAAAAAAATAAAACTAGAGCATTGGCTGTGGATGGGAAGACGTTGACTTTTATACTGGACAGAAGGTCGAATCTAACTAAACCTTTTCTCAGGCTGACCACGTATTGTAACTCTGTGCTGTGCTGTAGAGCTACGCCGCTGCAAAAAGCTTACATTGTTAGGGTGAGTAAAAGCCGTTGATGTACTTTTAACCCTAGAATATAAAGTCAATACCATTACCTACTACAAAATGGTTGTACATTTAATAATTACTAGAACGTAAACCCACTAACATGCAAATAATTGTAATTCCCTGCCGTACCCACAGCAACAGCGATAAAAACGTGTTTTGTTATTTTTTGTTGGCAGTGGCAAGAATATCAGTACGAAAACAAACGTCATTGTACACTTAAAATATTTAGTTTTCGGTTTCAGTGCCAGATGCTGTTTGGACTACTTTTAAAATGGTCAATTCTCGTCCATTAACGATCATTAAAAATCCTTTCGCGTCGCACTATAAATAAAAATAGGTATTGACTGTATATTCTAGTGTTATACAGTACTCGTCAGGAGCTTCAAAATGATGTGCCACAAGACCCCCGTTTTCATATATTTTTTTTTCCAAGATCGCGCCCAGCGGCCACCTTGATATTTTCATCCGTCAATTTTACTCTTAAAATATGGTTTCCACGCACCAATTTCATTACCTCAAGTTTTAATATTTTGAATTTATCCGTTCAAAAAATCAAAGGAGAGGGGGACATTAAAGAAAAGCACTGTATATTATAGTATTTGACGCGGTTTTTTCTCAGGTAGTCAAAGAGGAGCTGAAGATGCGTACGTTGGCGATCGGCGACGGCGCCAACGACGTGTCCATGATCCAAACGGCGGACGTCGGCATCGGCATTTCCGGTCAAGAAGGCATGCAGGCTGTCATGGCCGCGGATTTCGCGCTGTCCCGATTCAAGTACCTGGAACGGTTCCTGCTTGTCCACGGACATTGGAGCTACGACCGGCTCTCCAGGATGGTGCTGTATTTCTTCTACAAGAACGCTGTGAGTACCTATAGTCTGAGAAACTTTTCCTAAAGAGCATAAAGAATTTGATGTGTAGTTTATAATCGTGTTGTGAATTTGTTGTTGCAACAACAACACTGGTCAACAAAATTTTAACTTTGTCGTGCCACACGGACGTTTTTGATATTTTTTACTTTAATTGGTGATTGTAAGAAAAAATAAACAGTTAAAAAAAATCTGCTAGACAAGGATTTTATTCTATTGAGTAATTTACAATATTAAGAAAAAGCACAGATCTCGTAAATCAAAAGTTATTTTTTTTTATAAATGACTTAATAATCTAAGATTTTCTTGAATATTTAGCTTCTGGTTGGTCGCTTTTAATTGTCCAGCAGTAATCTGCTAACATATTTGGGTTCCATTTGCCCTGGTACCGCTTTTCCATATTAGAAATGTCCTGATGGAACCTCTCACCGTGCTCGTCGCTGACAGCCCCTAAATTGTCAGGAAAAAAATCCAGGTGCGAGTCTAAAAAATGGATCTTAAGTGACATGTTGCAACCCAATGCTTGATATGACAATAATAGCTCGCTAACCAACTCTCTGTAGCTGTCACTCTTGTGGTTACCCAAAAAACTTGCAACAACATTTTTAAAAGCCTTCCATGCAGATGTTTCTAAATCGCTTAATTTTTCTTCAAATCTTGAATCTTTTATTAACTCCCTAATTTGAGGGCCAACAAAAATACCCTCTTTTATCTTTGCATCACTTATTTTAGGGAATTTTTCTTTTAGATACAAAAATCCACTCCCATTGCAATCCATTGCCTTCACAAAATTTTTTATCAATCCTAATTTGATATGCAATGGTGGTAGAAGCACATTATTTGGCTGTACAAGGGGTAAATACTTTACGTTTTTTTGCCCAGGAACTAACGATGCACGCGTAGGCCATGTTTTTTATATAGTAATTAGTTCTGTCTCGGCTATCCCATTCACATAAAAAGCAGCAAAACTTTGTATAACCCAGCTGAAGTCCAAGTAATAGTGCAACAACTTTAAGATCACCGCAGATTTTGAAGGAATATGTACTGTAATTTATTTTTTCAAGTAAAAGTTTCATATTTTCATAGGTTTCTTTCAAATTTACAGCATGGGCCAGAGGTACAGACGGAAGCTTATTTCCATTATGCGATAACACTGCTTTTAGACTTGCTTTCGAAGAATCAATGAATAAACGCCACTGAGAGAGATCAAAATCTATGTCCAACATTTTCATAATCTCATTTATGTTATTGCAAAACTCCAAATCTCCATCCTGAGAAAAATACGTTCTGAAGTGTTGATCACGGTTTCGAAAATAGCTAACTTTTGTATTATGATGTAGCAAATTCCATTCTTTTAGACGTGATCCTAATAGTTCTGACTGCTTTTTTGACAAATTTAAATCCCGAACCAAATCATTTAGGTCTCATTGAGTTATCAAATGTGGCTCGTTTACAATTCCTTTTAACTCAAAGTCATCGTCCTCGTCAACACATTCACCTGAAGTGGACGGTTGTGAATTGTTCTCAACAGACGTAGTTTCAACTGGTATTAGTTCTGGCAATTTTTTACAATGAGAGACTGGTCTTATAGCCGAAGATAAGTTAGGGTAAATAACTGTGGTTTTTTTCTTGTAATTTATACCTTTTATGTCTGTGAGACAAAAATAGCAATCTGAAACGTGATCTCGCTGTTCAGTCCATATCATGGGTACAGCAAACGGCATAGGTCGTGCACCTTTCTTCCAGTCAGTTAAATTTGTCACACACGTTATGCAACAGACATGAGGGGCCCAGGATTTGTCTTGATGGGCGACAGAAAAACCAAAACATTGGTGATAACACTCCAACACAAGATTCGTAAACTTTCGTCGTTGTTTTTTGAATGTTAGTTCTCCGCAGACATATCAAAAAGAGTTAGGATCATTATTACACTTCCTCGACATATTCACAGGGTTAATAAATCACAAAAAAGTGTTCAAATTCAACAACAAATATTTTTATAAGGATTTACTTGTAAGCGTTTCTGTTAATTTACTGCCGTAGTACTAGTTATGAGTATTACCGTATCACAACAAATATGAGGCTAATAGACATATGACAGCTGTCATGTAATAATGAGGGTAGACTGATAAAACAAAATTAGCTGTCAAAGTTCGTGTGGCAAAACCAGTGTTGACCAGTGTAATTTATTTATTTGTTAAACCGCATTTTCAAAAATTCAGTTATCTACCTATGATTCGAAGTTCGCTATCATCTGTTATACAGGGTGACTAATATATAACTGACTGGTTTAAATTGCGCGGCATTTTAGATACTCGCATTCCAGTAGGTGGCGCCGTAGTAGTTGTTCACACAGTCATGCAATATTGCAGCCTTATACCCAAAATAACGATTTTGACCGACAACTGATAATGAGCGATGAAGCCCACTTTCATATGAACGGATTTGTTAATAACGACCACTGCATCCTCGTCGAATCAGAGTTTGATGCGGTGTTTGGTAAGGAGGTGACATTGGATCTTACTTATTTGAAGACGCTGCTATGGTGCAAAACTTTCTGGCTCCTCAAACCTGCAAAACATGTGGTTCCGGCTGGACGGAGCAACTTGTCACACAGCTAGGGAAACAATGAATCTTACAAACCAAATACTGTAGAGCCGCTGAAGAACAATATTACGGAAACGATTGAAAATATTCTTCTCGAAACCCACCAAAATGTGTTAGAAAATGTCAAGGGGGCTCAGGTTTGCGCGGCTTGTAGAGGCGGACTTTTGTCTGATATTATTTTTCATACATAGTTTCTAAGTTTCAATAAAATATTAAGATGAAAAAATGGACGTATTTTATTTCATTTCACAAATATTCAAGATACAAACCAGTCAGTTACATATCGGAACCCTGTATATCAATTATTTATGCTAAAATGCTACCAAGGCGACTGAAATGTCAGTAAAGTGATCAACATCTGTGATTTTATTCATTGCCTGGAAAGTATGAAGATTTTGATACGATCCTCATATTTATATTGTTTGGTTTGCTTCAAAGTGCTACTAATAATTAAAAAATCACTTTATGAATAATCAGAATGCATAGTGATGTAATTTTAATAGACAAGAATGTGAAATTACAGAGAATGGATTGAAGAAAAATATAGCGAATAATTATACAAAATTGACATTGTAGCATTAATGCTAAATAAATCTTCAATAAACAAACACACAAAATTTCACAGCGTATCATTGAATTATCTAAGAAAAAAAGTAAACAGTTTAAAATCAAATAACAACTGTGCCGAAATGACTACTAAAAACGTGCTCAAAAACTGTTTCGAAATTTTGGGATATCCTGTATTAAATTGGATCAATTGTTCACTGAGAAGCAGTTCTTTCCCTGAAAATTTGAAATGCTCTACAATAACACCAGTTCCCAAAATAAAAAATTCTAAAAGATGCAGCGATATGAGACCAGTAAATGTGTTACCAGACATTGAAAAATTATTAGAGTCCATAGTGCATGACCAATTAATGCAGTTTATAGAAGAAAACAAAATTTTAGTGGAGGCGCAAGCAGGCTTTCGAAAAAAATATTCCACAGAAACAGCTTTCCAGTTGGTAACTGAGAATTGGAGAAGAGCCATAGACTCAGAAGTTGTCATAGCAGTATTTTTGGATTTGAAGAGGGCATTTGAAACGATTGATAGAGATATTTTGTTAGGTAAATTGAAGGCATATGGTATAACAGGAAGTGTTTTAGATTGGTTTAGAAATTATTTGTCTAAAAGGATGCAAGTTACAAAAGTTAATGATACTATTTCATCAAAAATTGAAAATACGTTGGGTGTTCCACAGGGCAGTATCCTGGGACCACTTCTTTTTATTTTATACATAAATGATTTACCTGCCATAGTCAAAAAATGCAAAATTCAAATTTTCGCCGATGACACTATGATTTATATAAGTACTAAAAATATTCAGTCTGGTATCTCTTATATAAATGAAGACTTGGAGCTTGTCTCAAAATGGTTAGCATCTAACAGACTAAAATTAAATGCAAGTAAAACGAAAGCCTTGTTAATCGCAAAAAAACAATGTACAAATGTTCAACTGAATATTGATGGTGAAGATATTGAATTCGTAGAAAATTTTAAATACCTGGGAGTTTTTGTTGACTCTCGATTAATTTTTGATATTCATTATGAAAAAGTTATAAATAAGATTAATAGTAAAGTGGGATATTTATCGAGAGTTTCTGGATGTCTGAGTTCATATAGCAGAAAAATTATCTATAATACCATCATTCTTCCAAATATCTTGTACTGTTCGACTATTCTATATTTAGCAAATAATTCCATTTTTGAAAGACTGCAAATTTTACAAAATAAGTGCATGAGAATAATACTAAATAAAGATAAATATACTCCAATTAGGCAAATGCTTAGCAAATTAAAATGGCTCAATGTAAAAAATTTTATCAAATATCTTGTAATGATATTCATTTATAAAGTAAAAAATAATATATTTCCATCAAGTCTAACTAATTTAACATCATCAAATGTCGACCATCATTTACATAATACCAGAAATAAAGATGACTTCCATTTAATGACCAAAAAGTATAACATATGCTACAAATCTGTATTCCATCAAGGGTTGATTGAATATAATAAATTATACTCGGAGATAAAAGACCAGAAAACTTTGACAAAATTTAAAGTAAAATTGAGAAGTCACTTGTTAAATCTACAATTATAGGTTGCCCAGCATTTACATCATACACCATATGGCTTGAATTTACTAGTTCTAAGTTGTTTACAATTGTTCTGTTTATGTAGCCAAATGTGCTAAATAAATCTTTCTACTACTACTACTACTAATTTAAGCTGCAAAACATGTGGTTCCGGCTGGACGGAGCAACTTGTCACACAGCTAGGGGAACAATGAATCTTTTGCGAACAATATTTCCGGGACGTTTAATTTCTCGATTTGGCTACCAAGGTCACCGGATTTAACGACTTCTGACTTTTTTATGGGGTATTTGAAAAATAGGGCTTATCCCAACAAACCAAATACTGTAGAGCCGCTGAAGAACAATATTACGGAAGCGATTGAAAATATTCTTCTCGAAACCCACCAAAATGTGTTGGAAAATGTCAAGGGGGCTCAGGTTTGCGCGGCTTGTAGAGGCGGACTTTTCTCTGATATTATTTTTCATACATAGTTTCTAAGTTTCAATAAAAGTAAGACGAAAAAATGGACGTAATTTATTTCATTTCACAAATATTCAAGATACAAACCAGTCAGTTACATATCGGAACCCTGTATATCAATTATTTATGCTAAAATGCTACCAAGGCGACTGAAATGTCATTAAAGTGATCAACATCTGTGATTTTATTCATTGCCTGGAAAGTATGGAGATTTTGATACGATCCTCATATTTATATTGTTTGGTTTGCTTCAAAGTACTACTAATAATTGAAAAATCACTTTATGAATAATCCAAATGCATAGTGATGTAAAGAATGTGAAATTACAGAGAATGGATTGAAGAAAAATATAGCGAATAATTATACAAAATTGACATTGTAGCATTAATGCTAAATAAATCTTCAATAAACAAACACACAAAATTTCACAGCGTATCATTGAATTATCTAAGAAAAAAAGTAAACAGTTTAAAATCAAATAACAACTGTGCCGAAATGACTACTAAAAACATGCTGAAAAACTGTTTCGAAATTTTGGGATATCCTGTATTAAATTGGATCAATTGATCACTGAGAAGCAGTTCTTTCCCTGAAAATTTGAAATGCTCTACAATAACACCAGTTCCCAAAATAAAAAATTCTAAAAGATGCAGCGATATGAGACCAGTAAATGTGTTACCAGACATTGAAAAATTATTAGAGTCCATAGTGCATGACCAATTAATGCAGTTTATAGAAGAAAACAAAATTTTAGTGGAGGCGCAAGCAGGCTTTCGAAAAAAATATTCCACAGAAACAGCTTTCCAGTTGGTAACTGAGAATTGGAGAAGAGCCATAGACTCAGAAGAAGTTGTCATAGCAGTATTTTTGGATTTGAAGAGGGCATTTGAAACGATTGATAGAGATATTTTGTTAGGTAAATTGAAGGCATATGGTATAACAGGAAGTGTTTTAGATTGGTTTAGAAATTATTTGTCTAAAAGGATGCAAGTTACAAAAGTTAATGACACTATTTCATCAAAAATTGAAAATACGTTGGGTGTTCCACAGGGCAGTATCCTGGGACCACTTCTTTTTATTTTATACATAAATGATTTACCTGCCATAGTCAAAAAATGCAAAATTCAAATTTTCGCCGATGACACTATGATTTATATAAGTACTAAAAATATTCAGTCTGGTATCTCTTATATAAATGAAGACTTGAAGCTTGTCTCAAAATGGTTAGCATCTAACAGACTAAAATTAAATGCAAGTAAAACGAAAGCCTTGTTAATCGGAAAAAAACAATGTACAAATGTTCAACTGAATATTGATGGTGAAGATATTGAATTCGTAGAAAATTTTAAATACCTCGGAGTTTTTGTTGACTCTCGATTAATTTTTGATATTCATTATGAAAAAGTTATAAATAAGATTAGTAGTAAAGTGGGATATTTATCGAGAGTTTCTGGATGTCTGAGTTCATATAGCAGAAAAATTATCTATAATACCATCATTCTTCCAAATTTCTTGTACTGTTCGACTATTCTATATTTAGCAAATAATTCCATTTTTGAAAGACTGCAAATTTTACAAAATAAGTGCATGAGAATAATACTAAATAAAGATAAATATACTCCAATTAGGCAAATGCTTAGCAAATTACAATGGCTCAATGTAAAAAATTTTATCAAATATCTTATGATATTCATTTATAAAGTAAAAAATAATATATTTCCATCAAGTCTAACTAATTTAACATCATCAAATGTCGACCATCATTTACATAATACCAGAAATAAAGATGACTTCCATTTAATGACCAAAAAGTATAACATATGTTACAAATCTGTATTCCATCAAGGGTTGATTGAATATAATAAATTATACTCGGAGATAAAAGACCAGAAAACTTTGACAAAATTTAAAGTAAAATTGAGAAATCACTTGTTAAATCTACAATTATAGGTTGCCCAGCATTTACATCATACACCATATGGCTTGAATTTACTAGTTCTAAGTTGTTTACAATTGTTCTGTTTATGTAGCCAAATGTGCTAAATAAATCTTTCTACTACTACTACTACTACTTTTTCTTTTTCAGGCTTTCGTTTTCCTGTGTTTCTGGTACCAAATGTACTGCGGCTTCTCAGGCACTGTCATGATCGACCAGATGTATCTCATGCTGTACAATCTCCTATTCACTTCACTGCCTCCATTAGCTATAGGTAAGTTCATAACGTATAGGGTGGGCAATTTTTGTCTCCTGGTATAGGTATTTCGGGAAAAAAGGTCGGATACTTCAATGTTGATTTCTAGGTTTTTTTTGTAACGCCTGTATCCGTTGATAATGATAATAATTCTGTTTTTGTCGTATCGTCTTCTACATTTGAGAAAGTTCAACTTGAGCTGCTATGGCTCAAGTACTTATTGTTGTTGTCGTCATCGACCATTTCTGAAATGTCTTCGTCAATTTGTAACAGACATTTTATCAAATATCTCGTAATGATATTCATTTATAAAGTAAAAAACAATATACAGTGTGTAAACGTTATGATAGTCATCATTTAAATGGGTGATAGAGGGGTTAAAAGTAGCAAAAAGTTTCATATAAAAAACGGCGATAAATTTGAGCTGCAAGATTTGAATTCCGACGAGCTTCACCGTAAACTAACAACATGTCGGCGAACTATTGATTCGAGAACATTGTAAAAATAAACACGACGACGTACGCGAACAGAAACAAAACAACATACTAACCACCGTTACCGTTTGCGATCGATTGCCGGTTCGATAAGAGTGATGAAAAACCGACGCGCTGTTGTCATGTGTGTTTTAAATATTTAATTTAATGAAACTTACTTACTGATTACAAATTTTGGCTTAACAAAACTGAATGCCACTTATTTGTTAATTACCCAATTTAAAAACGTTTTAGAATAGATTATAAAAATTAGTAACATTGTGGTCGATATAAAGCACTTAAAGTCGTAAACTATAAAGCCACTTCTCCACTATTTTACTGATATCTTCAAATGAAAAACATTCTAACATCCCTACCGTTAGTAACAACCAGGAAAATTACAAATTTTTTGTCGACAATTCAAAACTAATATCAAATGTCAAACAAGAATCCTGGGAACAATTATACTCTATAAATAATATAGACAAAGCAACGGGACTGTTCATAGAGAAAATAAAAAAACTAATAGATATTAGTACCAATAAAGTAATAATTAATCACAAAGAGAAAAGCAGAAATGCCTGGATTACCAAAGGATTAATAACATCGGCAATAGAAAAAGAACGACTATATAATGTAATGAAACTAACGCCAACTACAGAGAATACCGACTGCTACAACCAATATAAAATTAAATTTATAGAGCTTGTAAGGCAAACCAAACGAAAACATTACCTAAATAAATTGAATAATAACTTAAATGATCCTAAGCGGCTTTGGACAACTATTGATGAGATTACTGGGAAAACAAAAGTTAAAGAGTGTGTCACTGAGTTAAATACAACATCGGGAACAGTATTAAAAAATACGCAACAGATATGCGATGAATTTGTACAATTCTTTACTAACATAGGCGAAAATTTAGCAAGTAATATACAAGCAAATGTACAAAATACTCAGCCTCCAAAAAGAACTTTGAACTCATTTATTTTGGATAAAGTCGAGCAATGTGAAGTATACACCACTGTTATGTCCTTAAAAAATCGGAAAAGTCCTGGGTTCGATGGTATTAAAAGCGAGCATTTGAAAATTATAGCCGAGGACATAACAGAACCACTCACTTACCTAATCAACAAATGCTTTGAATCTGGCATATATCCCTCAATTTCAAAAAAAGGTAATATAATACCGATACATAAATCAGGAACAAAAACAGATGTTAACAACTATAGACCAATATCAATAATATCCAGTGTAGCAAAGGTTTTTGAAAAAGTTTTATCTACTAGAATGATTCGATACCTCACAAAATTCAAAATTTTAAGTGAAAATCAATATGGATTTACAGAAGGGAAGGCTGCATCGGACGCAATAACTAAAATTGTAAATCAAATACATCAAAATATTGATAACAGAATCCCTTCAATCTGCATTTTTGTTGATTTAAAGAAAGCTTTCGATACAGTTAATCACAAATTGTTATTAGAAGCATTGGAGAGAATTGCTTTCAGAGGAAACGCGTACTCACTGATCGAAAGTTATTTGTCAAATCGCCCACAATCTGTGCAGATATCAGGATCATTCAGTAAAGAAATGTATATTAAGTGTGGTGTCCCACAAGGAACTGTCTTAGGTCCGCTGTTATTCAATATATATTTAAATGATATTTTCCAAATTAATTGTGTTGGCAAAATAACTAGTTTTGCAGATAATACTGCAATATTATATGAAGGCACTGACTGGTCTGATCTGAAAAATGTAATTGAAAATGATTTTATCAAAATTATTCGGTGGTTTAACAGTAGAAAATAAGGCATTAACTACTCTAAAACACATTTTTTACCATTTGGATCTTATGCTAGACATCAAATTTCTCCTTCAATATTAATGATCAAAAGATACAAATTAATAGAGTGCCCAACATAAAATACCTTGGAGTGGTCTTGGATCCTCACTTACGATGAGACATCCATGTCAATTATATTTTAAAGAAAGTTAGATTTGTATCCTACAAAATTAAATACCTTGGGAATATATTGACAGAAAAATATCTTCGAACATTATACCATGCACTGATTGAGCCTCATCTCACATATGGTATATTAGCATGGGGAGCTGCATGTTCCTCACATATCTATAATTTAGATGTTTTTCAAAAAAGTATTCTAAAAATGATATTTAAAAAACCGAAACTTTATCCCACTGAAAAATTATACGCAGATGTTCGAATGTATGATATAAGACAGCTTTATTTCTTACACAGTATCACTCACTACCATAAATTTGTAAACACCGACCAAAAAATTAAACATAATCATTATACCAGGTACAAAATTCGTGGGACAGTAGTTCCTCAACCGCATAAATCTATAATGCAGCGATCATATCTCTATTTAGCGCCTAAATTTTATGAAATTATACCTAAAGACTTAAAAGATTTACGTTTCGGAAATTGTTTCAAAAGAAATTTAAAAAAGTGGCTACATTCTATATCTAGGACTGAAATTCATAAACTCATAAATACGAACATCAACTAAATACATAATCTACTGTAGCTAATTTTTGCCCTGTTTTGTCATTTGCATTCTACAGTTTCAACTTAAATTTATTGGTCCATGTACAGGCGATGCCTTCTATTGGGCCTGTTTAGATTTTATATTTATTTACTCATATTGTTTGTTATCTTTGTACATTGAGTGAATAAATATTATTATTATTATTATTATTATTATTATTATTATTATTATTATTATTTAGACAAAAATGTATTGACTTTTGGACCATGGGTCATATGAACTTTTTGACTTGTTTAGACCGCTCCTATTACCCATTTCAATGATGATTACCATAACGTATACACCCTGTATTTCCACTATGTATAACTAAATTAATATCGTCAAACGCCGACCATCATTTACATAATACCAGAAATAAATTACTTCCGATTAACGTCCAAAAAGTATATGCTACAAATCTGTATGATCCTTTAACGGCTGACTGAATATGATAAATTAAGCACATATATAAAAGAACAGAATACTTTGACAAAATTCAAAGTAAAGTTGAGGAAATATTGCTTGAATTTACTAATTTTAAGTTGTTTATAATCGTTTTCTTTATGCAGCTAAATAAATCTTTCTATTACTACTAGGTGTATACGACCAAGATGCCCCGTACGAAGTGCTCCTGGAACGTCCGTGGCTGTACCGACGCGGACGCGTAGGCCGCGTCTACCGCCCCTACTCCTTCTGGATCACGATGCTGGACGCGCTCTACCAGAGCACCTGCATCTTCTTCCTTTGCCAGCGGGTGTACAACGACACCGACGTAGGAGTGTTCGAGTTCGGGACGGTAGCGACGACCGCGTGCATGTTCGTCATGCTGATGCACGCCTCCATCGAGATGCGATCTTGGGTAAGCGATCACGAGAAGAAAAAATGATTATAGGGTGACGTGAAAAATAATGTAGCGTTTTTCTGGGTTCTTTTGGGTGTGGATTAAGACACTGGAATCCACAAAAAGATGGATAAAACATTTATATACACCAAAGTTAATGACACTATTTCATCAAAAATTGAAAATAACGTTGGGTGTTCCACAGGGCAGTATCCGGAGACCACTTCTTTTTATTTTATACATAAATGATTTACCTGCCATAGTCAAAAAATGCAAAATTTAGATTTTCGCCGATGACACTATGATTTATATAAGTACTAAAAATATTCAGTCTGGTATCTCTTATATAAATGAAGACTTGAAACTTGTCTCAAAATGGTTAGCATCTAAACAGGCTAAAATTAAATACAAGTAAAAAAACGAAAGCCTTGTTAATCGGGAAAAAAACAATGTACAAATGTTCAACTAAATATTGATGGTGAAGATATTGAATGCGTAGAAAATTTTAAATTCCTGGGGGTTTTTGTTGACTCTCGATTAATTTTTGATATTCATTGTGAAAAAGTTATAAATAAGATTAGTAGTAAAGTGGGATATTTATCGAGAGTTTCTGGATGTCTGAGTTCATATAGCAGAAAAATTATCTATAATACCATCATTCTTCCAAATTTCTTGTACTGTTCGAGTATTCTATATTTAGCAAATAATGCCATTTTTGAAAGACTGCAGTTTAACAAAATAAATGCATGAGAATAATACTAAATAAAGATAAATATACTCCAATTAGGCAAATGCTTAGCAAATTAAAATGGCTCAATGTAAAAATGTTTATCAAATATCTTGTAATGATATTCATTTATAAAGTAAAAAATAATATATTTCCATCAAATCTAACTAATTTAACATCATCAAATGTCGACCATCATTTACATAATTCCAGAAATAAAGATGACTTCCATTTAATGACCAAAAAGTATAACATATGCTACAAATCTGTATTCCATCAAGGGTTGATTGAATATAATAAATTATACTCGGAGATAAAAGACCAGAAAACTTTGACAAAATTTAAAGTAAAATTGAGAAATCACTTGTTAAATCTACAATTATAGGTTGCCCAGCATTTACATCATACACCATATGGCTTGAATTTACTAGTTCTAAGTTGTTTACAATTATTCTGTTTATGTAGCCAAATGTGCTAAATAAATCTTTCTACTACTACTATTTATGTCTCGCCACTGACTGGACACTTCGCTCTGCTCTACTCCACCGTATTCCGTACTCTCTTTCTATCTCCCTTCCGCCGAGTTATACAGGGTGACTTCGAAGTTGAGTCATTTATTTTAACAGTGAGTAGATCTGATCAAAAGAAATGTTTTTTTCCTTTACCATTTTCCTGGTAAAATTAAAGTAACAAAGTTATAGCCCTTTGGAAGTTTGAGTACCGCCCTGTCTCAATAACAATATTATGTGGTCGTGTTTGGCGACAATGGATATAATCCGCCGTATCGGTTCATCGCATCGGAAACAAAAAAGCGAAAGAATTTGGAACGATGTTTTTACAGGTATCTCATTCATTTGGATACAGTTAGTGTCAGTGAATAGTGGTATGTGTTGCGTGGCTCAAACGAAATAAAAAATGGCACATGTTTATGCGGATCGGTTTCCCAATCGAGTGCAACCAACCCCTCGTGCCTTTGTTAATGTAGTACAACGGGCTTGTGAATCAGGTGACTTAAGACCTCACAGGGGACCTCACGATCAAATACAGGTCCGCACTGAAATACTTGTCGGGAGGATACTTTATAAAACAAGGTAAAAATTTTTTTTTATTTTTACACACATATTTTGGTTTATCTTCCTTCTACAATCATTATCTGAAAATTAATGACTCAACTTCAAAGTCACCCTGTATAGTCCGCATCGTTGAGTCTAGAAGAATCGGGAGCCACATAGCGGCCCTCCCGAATAGTCGAGGTTGCTTCGCGTCGATCTAGATGGCGATCCGCCGCCACGTGGCTGGTGCGGTCGTGATTCGCGTAAAAGCAGAGATCGGCCATGAAGCTCTAGCGAGGGGGAGACTCGCCCAACAGATGGCGCCGACAGTATGAAGAAAAACACCGCGCAAAACATACAGGGTATTCCAAAAGTGTCATAAGCGTCAGAAAAATTCCCACGTGGTGATTTAAGTACAGAGTCCGTCAGAACGAACGCATGTTTTTTTAAATGAGTAGTACAGTCGAAATAAGTATGGGAAAAAATATTTTATTATATCAAAATGCTCAGAAATACATACCGTTTTTTCGGTAAAACAAAATTTAAATGCAGGAATCAAGCCTCTCCCGAAATGAGCCCATCGCGTCGGCCAGCATCCGTGCAGGAATTTGTGTTACTTATCTTCTTATTTCCTCTTTCAAATCGACGAGGGCCCGAGGCTTGCTGCCGGAAAACTTTTGAGTTCAGGTAGCCCCATAAAAAAATCACTCGTTGACAGGTCGGGGGAGCGAGGAGGCCATGCAATATCGCCATGACGTGAAATGAGACGTTCTGTCAACTGCTTCTTCTGGTGACTGGAACCTTTGACCACGCAGTCTGTTTTTAATTTTCGGGAAAGTAAAGAAATCGTTAGGACTATATGGAGGATGGTCCAATAATTCCACGTTTTCATCTGTTAAATACTGCCTTGTTTTTTGGGCTGTGTGCGAGCTTGCATTGTCTTGGTGGAGGATGATTTTTCTTTCGGGGTTGATTTTTCGAAGCTCGGTGATCACTTTTGGCAAACAAATGGTGGTATACCAATCCGCAGTAACAGTTCTTTGCTCATTAGGAGGAATTGTTGCAATATCCCGCTTTTGACATGTCGCGTCCATCTTTTTCGAAACACTTCGAGAACGGATGACTTTTGTTGGCTTTTCTCCACCTTGGAACACCCAAACAGCCGACTGTCGTTTATTTTCTGGTTCATAACAGTAAATCCACGATTCATCACCACTAACAATGCTGTACAGATTTTTTGAGTTTCCAGAATTGAAAGGGTCAAGCGTTTTTTGACACCAATTAACCCTGAATTATGTAGTCGGAACTTCAAACTTCGTTTTAAAAAAACTTTATTTGGTTCCAACAATAGTTTACATGGACCGAACCGGAATTACAGTGTGTATGTTCGCTGTGACTGAGATTGAATGACTGACTCATAATTAAGATACAATCGTTAATATAAACCAAAAGTGATGAGCTAGTAAAAAGGAATATACGTACAATCCAATTGTTATATCAATTAATAAAGTGTTAAATGACAGCAACATAACTCCTGGCTGCTTTCTGCTCTTCAGTCAACAGGTGGGGTATCCAACGAGAAACTTATTTTCTTACTGCTAATGCTTCATGTAAAATTTTTTGAATTGAGGTCTTTGAGATCTTTAAGAAAGCCTCAATCTCGCGATATGTCACATGCCTATCTTCAATGATGAGTTTGCGCACAGCATAGACGTTTTCCTCGGTGACTGCCGTTTTTGGTGCACCCACCCTGGAATCGTCGCTAAGACTCACCCGTCCACGTTTGAATTCCCCATACCAACGAAAAATTGTCAACTGATGTAGCGCTTCGTTGCCGAAAACAGACAATAACTCAGCAAGGCATTCTTGTTGCGATAATTGTCTCCGAGAGTTGTAATAAATCACGGCGCGAACATGTTCTCGGTTGAGTTCCATTTTTCTAATGACTTGGTTACACTTAAAAATTCACTGTAGTGAGAACACTGCACGTATTGTTGTGAAACTTTGAATTTAAGTTTACTAAAGAGTGAGGTTAAGATTCAGTACTGACGTTCGATCCGCGCGGCCTACTATGTTTCTATATGCAAAACTTAAAAGACATCCCTCGTATCGTAACTTAATTTAGTGATTCTAACTAGGATGTTCAAAATTACAGTCGCCATTTATAAAATGGACAATGATACTACAGGCGTAATTTTAACATTTAGAAGTACTCGCGTCCATAGTTCGTTTTTGTAGAATAAGGACTTTCTTAGACAATTTTGGAAACAGACCCAACAAAAGGAAATGCTGTATCTTAGTGGGAACCTCATTTTAATTGTCGGTATTAGTGGATTCTTAGATTATATTAATCATGTTTGAATTTATACTTCTTGTTCTATCTGCATACGATACCAAAGGTTTTTTTTTACAGACGGTGCTCCACGTAGCTTCGATAGTACTCTCCATAGGTGCATTCTACGTGTACTCTCTGATATACAATACGTACTGCGTGCATTGCTTCGGTCTACCCAGCACGTACTGGACGATACAAATCGCCATGTCCAGGCCTATCTATTGGCTGGTCACGTTCCTATCGTGCGTCGTAGCAATACTGCCTAGGTAAGTTTGTGTGTTTGTTTCAGATTTATTTAGTGATTTGGTAGGGCTAGTTTATGTAGATCCTACGTTAAGTACCCGCAAATTGGAGACTGTGTGTGGTGTTAGTCGACGTATTGTCCAACGGATTCTAAAGGCCCATAGTTTTCATCCGCATTAAATTCACCTGGTACAAGAACTTAATGAAGACGATTACGATTTTGTGAAGATATGAGTGAACGAATTATAAAAGATGAAACTTTTCTTCACTTGGGTCCACATTATTTCGGATAATCGAGGTTCTACTGTAGCTTGGAGTTGTTCATAATTATTCTGTTTATGTAGCCAAACGTGCTGAATAAATCTTTCTACTATAGTCGAAATCACGAAAGATGACGATTACGTCATCATTTTAGTCTGTAGTAAAGACAAACGACAGCGATTTGTGAATATTTTTGATGAAGTTTCAGATATGTTAGACAGAGACAAACATAATTGTATTGTCTAAACAGACTGTATTGCTGATTTGCATGTATCCGGCAAAGATAGACGATGTTTTCATGTTGCGTGATTGATCATATTTGAAGGATGAATAGTTAATAATAATAATAATAATAATAATAATAATATTTATTCACTCAATGTACACAGACAACAAACAATATGTGTAAATAAATATAAAATCAAAACAGGCCCAATACAAGGCATCGCCTGTACATGGACCAATAAATTTAAGTTGAAACTGTAGAATGCAAATGACAAAAGAGGAAAAAAATTAGCTACAGTAGATTATGTATTTACTTGATGTTCGTATTTATGAGTTTATGAATTTCAGTCCTAGATATAGAATGTACCCACTTTTTTAAATTTCTTTTGAAACAATTTCCGAAACGTAAATCTTTTAAGTCTTTAGGTATAATTTCATAAAATTTAGGCGCTAAATAGAGATATGATCGCTGCATTATAGATTTATGCGGTTGAGGAACTACTGTGCCACGAATTTTGTACCTGGTATAATGATTATGTTTAATTTTTTGGTCGGTGTTTACAAATTTATGGTAGTGAGTGATACTGTGTAAGAAATAAAGCTGTCTTATATCATACATTCGAACATCTGCGTATAATTTTTCAGTGGGATAAAGTTTCGGTTTTTTAAATATCATTTTTAGAATACTTTTTTGAAAAACATCTAAATTATAGATATGTGAGGAACATGCAGCTCCCCACGCTAATATACCATATGTGAGATGAGGCTCAATCAGTGCATGGTATAATGTTCGAAGATATTTTTCTGTCAATATATTCCCAAGGTATTTAATTTTGTAGGATACAAATCTAACTTTCTTTAAAATATAATTGACATGGATGTCCCATCGTAAGTGAGGATCCAAGACCACTCCAAGGTATTTTATGTTGGGCACTCTATTAATTTGCATTTTTTGATCATTGATATTGAAGGAGAAATTTGTGTAATTTGGCAGATGTCTAGCATAAGATCCAAATGGTAAAAAATGTGTTTTAGAGTAGTTAATGCTTAATTTTCTACTGTTAAACCACCGAATAATTTTGATAAAATCATTTTCAATTACATTTTTCAGATCAGACCAGTCAGTGCCTTCATATAATATTGCAGTATCATCTGCAAAACTAGTTATTTTGCCAACACAATTAATTTGGAAAACATCATTTGAATATATATTGAATAACAGCGGACCTAAGACAGTTCCTTGTGGGACACCACACTTAATATACATTTCTTTACTAAACGATCCTGATATCTGCACAGATTGTGGGCGATTTGACAAATCACTTTCGATCAGTGAGTACGCGTTTCCTCTGAAACCAATTCTCTCCAATGCTTCTAATAATAATTTGTAATTAACTATGTCAAAAGCTTTCTTTAAATCAACAAAAATGCAGATTGAAGGGATTCTGTTATCAATATTTTGATGTATTTGATTTACAATTTTAGTTATTGCATCCGATGTAGCCTTCCCTTCTGTAAATCCATATTGATTTTCACTTAAAATTTTGAATTTTGTGAGGTATCGAATCATTCTAGTAGATAAAACTTTTTCAAAAACCTTTGCTACACTGGATATTATTGATATTGGTCTATAGTTGTTAACATCTGTTTTTGTTCCTGATTTATGTATCGGTATTATATTACCTTTTTTTAAAATTAAGGGATATATGCCAGATTCAAAGCATTTGTTGATTAGGTAACTGAGTGGTTCTGTTATGTCCTCGGCTATAATTTTCAAATGCTCGCTTTTAATACCATCGAACCCAGGACTTTTCCGATTTTTTAAGGACATAACAGTGGTGTATACTTCACATTGCTCGACTTTATCCAAAATAAATGAGTTCAAAGTTCTTTTTGGAGGCTGAGTATTTTGTACATTTGCTTGTATATTACTTGCTAAATTTTCGCCTATGTTAGTAAAGAATTGTACAAATTCATCGCATATCTGTTGAGTATTTTTTAATACTGTTCCCGATGTTGTATTTAACTCAGTGACACACTCTTTAACTTTTGTTTTCCCAGTAATCTCATCAATAGTTGTCCAAAGCCGCTTAGGATCATTTAAGTTATTATTCAATTTATTTAGGTAATGTTTTCGTTTGGTTTGCCTTACAAGCTCTATAAATTTATTTTTATATTGGTTGTAGCAGTCGGTATTCTCTGTAGTTGGCGTTAGTTTCATTACATTATATAGTCTTTCTTTTTCTATTGCCGATGTTATTAATCCTTTGGTAATCCAGGCATTTCTGCTTTTCTCTTTGTGACTAATTATTACTTTATTGGTACTAATATCTATTAGTTTTTTTATTTTCTCTATGAACAGTCCCGTTGCTTTGTTAGGTTATGTTAAAGCAGGTTAGGTTCTTTTTGAATAATACTTTGGTCTTTGGTGTTGCTGTCTTAAGTGTTTTTTTTTTTCAAAACTAAAACTCCCCACTAAAATTATCATTAAGGTATCACCCAAAACCATGAAATAAAATGAAAATAAAAATAATCAGTGAAATAACCTAACTTCGCAAAATCATAATATAAATTTGTTGTCATTGTGTTCCTGACATCGTGATTTTATCATCGACGTACGTCCATTGATTACTTCAGTACAATTTATGATATGACGTAATAGTCATCATTCGTGATTTTGACTATACTACTAGGTGATTAATGTTCTACTTCGAATTGTAGGTTAGTGTACAGGGTGACCCAAACGATGCTGTGTCCGGACGAAGTAACGAGGGCGCTAGTGTCGCATAAGCGGGCCGCCAGCAGAGGTGAGAAGTTTTTGGTATCTTGGTCTCGGTCCACGTCAGCGTCGTCTATATACAGGTATACACACAGGTGCGACAGAGACAGTCAGCGGTACGTCACAAATATCACATGTCACCTGTCTCTTATTGACACCAATACACACGTTGCCACCCAGAGTGATTACGCTTTTCGTTTTTGTTTGTTGAAGAGTTGTGTTTGTCTTTTTTGTTTTCACTTTGCTTTAGTATTTCTTAATGTAGAAAAGTACATCTTTTTCTAAGTAACCTATTGGAATAAAAATACTGCCGAGTCAGTTTTAAGGAGTGTATACTGCAGTCTATATAGCGCTCGAACTATTCTGTATGCCTGTTATGTAAAACATCGTATCTGACATGAAATTGCAAAATTCCCATTCAATGTCAACTTGTCTACTAAGTAGTCGTTAGCCCATTTAGCACCTCTTCGCTATAAGCGCCGCCTAAGGAGGGATGGCACAACGAATCTCATTTGGGCAGTCAATGTGACAGTTGCAGAAACAATTACATAATAAGAGCACCGAAGAGTTTCATTATTATATACTAAGTGACATATAAATCCGAACACCCAGTTTAAATGGTTTTATTTTAATAAAATTTTGTATAAGTACTTAATGAAGCATAATAAGTAAATGATCAAAATTTCAAAATGATTGCACTGCTTTAAAGCCCTTTGACCTTTAATAATGTGTGGATGCACCCTGATGTGCTACGCATTCTCCAACGCGCCTAGGCATGCTTCTGATCAGGTGGTCAATGTCCTCTTGTGGTTTCTCATTCCAGGCAACCACCAACTCCTCTCGAAGTGCTTCTAGAGTCTGAGGAGGACGTTGCAAATTGAGCAATCTCCTACCCATCATATCCCACACGTGCTCAATTGGGGATAAGTCGGGAGATCTTGGTGGCCATGGTAACAATATGACATCATTATGTTGAAAGAAGTCTATTGTGACTCTTGCAACATGTGGTCGGGCATTATCTTGTTGGAAAGTTGGATCTGCCAGGGTGTCAAGATAGGGTAAAAGATGGGGTTCTAGAACTTCGTGGATATAACGCTGCGCGTTCATGTTACCTCTGATGAAGATTAAAGGTGACCTGGAACCATAAGCTATAACACCCCAAACCATAACTCTAACAGTGTGATGAACAAGTCTTTCAACAAAAAACTGTGGATTCCTCCTTTCACCACGTCGCCTTCTAACCCTGGCACGACCATCGTGCATGCCTAAACAAAATCAAGACTCGTCACTAAAGACAATACTGTTCCATTCCTGATCCCAGAGTGACCGTTGTCTGCACCACTCAAGGCGATTACGTCGGTGTTCTCGAGTTAAAGGGAGGACCCAGTGTGGCCGGTATGAAAACAAGCCAAAACAAGTCAAAACTTCTCATTCGTCGGTAAACACTTCGCATGCCAATAGGTCTTCCGTGTTCTGCAAACCATTCATTTGCAATGGACCTGGTAGTGGAGAAACGGTCCCTTAAGGCCAATAATCTTAGGCGGCGATCTTCACGGTCTGTTGTTCTACGGCGGCGTCCAGTGCCCCTTGCTCTTTGCGTACGGCCTTTTCGAAGCCATGCCTGACAACACCTAACCACTTCTTTGCACTCTAACTGCAATTGCCCGAAAAGAAAGTCCAGCTTCCCGAAGTCCCACTATACGGCCCCTATCAAACTCACTAAGTTGACGAAATCGTACAGGTCACCGTACTCTAGGCATCGTAACCGATCGTAAAGGATGTCAAGAACCAAAATCCGCCAACGTTGATTCTTTACTGCGGCTGAAATATTCATTTTTAGAGCGTTAGTGAATTAAAAAAAAGCAGTATAAAAACCGGAATGTCCAACTGATAAGGCTGAAAAATTTTTCACTTGTTATTTACAGTAAGATAAATACATTCACCAACTTTTATTAAAATAAAACCATTTAAACTGGGTGTTCGGATTTATATGTCACTTAATATATTAGACTGCTGTTAGGACATTTTTTCTTTAATCTTTTTCTATCTACACATCTCACAAAAATACTTTCCCGATTCTTCTGGCTTACTTCAATTTTGAGTAGAAATTATCACTGTAAATGATTTTGGGTTTCTTTTATTATCCTAAAGATACATTTCCAAAAATTCGGAGTCCTTACACGAGATTCTTGTACTTGCTTTTACTGGTAAGTAGGCATGTTTCCAATTCACTTTGCTTCCATTTTTATGCTCTATATAACCTGTCATCGCGCCTGTATGTAGTGTTAGTAGACGCTGTCTTGCTTGCTATTTTCTGTACTTGCTATATTCAATTTTATCACGGACGTCTAGGCATCGATCTCACCGAAAGCAACTTATCGAATTTTTGTGTCTGTATAGGCAGCCTGTGCCTAACTTATTTTCCACTTCCTGTATCAAGTGTAGCTCGCCTGGAAGGCTCAACACTGTTGCTCTAACTTGTTTTCGGTGAGAACGGCTCCCAATAGTAAATTTGTAAATCCATCCCAGGCTTCAAAAACGATTCCAACATATTGCCTCTTTTCGCAGAACCACCGATCACAGGCCTCAGCATAACCCTTTGACAACGATCGGTTGAGGCCACCGCGAGATGGCGTTGTCGTCGCTTCTCTGATGAGGAACACATATTGCTTGCATTTCCAATGGCTGTGATCCATAATTTAAGGGACCAAGTTCGTTTCTCGTTATAGGTTATTTTTTTATTTATTGGAATTCGTTTGTCTCTTTTTTTTAAGAATCGACGACTGCACTGGTGTTGTCGACGCGATGATCCTCGTACAGTCTATTTTTTTATCGTTAATGTAGCCGAATTTATGGAGGTGAAATCATGGTGGTTTTTGGAGTAGCGTCGTACGAATAAGGAACTGTTTAATAGCAGAATTTGCTTTTTCGGACATATCTTGTCTTAGTTTATTGAATAGTGTACAGAATTTTTTGATACGAATGTGCAATATCTGAAATATCTTGCGATTTTAATATTGCTCTTCAAAAACCATCCTGTATTTGAAGCCTAGTTTATTACTAAGCTTAGTTCTTTTTATTTATACTTTTTCCCACTGTTATTCGTAGTTATTAGTGTATTATTTTCTAGAAATTCCTATTGTTAGCTGTTCATATTTTGTGCCATTTTACTTTTTTATTGATTAATTTATAGTTGGAATCAAATTGATGAAAAGTGTACTTATTTACTTTGCATACCGTTTAAAATATACACAATAAAACAAAATCATCTACTGGTTATTCAGGGGTAAAATCACCGAGGAAAAGAAAAAAATGGAGTTAGTTTTTTTTAATTCCAGAAACCAGATCATAAGGTTCGTTTTCGAGAAATCACTCTTGCTTTTTTTAGCTTTTCTTGACTCTAAACCAATTTTTTTGTAATTCCATTGGCTCCACGTAGCTAAACAACAAATGATTTTGCATATCATGAATGTCAAATTATAGAATGAAATGATTGTGCTCGTATTTTTTGTTTCTGAAATCACACTTGCCAGATAGCACAAACGTTTCACGTCTATTTAATTTGATCTTTATTTTGAATAGTCCATGACTGTGAACGTTTTTGTATATTTTAGAACGAGGTACGTCAGTCAATTCCTGGATACCGTGTAATAATGCCTTAAGGATGAATATGTAAACCTTACTTCTAACAGACTGTGTGATGTAATATAAAGATGTTGATTTTATAGAGAACTCTAAACGAATTGTTAATTCTAGTTAATTTTAGACTACCTTTCTAAATATATTTATGTACCTAATGATATATGGTATATCAGTATTAAACCATCGATTCTAATCTGTGAGTTTTGTTTTCCCCCTAAAAGGAGCGTTCACGAAATCAATTCTTGAAAACGAGGGAATAGACAGGAAATGGGAAGAGGCTTTTCTACGCAAATAAAACTGAGAATTGACTGTCAATATTATCCTACCTGTTGCCTGGAAAACTAACAACTTATAAAGGTAATTTTCAATTATACTAAACTTTGTGCAATCTTACTACACAATTTCCAATGATACTAAAAATCTGTGTGGGTAGCCATGCAAAACAGTTTTCCGTAATATGATTAGTCCGTAAAGTTTTTATACACAATTTTCAACAATATTAAAATTTGTCTGTGCAATCTTGCTAGACAATTTCGTACAGAATTTAGAATTATATGATCAGTGTGTGCGGTCTTTCTATACAATGTTCAATGATACTACGATTTGCCTGTAAGGTTTTTTTTACACAATTTCCGATTATACTAAAATTTGCCTGCGCAGTCTTGCTACATAATTTCCGATGATACTGTACTATGATTTGTATGTTAAAATTTATCAAATATATGACAGAAACAGTGTAACAACCATCCTACAGTTGCTCGATTTCCCACTATAAACAGCATTGTGTTATGCTAATAATACAATAGTCGAGAACTACTATAACACTGGTCAACACTGGTTTTGCCACACGAACTTTGACAGCTAATTTTGTTTTATCAGTCTACCCTCATTATTACATGACAGCTGTCATATGTCTATTAGCCTCATATTTATTGTGATACGGTAATACTCATAACTAGTACTACGGCAGTAAATTAACAGAAACGCTTACAAGTAAATCCTTATAAAAATATTTGTTGTTGAATTTGAACACTTTTTTGTGATTTATTAACCCTGTGAATATGTCGAGGAAGTGTAATAATGATCCTAACTCTTTTTGTTATGTCTGCGGAGAACCAGCATTCAAAAAACAACGACGAAATTTTACGAATCTTGTGTTGGAGTGTTATCACCAATGTTTTGGTTTTTCTGTCGCCCATCAAGACAAATCCTGGGCCCCTCATGTCTGTTGCATAACGTGTGTGAAAAATTTAACTGACTGGAAGAAAGGTTCACGACCTATGCCGTTTGCTGTACCCATGATATGGACTGAACAGCGAGATCACGTTTCAGATTGCTATTTTTGACTCACAGACATAAAAGGTATAAATTACAAGAAAAAAACCACAGTTATTTACCCTAACTTATCTTCGGCTATAAGACCAGTTTCTCATTGTAAAATATTGCCAGAACTAATACCAGTTGCAACTACGTCTGTTGAGAACAATTCACAACCGTCCACTTCAGGTGAATGTGTTGACGAGGACGATGACTTTGAGTTAAAAGGAATTGTAAACGAGCCACATTTGATAACTCAAGGAGACCTAAATGATTTGGTTCGGGATTTAAATTTGTCAAAAAAGCAGTCAGAACTATTAGGATCACGTCTAAAAGAATGGAATTTGCTACATCATAATACAAAAGTTAGCTATTTTCGAAACCGTGATCAACACTTCAGAACGTATTTTTCTCAGGATGGAGATTTGGTGTTTTGCAATAACATAAATGAGATTATGAAAATGTTGGACATAGATTTTGATCTCTCTCAGTGGCGTTTATTCATTGATTCTTCGAAATCAAGTCTAAAAGCAGTGTTATTGCATAATGGAAATAAGCTTCCGTCTGTACCTCTGGCCCATGCTGCAAATATGAAAGAAACCTATGAAAATATGAAACTTTTACTTGAAAAAATAAATTACAGTACATATTCTTTCAAAATCTGCGGTGATCTTAAAGTTGTTGCACTATTACTTGGACTTCAGCTGGGTTATACAAAGTTTTGCTGCTTTTTATGTGAATGGGATAGCCAAGACAGAACTAATCACTATATAAAAAAAACATTGCCTACGCGTGCATCGTTAGTTCCTGGGCAGAAAAACGAAAAGTATTTACCCCTTGTACAGCCAAATAATATGCTTCTACCACCATTGCATATCAAATTAGGATTAATAAAAAATTTGTGAAGGCAATGGATCGCAATGGGAGTGGATTTTTGTATCTAAAAGAAAAATTCCCTAAATTAAGTGATGCAAAGATAAAAGAGGGTATTTTTGTTGGCCCTCAAATTAGGGAGTTAATAAAAGATTCAAGATTTGAAGAAAAATTAAGCGATTTAGAAACATCTGCATGGAAGGCTTTTAAAAATGTTGTTGCAAATTTTTTGGGTAACCACAAGAGTGACAGCTACAGAGAGTTTGTTAGCGAGTTATTATTGTCATATCAAGCATTGGGTTGCAACATGTCACTTAAGATCCATTTTTTAGACTCGCACCTGGATTTTTTTCCTGACAATTTAGGGGCTGTCAGCGACGAGCACGGTGAGAGGTTCCATCAGGACATTTCTAATATGGAAAAGCGGTACCAGGGCAAATGGAGCCCAAATATGTTAGCAGATTACTGCAGGACAATTAAAAGGGACCAACCAGAAGCTAAATATTCAAGAAAATCTTAGATTATTAAGTCATTTATAAAAAAAAATTACTTTTGATTTACGAGATCTGTTTTTTTTTTAATATTTTAAATTACTCAATAGAATAAAATCCTTGTCTAGCAAATTTTTTTTAACGGTTTATTTTTTCTTACAATCACCAATTAAAGTAAAAAATATCAAAAAAGTCCGTGTGGCACGTCAAAGTTAAAATTTTGTTGACCAGTGTTATATAAAGAATTTACTTAATCATATAATTCGGACAAATATCTGTCTACACAGTGCCAGGACTGTGTTTATTCTTGAATATATGCACCCTATTATCACTCCCTCCAGATACCAAATATTTCCTGTTGGTCCAATCGACTTTCAAAACTTGCCCCTCATGCCCTGCCAAATCATAAAGAGGGGCTTTTGGACTCCTGGTGTCCCACAATTTCACAGCAGCATCATATCCTCCTGACACAAACAAATGTTCATCATACTCTGACCATTTCACTGAAGTCACCCACATTACATGAGACGTAAAGGTGACTTTACAAACAGCCCCCTCTTGTGCTCTGGGATCGTAAAGTCTCACGTGCCTGTCAGCGCTAGCTGTCAATAACGTTTTCGTCAAGTCTGACCATGAAGCGTCTAAGAATGCTTTTTGACCGACAGCTTCATTTTTAATGCCGCATAACTCCGTGTCCCAAATCTTGATGGTATGATCCATGCTGGCTGTACAGATTGACGCGTTGTCTATCCATTGACAACTGCTTATAGTTTCCTTATGTCCTTTAAGAGTATGTATAGGCGTCTTGACTGGAGGTCCGCTTCCACTACCTCGACTACGTTTCTGAGCTGGTTCACCGCTACTATCGTCATCACCAGTCGACCATATCTTTAAGTTCGTATCCCACCCTCCAGTAGCGATCCTCTGTGCATTTGGACTGACAGCAACACTGTCAATGCCTCTTTCGTGACCCCGCAATGTCACGACCGGTTTTGCTGTGTTGGTTTCGGCCTCGTATTGCCACAAAATGCCTGTGCGGTCATGCGAAACGCTGATGAATCCACTTTCGGGTCGCTGGACGTCGAGCCAACGCACAGCTTTTACGATATCGCTGTGTTGTCTGAGCGATGTGACCAGGCGACCGCGCGTTGTCCATATATTCACGGAGTTGTCGTAACAGCCAGTCAGGATCAAATGGGCGCCAACCGATGTATGAATGCCAGATACCTGGAAAGAGTAAGATTTGTTATCGCTGTGTGCGAGATGACTGCGCCGCAAAGTAAAAATAAAACTGGATGTTTTGATAAGAATGCTTGGCTTGTTTCTCATTGAAATTAAATAAAACCAAAGGAAAGCATTTGAAGTTGTGCATAATAAACTGAGTCATTTTCAATTTCGACTGATCAATGATACTATAACTTTTGTACACAATTTCGAATGGTACTATGATTTTAGTTTGTCTGTGAAGTTTACGTAAGCAATTTCCAATGATACTATGATTTGTCAGTGAATTTTTTGCCCTAATTTCTAATTATGTTAAAATTTGTAGGAGGTCTTTCTATACAATTTTCAATGATTAGGATTGGTCCGAGAAGTTTGTGTAAACAATTTTTAATTATACATTTGTCCGTTTTTGTACACAAGTTCCTATGATACTAAAGATTTGTTTGTACAGTTTTTGTACATAATTTCCAATTAACCATCTGTTCACAATTTCGAATGATACTACACTATACAAGTTATCAATTATACAGGGTGACTTCGAAGTTGAGTCATTTATTTTAACAGTGAGTAGATCTGATCAAAAGAAATGTTTTTTTCCTTTACCATTTTTCTGGTAAAATTAAAGTAACAAAGTTATAGCCCTTTGGAAGTTTGAGTACCGCCCTGTCTCAATAATAATATCATGTGCTCGTGTTTGGCAACAACGGATATAATCCGCCTTATCGGTTCATCGCATCGGAAACAAAAAAGCGAAAGAATTTGAAACGTTTATCACGATGTCAGTCAATGTTTCAGTCGGTAACGCGTGAGTGAATAGTGGTGTTTGTTGCGTGGCTCAAACGAAATAAAAAATGGCACATGTTTACGAAAATGCTGAACTTGTGAACTGGTGGACATGATTCTTATTTAATCGAGTGCAACCAACCCCTCGTGCCTTTGTTAATGTAGTACAAAGGGCTCGTGAATCAGGTGACTTAAGACCTCACAGAGGAGGGCATGCCGGTGCTTCAAGACCGCACGAACAAATACAGGTCGGAAGGATACTTTATAAAACAAGGTAACATTTTTTTTTATTTTTACACGCATATTTTGGTTTATCTTCCTTCTACAATCGCTATCTGAAAATTAATGACTCAACTTCAAAGTCACCCTGAATATGTCAGAAACAATGAACTAGCCATTCTACAGTTTAATTTTAAACGATAAATAGCAGTTCATTAAGATTGTGGTAATGTATAGTTATTATATAACGTATTTAAAAAGAATTTTTCAAGAATTCTTGCGTACTGAGCATCTGGTAGAAAACTGACATGCTGGGTAATCCAGGCACATAGATTCCAAATCTGATGTCATTCTTGTGGCTCCAAAGAGCGAATTTCTTACACAAATTCGGCCTCTCAAATTACCTAACAATACAAAGTTATGTACACATTTAGCCATTGATAGGGAAAATAGATTTTTAGCACCTAAAAGACATAAGTTTTGCATATTTTCATTAAACAATAGGCTGATCATCATAAATGGAGACAGTTACATTCAGAATAACTTCAGATTTGGTTTCAGTAACCTAAAGTATGTATGGCCATTTGAGCTGCATTAGAAGCATTTTAATTTGTAGTGGGCATTATAATACATTTTTTTGAGTTAATATACTGAAATCTGGAGCCCATAAAGTTCAACAATATCTTGTTTTTGGAATGATGACATAAACTCTATAATAAACCACATAATAGAGATTTGAAGAAATCCAAATGTGTAAATTCCAATTTGGCGCTGAGGTCAACAAGAAGCAACAGGAAGATTTGATAGTGCAAACCTCTATAGGTTAATATTTCAAAAAATCCTTGCCTAATCCTTCTTAAATTGCAACCTTATTATTGAATTGTTAGCTACTGAACCTAATCATACAACAAAACTTGTTACATACCCAGTCATCATGAAGCAGTGAATCCTTGGGCTCAGGTGCTGGAGTTCTCTCCACATATTCCACATCCACAGTACATTCCGTTGACACATTATGCTCCTTGAGGTGCTCGATCAGTGGCAATCTCAGTAGCTCGTTTTGAACAAGGAAGTCAAACTGTTTCTCCTTCAGAAAATCTTCGCCCTTGTACTCTTTCAAAAGTCCATTCAGCAATTCGTTTAAGGTAGTTGTATCCACATTCTGGGGTACTGACAAGGGGGCATCTGTCACAGCGTATGATTCTTGTTTTGTAAGAAGACGTATTTGCAATTTACCATCATCCATTTTCAAATGCACCGAAATTTGAGCACAATACAAAAATTCAACATTGGTAAAATGAAAAAGTGTGGTTGAAGTTGATTGATGTTTGAAAAATACAGGTTTTTGAACACTTTTGACAAACACGTGCGATGCCTAATTAAAGATACCTGTAATTGAATCGAAACGATATCCGCAGTGACCTATAGGTGTCGCCACTTTTTCTGTTACGGCGTCATCTATGAGAAAAAAATAAAAGCACTTTTCCATTTGGTAAAGATTTCTTTACCGTACTTATTTTAGTTAAGTTGATATTCTATAGATGTCGCTAATGTATTAGTGGAAGGCATTCCAATTATTAGTCCAAGATAATAATGAAAAATTTGGAAAATATTATTTTTGACTCAAATGTGTGCCGAACGAATTGTCAGATAACAGTTTGAAGTTAATTTTGGACAGTGTTACTCCGGAATAGTCACATATGGCAGGGACTAATGCTTTCGAATGACATGGCGGTAAAATGGAAAAGTTGCCAAAACTTCAAAATTCACATTTTTGCTAAACCTTCAAAGTTAGAGCACTTTACCAGACTGAACCTGACGACCACCTAGGACCCTGAAATTTCGCAAAGCCTCATAGCTCTTTAGTCCAGTCTGAGATATGGCCTGTCATGCCAGGTCGTGGAATTACAGTTTTGACTCATATTTATATATATTAGACATATTCCACACACTTAGTAAATTTGACCTTAAAACTTTATAGACTCTAGATCGCAACATTGTAAAACAAGTGTGGACTATGGACCAATTGATTGGGCCTATTGACTGACTTGATCCACTCATTTTTTTATTACATATGTTCATAGCTAACTTTTATTCTCAGAGGGATTAACTTGTTCCAAACATATCACTGACTGATGATACTTGACGCTATGTTTTCTTTGCGAGTCGAAACATGTTACTAGCTTTGCAACCTCATTATTCTTTTTTGACTATCCATTTCCTGTGGAAACTATAAACTAACTAAAAGCGTATCTATAATACTGTCTTGATTCGAAAGTATTATAGATACGCTGACCACTGAAATCTTTGTGAAGTGAAACTTGTTCAGTACAGTATGTACAATGAGTGACAAAAAATGGATTGCATTTTTTTGTTGCTTCTTGTTTGAGACTGAATACTGAATGTAGATTTGTAGATATTGCAGGTAACAAGACTCAAGAGACTGACCGTCAGTTGTAAAGAATGGTGTCTAGCCCGGGGACCCGGGGACCAACAGCGTAAATTTAACACTTTTCATTTCCATTTTCTTAATGTTGTGCAACCATTTCACTGTGGAGTGGATAGTCTTATTGGGTTTTTTTTTTTTTTTTTTGTTCTGTTATTGGCACTGGTCGATGACCAACTGGCCAGATCCTTATGTTCAGTATAATGCTATGCTTTAATAGAAAATATAACATCCATTACTTAATATTACTATTATATATTATTTCTATTATACTTTGTAGTATGCAAACACATATTTCTTTTTTTTTTGTGTTTTTTTTTTTTTTTTCAACCAATACTTTTTACTTATTTTTTCCTTTTCTCTATTTTATTTATAAGATTGTTCTTTTTTTGTTTTTTTTTTAACTGATCTGCTTTTTTTTTTTTTTTTTTTTTCAATATTTTCGTCTTTTATATTTCAAAAGTTGTCTTGCATGGCAACGTTTTCTCCACTCGGACCGCTAATTTTTTTATCTCCATCTATAGAAAAATATACAGGGTGACTTTGAAGTTGAGTCATTAATTTTCAGATAATGATTGTAGAATTAAGATAAACCAGAATATGTGTGTAAAAATAAAAAAAAATTAAAAAAAAATTTTTACCTTGTTTTATAAAGTATCCTCCCGACAAGTATTTCAGTGCGGACCTGTATTTGATCGTGAGGTCCCCTGTGAGGTCTTCAAGTCACCTGATTCACGAGCCCGTTGTACTACATTAACAAAGGCACGAGGGGTTGGTTGCACTGGATTGGGAAACCGATCCGCATAAACATGTGCCATTTTTTATTTCGTTTGAGCCACGCAACAGACACTATTCACACGCTAACCGACTGTATGTATAACTGAACTGAATAAAATACTTAATTGCAAAAACGTCGTTCCAAATTCTTTCGCTTTTTTGTTTCCGATGCGATGAACCGGTAAGGCGGATTATATCCGTTGTTGCCAAACACGAGTACATGATATTATTATTGAGACAGGGCGGTACTCAAACTTCCAAAGGGCTATAACTTTGTTACTTTAATTTTACCAGAAAAATGGTAAAGGAAAAAAACATTTCTTTTGATCAGATCTACTCACTGTTAAAATAAATGACTCAACTTCGAAGTCACCCTGTATAAACTAGTACTTTTTTGTGTAGGTTTCAGCTTTTATTTAGTACTAGTTCGTGCCTTTACCTGAAGAGTTCGCTAATGTCATTCCTTCTGTCATTTCTGTTAGTGTTCTGTGATTCTTGTCAGTTGTCAACTTTGTGATTTGTGTTACTCTTTTTGTGGCCGTATCGAATACGAAAAGGTTTGTTTCCATTAATATTTCTACAATCCTGTGATATTTACTGAAATTTTTCGTTTTAAAACTTTACCTAAGATTTACTTTGTTCATTGTTCATCGTATTGACAAGCTATTATAACGCGGTTCTTTGATTTCAGGCCACTAAAATGGGTCGGCGACCAGCCAGATGGTAAGTGTTGTTTTTTTTTCGTTGTGAAGACTATTACTGCAAACATCTATGGCTCTACGTTTGTTAATACTAATTTTCTTTTCAGTTATCGTTACTGTAAAAACAAACCATACCCAAAATCGCGTTTCTGTCGCGGTGTTCCCGACCCGAAGATCCGTATTTTCGACCTTGGTAAGAAAAAGGCGTACGTAGACGATTTCCCTCTTTGTGTACACTTGGTGTCTGACGAATATGAACAGCTCAGCTCCGAAGCCCTCGAAGCAGGCCGTATCTGTTGCAACAAATACCTGGTCAAGAACTGCGGTAAAGATCAGTTCCATATCCGTATGAGGCTTCATCCTTTCCATGTTATCAGGATCAACAAGATGTTGTCATGTGCTGGAGCTGATCGGTGAGTCCCACACATAGTTTTTTTTTCCTATTAAAATAACTATCGCGGTTTTTTTCGGGTCACAATCATAGGTACCGGTGCTACATAGAAATGGTATTGTTTGCATTTTTTACATGCATAGTAGTGTCTATTATACCCGTTTTACATTGACAATAAATCCAGGAAATGTAAAACAGTATTTGATGTCAAATAAATCCATGTAGTTCTTTGTGCATTTCTTCTTAAAACTTGTTCTAATTTTTGCCAGGCTGGATGTCAAATTCTGTGGTGCCAACCTTGTTTTCCTTTCCATTATACTTTTCAATTCATGTATAGAACTTTGATGGAACTACAATATTCAACATGTTTCTGTTTATGAGATTTTCTTTAAAATAAAAACCACAATGCACATTAAAATTGAAATGTTTCTAGCAAGAATTTACGTGTTTAAAATTTTTCAATAATCTGCCAAATGAAATTAAAAACATGAGCATAAATAATTTCAGTTGTAGCTGTTTTAAGATAGATATATAATCATGTAACAAGAAAAAAAAGGTCTGAGGGGAAACTACTATAGTTGCGGTGATAGTGACACATTTCATTTTGTAGCACCTATACAATTTCTGCAACGTCATTTTACAATGTGAAATATATTTTATTATTATTATTTTCCTTTTAGTCTCCAGACTGGTATGAGAGGTGCCTTTGGCAAACCCCAAGGAACTGTGGCTCGTGTGCACATCGGCCAACCCATCATGAGCGTTCGCAGCAGCGACAGATTCAAGGCAGCGGTCATTGAAGCACTGCGTCGTGCCAAGTTCAAGTTCCCCGGTCGCCAGAAGATCTATGTTTCCAAGAAATGGGGCTTCACCAAGTACGATAGGGAGCAATATGAAAAGCTGAAGGCTGAGGGCAGGTTAGCTCCTGATGGCTGCAATGTGCAGTACAGGCCTGAGCATGGGCCGTTGGCCAACTGGAAGAAGGTCCAGGCTGACCTTGTCTCTTCTTAAGTGTTGTCTTCGAGTTTTCAATAAATTTATTTAAATAAATTTTTTGTGTTTTGTCTTGTTCCCTGTATGAAACATAGCGCGTTGTATATATATGAAATTTTTATCTTTTGATAAAAAGTCCAAATTTGAAATTCAAAAAACGAGGTGCTAAACCATTTCAAACCAAAATTTGGTTACTACTTTTTTCCATTTTTCAATGTACCCTATTTCACGAGTATCCATCAGGGTAGAATGACAGCTGATTATCTAGTAAAAGCTCAAAATTCCCCATATCAGCACAGGACACATAATTCTGACGGATCCGTCAACGTCACGTAGTCAGAGCCGTATTGTGTTTTGGTTTTTTGTACGCTTCAGATTCAGTTTGTACTTGCTAATAGCTCTTTTATTTAGAAAAGTTCATTTACATACAAAACGCTGGGGATAACGAAAATGACAATGTGTCAAGATTGTTTTTTTTGCATTAAACCCATACCAGACAATGAAGGATGGTAAAAAAACATGCGTGTGAAGGTAGCTCCACAATCCTACGCGCCGCTAGATTGCAGCGGACCGAATAAATGCTGTCCACCTGCGTTACTCATAGAAGCCCGTGGCGCGCATACGAGGAGAGCGCAGTAATTATACAGGGTTATACAGGGTGTTTCAGTTTATTGATGCATAACTTTAAGATTCGATAGAACTTTTAAAATTAATGCATAAAGTCTATATAAACATGGGTCGAAAAATGCGTGGCTTCCGAAATACAGGGTGTTTAAATTTACTTTTTAAAATAGTTTTTTTTAAATATTTCGAACAATATTTGCTGTATAACAGTGAAAATTGGTATACAAGGGTTTTTTGGTCCGACAAAACGAACCATGGGCCATAGTTTTACTGTAGCCACTAGAGGGCTCTACTGTAGCTGTAGTGTATTAAAATGACCGAAAATTTTTTCTTAGTTCAATTTTTTGCTTTTTGAATAAAAAAACTGATTCTTCGCACTTTTCTGCATAAAAAAGCTCTCCTGTGAGTTTTCGTTATAGTTAGCCGTTTTTGAGATATTTCGATTTTTAAGGTTCGATGCATTTTTAATTATTTATGGGAAAATAATATTTTTTTTTACATTTTCGATTTGGGCATTACAAGTAATTAAGATGATCGTATCTAAAGCTAGTCGTACATCTCAACTCATAACAAACAGGCCTGTCGTGTACGGTGCGCGATACTCCCAGAAATTTAGGAAACATTTTTTTTCGTGATAACCTGCAGAAGTGCGTGCATGTGCTTTTCAGGGTTTAAAGGACACAACAAAAGCTATTCTAATCAGTTATCAAAAAGTAGTTTCAGACGGTCTTGCACCCCAGCTCCAAAGAAAGAAGTCTGTCGCGTACGCTGCAATCGAATCTGGGGCCCACTCAGTCCGAAAATGTCAAGACCACTCGTAATCAAAAAATACTCCGACAACTCTCCAGGTAGATCGGTAATGACAGAACAGTTTTATAAACTCCCCAGCTTTCGGCTTTTTTTGTACAGTGGTCAGAAGGGTTGCCAACCGAAGAGTTTTAACTGTATATTAGCAGTATTTCAAAAATATTTCATATTTTCAGTTCTACAGTTTTTCGTTTAAGATGCTCGCGCCATCTGTTTTGTTTACTAGGAAGTCAGAAGTTCATACAATAACTCGGTCTTAGTAAAATCGATCACTTGCCAGATTGAATTATACGCGAAATCTATTTTGAATCAAATTCTTTTTGAAGCGGTTCTGGTTCTGGATGACCTTAAGTGACATGAAAATGACGGAATTCAATTCAAATTTTGACATTTTTATGTCACTCAAAGTGAACCGCTGCGAAAAGAACTTGATTTAAGTTAAGTCAGAAGTGCGCTATTCGTAAGCAATATACTATTTTTCACGAGTATCTATCGCGGAACAATGTCAAAAAGGGCAGCTGATCATGCATGCAAAAAGCAAATTCTTTTTGAGCGGTTGAGGTTCGCCTTGAGTGAATTTGGAAAGCTTTTATGTCACGCAAGGCCAACCAGAACCACAACCACTCAAAAAGAATTTGCTTAAGCAATGCAAAACTGTCACTTTTTGACCTTGGTCTGCGATATATACTCGTGAAAAATACTGTAAATGGTAGGCTGTATACTGACAGTTTTTTAAATAAACAGCTTTTTTCATGTTCATATACAGTTATTATCTCGGATGGTGTTGGCAACGCTGGTGGTCGGTGATTGTGTCTGGGATCCGGCCATGTGAATTTAGTCTATACATTGTACGAGAATGAGCGGAATTTGTGTGGCGGCATCCTGGATACGGTCACTGACAGGTTACGACACCTATAGGAACAGGGCTTCAACAGGATAAAATATTTTTTTGACTATTTCTTTAATGAAAAAAAAACAAAGTTTTTACTATATAAATGTATTTAATATCTATGTGATCTAAAATTACATGATCATTAATAGGAGAACAATGATTTTCATTTTCTCTACTATCTATTAGGGGAATATGGTTTCTTGGTGACTGCATTCGCACTTGGGCGAGGGAAACCCCTAGAAAACCTCAACCGTCACTGCTCAGATTCTGTATCAGGTGAAGAAAAATCAAGTCGTTCCACAGTTCTGGGTTCAGTTGTTCAATCGAAAATCTATAATCCACCATCATGCCACAGTTATTAACCTGAAAAAAAAGTAGCATTGAAGTAACGGTTTCTATGAGGGTCATTTTTTAAGTAAAACCGTTTTGTATTCGAGTCAGAGAAATTTTATTTATGAATGTAAATTGTATCACAAACTAAAATATAAACTTTTTTTTTTTATTTTTTAACACAGAGTCACCAGAAACATTCACAATACAAGTCGCGTGGTACCAGTTTTTGGTTAATGTACCATCTGAAACTTTTATCCTGTGGTTTTCATGTCGACTATTTCCCTCGTATTAATATTAATATAAATTGTATGACAGCACCTGTCAACAGTTTTTTCGAGTTTACCAGCGGCAAAACTTGTCACCAAAAATTGCAATATGATTGACTGATAACAAGTAATTATGGTCTCCTAGGACACCAGAAAACGACGCCAAACAATTTTTCCGATTTTATTGTCAATAAATTTTGTAAGCTAATTGTATGCAGAATAATGTTACCCATGAAATAGTCTTGTCAAATATCATACGGGCATTTAATTTTTCTCGGAAAAACTAGATGCCCTTATAATAATTCCCCATATTTCTCTGGCCAATCGAAATCGCATGTGTTGAAAAAATCTTTATTGTAAATGTTTCCGTGACCACTGTGACAATCTTCAGTACAATGACTTTGACGATATATTTTATTTATGTTTTCCAGGTGATACTCGTGTTTTTTCTTTTCATTTTCATATTCCTATACAGTGTGTTACTACAATAGTATGAAAGGTCCTGTAACATGTCAGATGGCACCCCACACAACCAGCACAGCCCAGGACAGCGATAAGCGGGCATGACTTTTGGTCAGACTATACTTTAGCGCATAAAGACCGAAATTCTCTTTTTTCGGAACAAAATTGAAGACATCAATAGAAATGATCATTTTTTAAGGAAAATGGATGTGAAACTATAAAAAATTGTTGTTTTTGCAAACTCGTTGATTGTTATGCAATCTTCGAATAAAATGCTGCGACCTCAAAATCAGCGCTAATTATGTAAAACATACCTGTTCATTACATCAATTCAATTGATCTTCATTCTGCATGTACCAGCCTGCAATCATCTTCAAAAGGGTGAAGAAATATAACTTTTGGCCTCATTATGTTGGTTTCCAAATATGTCCCGAAATTTCTTCAAAAGTTGTATGGAAATCGTGAACATTATTAGAAGCTTTTGCTTGGAACCTGGCTGTATTTCGTAGAATTTCATCAATATATTGACAGTAGACCATACTGCTATTATCCACAGATTTATCTACAAAGAGAGTTCACATAAGTATTCCCATTCAAATAACACCTCTGGTTAGTTTGAAACATCAAGTAGGTTGACGCTGTATTTATTTATTTTAAGTATAGTTTGAGTGGAAAGTGGTGTAGAAAATACATATTTTTTGAACGTTTTCAAGACCCTCAACAGTTCAAAATCAACCTTCTTGATAACATACTCTCCAATGCTTACCCTGTAAGAATTTTTATGTATATGTGTTCTATACATCGGGACTTTAATCATTGTCAACATGTTATATTGTTCCTATTCAACCTCTATCTTTACTCGACTCGTGCATGCCCAATGAAACATTATCCAGCTATCCAGGCATAGCATTATTTGGAACAGTTGCCTATACAAATTATTCATTATCTCAAGCTTATCACGCTCGGGTTGTCTATAACGTGTGCCATTCCTGAAATTGGGGGAGTCCCGCTGCCAAAGCTTGATAAAAATATTTGAGCTATGGTTCTGAAAGAAAACCTGAAAGTTTTTGAACAGCAAATATGTAAAAATAAGAAATGTGCAACCACATCTTAGCTAAAAGTAGATAGGTTCGTAAAATATGTACCTAATAGAAATAGTAAACACCAAATGTAAGCTAAAATTAAAATTATACTAATATATCATTATTCCTGATATACGGAATGTTCTCATTCTCACCTAAAAGCTGAAACAAACTAAGAAAAACACTTGCGCTTGCGACAACAGACCTATGAAATATGTAAAAACGAGATGAAATATATTTTTGGAGACCATCACGTGGCCACAGCCTGGAGTTAGTACCAAAGTTTTACAAACGACCTTGCATGCTGGGGCATCCTGCCTCATACCTTTAATTATCTACTACTAGCCCTACTATCACTAACTACAACCACTACTGCTACTACTATTACCACTACTACCTTCTTCTCTGGTTACTTAGCATCTAAGGATACACTTATGAAACCTGAAGTTTTCACATCTCTCATTCCTCATAAGCACTGGACGATCTTATGTCAGCCACGTCTTTTGCAATACATCTCTCTGAAACTGATTAACCACGAAACATTTCTTCACACGTTGCTTGTAAAAAGTAATAATCATTTTCAATTCAGCGGTTGGAGTGTATCATATCATACTTGTGTGTACACCATATTAATACCTAGCAGTTTTTATAAATTCTGGATCCTGATGAACAGCTCGGCTATGGAATTCCTTCCTTCACTTTTCAGTCTTCTTGACGGACCTTTGCACAGTGTAATCGTTTATCACAGTTTCGCTAGTTGAAGATGAAGTAAAATGTTTGAGGAAACCTATAACAGAAGTCCTATATAAAATATAAAAACAAATTTACCTCTACGCCCGACATCTTATTTGAAGTTCTCTAACGCAAACGTTTCTCCTGAAGCATATGTTTTATATACTCCGATTCTCTCTACTTTCAAAGCTTGCAACCGTTTTGTTATGTTTTCTAACTTTTCTACTGGATCGACGCTTTTTCCTATTGATCCCCAACCATCCAAATGGGGCACCCTGTCTGGACAAGAGTCGTCGACCACGTGTTCTTACATTCCAGCAAACTGCCACAGTCCCTGTAAAAAGTATAAACAGCAGTACTACATTAATAAAACTCTCATTCTCACACTTTGGGCAGGAAAAGCGGATGGGAAAATTCTATCGAGCGTTTCCGCAGGCGAACGCCTATAAAAGATTTCTCTTATCTGAAAAAAAAGTTACTTGGGTACTATTTTCGTAGTTTGTTCTCATGTTTTCAAATATCTGGTAAAATAAATGAATATAAATAAAATAGTTCGCTATAATATATTGACACCTTTCATAATAAATGGTTCGCACGCACATGGAAAATACCCTTTGCATGTTTCCGCAGTCCGTAGTCACCAACGATGAGCCACTGCTAGTAACTTCGGTTTTAGGGTATATGCACCTATTCAAAATGTACGAAAAAATATGTTGATAAATTACCAAAATGTATTATATAGAAGTCCTATTCATGATGAATTGTGCCCCCGCGAGCTCTGCGCAGGGGCATGATCAGTCGTCTGCATCCCTCGATGTGCCCCCACAATACAAAGTGCCCAATCTAAATTCCCTAGCTACATTTTATATGACTATTCCGATTCTCTCTACGTTCAAAGTTTCCAACCGTTTTATCTATCCTAACTTTTTTACTGAACGGACGCTTTTTCTTAGTGATCCCTAACTATCGAAGTGGGGCACCCTGTCTGAGTGAGGGCAGTATAAAGAGTCGTCAACCAGCAGGTTTATCAATCTTGCAGCTCTGGCTCGATGTGGCTGTAAACCCTAATTGCACTTACCTTTCAGCAAACTGCTCCAGTCCCTGGAACAAATAGAAACAGCATGAGTATACAAGTACTACGTGATTAAAACTCACTCTCACACTTTGGGCAGGAAAGGTGGATGGACAATTTAAGTGTGCAGGGGAAAAAAAGATAAATGTCACAAATTTGATGTAATGTAGTTAGAACCGGCAACATACAGTCTTAACGCAGTACAATCCCATGATGTATCGGAAACCCGCAAAAACAATGACACTCAATAGTTATACCCGATTGAAAACTTGCCGTGCAGGGAAAAAAGATGAATGTCACAGCCGTTGTTTGAAAAAAGATGAACGTCCACTAATCGTCACCGAAACTAGTAGTAATCTAATCATATTAGCAAATTTCCCTAAATAATTGTAAAGTTTGCTTTTATTAGTCCAAGTTGTTCAAGGGAGTATTTAAAATATGGACGCATAAAATGGGTACACCAATTTTTGTGGGAAAACTTTTTATTTGACAACAAAGAATGAGAAAACGGGTTTTTTAGGATTTAATCGAAGGTGTTGGCAGGAACGAAAAACCTCTTTTTGCTGATTTATCAACCCTTAGATTTTAAAGGGTGCATACGACGAAATGCTAACACATTAAAAATGTTTAAAATAATCAGGAAAGAATTATTCCCCCATCGGCAATTTTTTTATAATATTTAAGAGTGAATATATTTTTTTTAAATTTATCACCCTGTATCTTGGAAACTACATTTCCGGACCCATGTTTATAGAAACTTTTATTCACACACATAAAAAATGCTTAAAATCATCAGGAGAATCTCAAAATACAAAAAGGATTTTCCATTAAAAAATGTTTGGTCTGCTTTCACTTTTGGGATACCCGGTATATATAAAAATATCATTTATTTACTTTCACTATTTTTTTCAATTCCTTATAATAAGGAACCTGCGGTACTCCGTCAGATCTTTAACCCACCCTGTATAACGAGTCTAGGAGTCTTCAAACTTTTAAATTCACTTTTCTCAAAACTTACTTTCTGTGACTTCCATGTTTTTTTTACAATACACCTTCCTTGCCTCTTGTATTTTTTCGTATCTCACTACGTTATCGAGAGAAAAAAAAACCTTTTATTGCATGTGAGTGGTTAAAATTGGTTTATTAATTTTTGCTATTAAGAATCACAAGTGCATCGGAAAACAAAAAATCATTTCTGAATGGAGGTTTGAAATGTGCGTGTCAGTTCTTCTAGGAAAGAATTATCCACGTAATTTTCTTTGCGAAATTTCTCTAAAAAGATTTTGTCATGGGAAATTTACGCTTTGCACGTGCTTATAGTAACTGTTATGCAGCGAGGCGCCTTTATGCGTAAGTGTTTCCCCATCGGCAACTTTCATATAATATTTAAGAGTGAACATTTTTTTTAAATTTATCACCCTGTATCTTGGAAATTCTACATTTCCGGACCCATGTTTATAGAAACTTTTATTCACACACTAAAAAAATATTTAAAATCATCAGGAGAATCTCAAAATACAAAAAGGATTTTCCATTAAAAAATGTTGGTCTGCTTTCACTTTTGGGATACCCGGTATATATAAAAATATCATTTATAATTTTACTTTCACTATTTTTTTCAATTCCTTATAATAAGGAATCTGCGCTACTCCGTCAGATCTTTAACCCACCCTGTATAACGAGTCTAGGAGTCTTCAAACTTTTAAATTCACTTTTCTCAAAACTTACTTTCTATGACTTCCACCCTTTTTTTACAATACAACTTCCTTGCCTCTTGTATTTTTTCGTATCTCACTACGTTATCGAGAAAAAAAAACGTTTTATTGCATGTGAGTGGTCAACATTGGTTTATTAATTTTTGGTATTAAGAATCACAAGTGCATCGGAAAACAAAAAATCATTTCGGAATGGAGGTTTGAAATGTGCGTGTCAGTTCTTCTAGTAAAGAACTATTTACGAAATTTTCTTTGCGAAATTTGTCTAAAAAGTTTTTGGTTCGGTATTTGTGAAGGAAAATTTACGCTTTGCACGTGCTTATAGTAACCGTTATGCAGCGAGGCGCCTGTATGTAGAAGTGTTTTCCCATCCCAAATTTATCACCGTGTATCTTGGAAACTCTACATTTCCGGACCCATGTTTATAGAAACTCTTATTTTTTTAACAAGGAATCACCCTCTAAAAGATATCTCCATCTGTTTTTCGAACACCCTGTATAGACGTCCTACAGGACTTTGGCAAAGAACTCCCTTTCTCTAGTTCGTACTACTTGCGTAGTGTATGCAACCCATATAACGATACAACTTGATTAAAAATGCCGATTGTATGGAGGTACCTATTTATTTCTTAGCAAAAAATGTAAACACCTTTTTATACGAGAGATACGATATAAACACAGCACAAATACAACCGGTTTAGATTCAACATAGACGAAGCGAAAAAAAATTTGTGGGAGAAATTTTCCAATTCTATTTTTGAACGAATCATGAGGTTGCCGGGAGGTAACTCGATGCAAAGTTTAATTACGAACTTTTTTGGACAAAGGGATTTTGGGTTTATTGAATCATTGTGAATAAAAAAAAATTCGGTAACTTCTCTCTAAAAGTATCGTTTTCGAGTTATAAGGGATTAAATATCTGGAAAACCTTCTCCTACTTGCGAATATTTTGATTTATTGTGAAGCGCTGCTACTTAACTGTTAATAACGCGCATTGAAATACGTATCAGCGCCTCGCGTTATTAACAATTAAGTAATGATACTTCAAGATATACTAAAGGTGCGAAATTTAACTTAGACACTTGGCAAACTGATGATAATTTTAACTGCGATTTGAAGCTTGAAGATCGACATTGTTTGTAAGGTTTCTCAGAACTTTAATCGCTTCTAACATGATAACGTTTAACTTTACAGAAAAATTTTGACCACAACACAAGAAGTCAATCTTGATATACCTAGCTTGCCGTAAAGACATTCCGTTTCTCCAGAAAGATCCAAAGAAGGCATTATATCCAACGTGAAGGTACACAACACATTTTCACATACACTTTTCACCACAAAACCACTCACACCACCATCACGGCCCGACGACACCGCGGGGAATCGCCGACAAAGGTTCCTTTGGCCACTACATTAACAACGAATTCGATAGAAGCATAGCGTTACCAGGAGGTCTCGGCGCAGCAGCCTCCAGTCACGCCAACCGACAACTAAAGTACGCGTTCGATCGCAGCGAACCGCGTCGGTACGGCCGTACGTCGTGTTGCGTCCTGATTGGTTGGAATGTGCACCCCCACCCCTTCTACAAAAATTATTGGCTTCCAATAACTGATCCGTTTTATTAAACATTCTTCTATTTTGCAGTCCATGTCATACCAAATCTCCGCCAGGTACTTGATACTTGATAAAGCAGTGAACCTCATCGATCACTTCGGTGTCTGAACTTAATCGCTTGTTCTATTTTAACTTGAGGATTCTCAAACGGTTCCTCTTCTGCAATTTTGATGGGGAGATCAAGCGGTGAAAAATGAGGTTCCATGCTTTCTTAAGGACCTGGCGGTGAGCTGGTACGAAATGGACTAACGAAAACTGCCCAGCATCTACAAAAATGGTCTTCGTACATGAGGTGCATTGAAAATGACCATAGGTAAGTTCCAATGACCATCAAAATATAGGGATTTGGATTTGACTTTTTTTTAATTACCTCATGAATGCATGCATATCATGTCGTTTTGTATCAGGCCTTGAAAGAGGAAGACTTTGATCGGAGGTGGGACATGGTACGCGAAAATAGAGAATTTTTATTTCAAATTCTTTGGATCGAAGAAGCCACCTTTAATGGTGATCGCAGATTCAATCTTTCAAAAGTTGTCTTCCAGGAATTACATTTTTAAATGCCCTTCCTTGGGTATCTCTGATCTTAAATTGGCGCTACGCCCCTTTCGAGTGACTGGAAGATTCAGTGGAAGCTTTATAATGCTTAGAAGTTTTAGGTATGGCCAATAAAGACATTTTTAAAAAGTAAAGAGGAAGACTTTGATCAGAGGTGGGACATGGTACGCGAAAATAGAGAATTTTTATTTCAAATTCTTTGGATCGAAGAAGCCACCTTTAATGGTGATCGGAGATTCAATCTTTCAAAAGTTGTTTTCCAGGAATTACATTTTTAAATGCCCTTCCTTGGGTATCTCTGATCTTAAATTGGCGCTACGCCCCTTTCGAGTGACTGGAAGATTCAGTGGAAGCTTTATAATGCTTAGAAGTTTTAGGTATGGCCAATAAAGACATTTTTAAAAAGTAAAGAGGAAGACTTTGATCGGAGGTGGGACATGGTACGCGAAAATAGAGAATTTTTATTTCAAATTCTTTGGATCGAGGAAGCCACCTTTAATGGTGATCGGAGATTCAATCTTTCAAAAGTTGTCTTCCAGGAATTACATTTTTAAATGCCCTTCCTTGGGTATCTCTGATCTTAAATTGGCGCTACGCCCCTTTCGAGTGACTGGAAGATTCAGTGGAAGCTTTATAATGCTTAGAAGTTTTAGGTATGGCCAATAAAGACATTTTTAAAAAGTAAAGAGGAAGACTTTGATCGGAGATGGGACATGGTACGCGAAAATAGAGAATTTTTATTTCAAATTCTTTGGATCGAAGAAGCCACCTTTAATGGTGATCGCAGATTCAATCTTTCAAAAGTTGTCTTCCAGGAATTACATTTTTAAATGCCCTTCCTTGGGTATCTCTGATCTTAAATTGGCGTTACGCCCCTTTCGAGTGACTGGAAGATTCAGTGGAAGCTTTATAATGCTTAGAAGTTTTAGGTATGGCCAATAAAGACATTTTTAAAAAGTAAAGAGGAAGACTTTGATCGGAGGTGGGACATGGTACGCGAAAATAGAGAATTTTTATTTCAAATTCTTTGGATCGAAGAAGCCACCTTTAATGGTGATCGGAGATTCAATCTTTCAAAAGTTGTTTTCCAGGAATTACATTTTTAAATGCCCTTCCTTGGGTATCTCTGATCTTAAATTGGCGCTACGCCCCTTTCGAGTGACTGGAAGATTCAGTGGAAGCTTTATAATGCTTAGAAGTTTTAGGTATGGCCAATAAAGACATTTTTAAAAAGTAAAGAGGAAGACTTTGATCGGAGGTGGGACATGGTACGCGAAAATAGAGAATTTTTATTTCAAATTCTTTGGATCGAGGAAGCCACCTTTAATGGTGATCGGAGATTCAATCTTTCAAAAGTTGTCTTCCAGGAATTACATTTTTAAATGCCCTTCCTTGGGTATCTCTGATCTTAAATTGGCGCTACGCCCCTTTCGAGTGACTGGAAGATTCAGTGGAAGCTTTATAATGCTTAGAAGTTTTAGGTATGGCCAATAAAGACATTTTTAAAAAGTAAAGAGGAAGACTTTGATCGGAGATGGGACATGGTACGCGAAAATAGAGAATTTTTATTTCAAATTCTTTGGATCGAAGAAGCCACCTTTAATGGTGATCGCAGATTCAATCTTTCAAAAGTTGTCTTCCAGGAATTACATTTTTAAATGCCCTTCCTTGGGTATCTCTGATCTTAAATTGGCGCTACGCCCCTTTCGAGTGACTGGAAGATTCAGTGGAAGCTTTATAATGCTTAGAAGTTTTAGGTATGGCCAATAAAGACATTTTTAAAAAGTAAAGAGGAAGACTTTGATCGGAGGTGGGACATGGTACGCGAAAATAGAGAATTTTTATTTCAAATTCTTTGGATCGAGGAAGCCACCTTTAATGGTGATCGGAGATTCAATCTTTCAAAAGTTGTCTTCCAGGAATTACATTTTTAAATGCCCTTCCTTGGGTATCTCTGATCTTAAATTGGCGCTACGCCCCTTTCGAGTGACTGGAAGATTCAGTGGAAGCTTTATAATGCTTAGAAGTTTTAGGTATGGCCAATAAAGACATTTTTAAAAAGTAAAGAGGAAGACTTTGATCGGAGGTGGGACATGGTACGCGAAAATAGAGAATTTTTATTTCAAATTCTTTGGATCGAAGAAGCCACCTTTAATGGTGATCGGAGATTCAATCTTTCAAAAGTTGTTTTCCAGGAATTACATTTTTAAATGCCCTTCCTTGGGTATCTCTGATCTTAAATTGGCGCTACGCCCCTTTCGAGTGACTGGAAGATTCAGTGGAAGCTTTATAATGCTTAGAAGTTTTAGGTATGGCCAATAAAGACATTTTTAAAAAGTAAAGAGGAAGACTTTGATCGGAGGTGGGACATGGTACGCGAAAATAGAGAATTTTTATTTCAAATTCTTTGGATCGAGGAAGCCACCTTTAATGGTGATCGGAGATTCAATCTTTCAAAAGTTGTCTTCCAGGAATTACATTTTTAAATGCCCTTCCTTGGGTATCTCTGATCTTAAATTGGCGCTACGCCCCTTTCGAGTGACTGGAAGATTCAGTGGAAGCTTTATAATGCTTAGAAGTTTTAGGTATGGCCAATAAAGACATTTTTAAAAAGTAAAGAGGAAGACTTTGATCGGAGATGGGACATGGTACGCGAAAATAGAGAATTTTTATTTCAAATTCTTTGGATCGAAGAAGCCACCTTTAATGGTGATCGCAGATTCAATCTTTCAAAAGTTGTCTTCCAGGAATTACATTTTTAAATGCCCTTCCTTGGGTATCTCTGATCTTAAATTGGCGCTACGCCCCTTTCGAGTGACTGGAAGATTCAGTGGAAGCTTTATAATGCTTAGAAGTTTTAGGTATGGCCAATAAAGACATTTTTAAAAAGTAAAGAGGAAGACTTTGATCGGAGGTGGGACATGGTACGCGAAAATAGAGAATTTTTATTTCAAATTCTTTGGATCGAGGAAGCCACCTTTAATGGTGATCGGAGATTCAATCTTTCAAAAGTTGTCTTCCAGGAATTACATTTTTAAATGCCCTTCCTTGGGTATCTCTGATCTTAAATTGGCGCTACGCCCCTTTCGAGTGACTGGAAGATTCAGTGGAAGCTTTATAATGCTTAGAAGTTTTAGGTATGGCCAATAAAGACATTTTTAAAAAGTAAAGAGGAAGACTTTGATCGGAGGTGGGACATGGTACGCGAAAATAGAGAATTTTTATTTCAAATTCTTTGGATCGAGGAAGCCACCTTTAATGGTGATCGGAGATTCAATCTTTCAAAAGTTGTCTTCCAGGAATTACATTTTTAAATGCCCTTCCTTGGGTATCTCTGATCTTAAATTGGCGCTACGCCCCTTTCGAGTGACTGGAAGATTCAGTGGAAGCTTTATAATGCTTAGAAGTTTTAGGTATGGCCAATAAAGACATTTTTAAAAAGTAAAGAGGAAGACTTTGATCGGAGGTGGGACATGGTACGCGAAAATAGAGAATTTTTATTTCAAATTCTTTGGATCGAAGAAGCCACCTTTAATGGTGATCGCAGATTCAATCTTTCAAAAGTTGTCTTCCAGGAATTACATTTTTAAATGCCCTTCCTTGGGTATCTCTGATCTTAAATTGGCGCTACGCCCCTTTCGAGTGACTGGAAGATTCAGTGGAAGCTTTATAATGCTTAGAAGTTTTAGGTATGGCCAATAAAGACATTTTTAAAAAGTAAAGAGGAAGACTTTGATCGGAGGTGGGACATGGTACGCGAAAATAGAGAATTTTTATTTCAAATTCTTTGGATCGAAGAAGCCACCTTTAATGGTGATCGCAGATTCAATCTTTCAAAAGTTGTCTTCCAGGAATTACATTTTTAAATGCCCTTCCTTGGGTATCTCTGATCTTAAATTGGCGCTACGCCCCTTTCGAGTGACTGGAAGATTCAGTGGAAGCTTTATAATGCTTAGAAGTTTTAGGTATGGCCAATAAAGACATTTTTAAAAAGTAAAGAGGAAGACTTTGATCGGAGGTGGGACATGGTACGCGAAAATAGAGAATTTTTATTTCAAATTCTTTGGATCGAAGAAGCCACCTTTAATGGTGATCGCAGATTCAATCTTTCAAAAGTTGTCTTCCAGGAATTACATTTTTAAATGCCCTTCCTTGGGTATCTCTGATCTTAAATTGGCGCTACGCCCCTTTCGAGTGACTGGAAGATTCAGTGGAAGCTTTATAATGCTTAGAAGTTTTAGGTATGGCCAATAAAGACATTTTTAAAAAGTAAAGAGGAAGACTTTGATCGGAGGTGGGACATGGTACGCGAAAATAGAGAATTTTTATTTCAAATTCTTTGGATCGAAGAAGCCACCTTTAATGGTAATCGGAGATTCAATCTTTCGAAAGTTGTCTTCCAGGAATTAATTTTTTAAATGTCCTTCCTGGGGTATCTCTGATCTTAAATTGGCGCTACGCCCCTTTCGAGTGACTGGAAGATTCAGTGGAAGCTTTATAATGCTTAGAAGTTTTAGGTATGGCCAATAAAGACATTTTTAAAAAGTAAAAATATATTATATATAATATACATTAAATGCAAGTTAGTTGTCCATTTTCAAATGTTCAGATATCCACAGCATTGCGTTGATTATATGATCGAATTCATTTGGCACAGACCCCAACGGGTGGTTATCATCATACAAGTGCATTCTGAAAGAAAGAGATATTCAATTCAGTTGACTTTAAAAATACATATGAAGTCTGGCTATGTTGTAAGCTTATAACCACCTTAACTTAAAACCTAGCCTAAAGGAGAATAAGTAATAGAAAAAATGTAATCCAAAAGCAGAGGACCTAGGAAGAGACGTAAGATGATCCTATAACTCAAGCTGGGAAAAAAATGAAATGAAATAAAATTAACAAACTATTTCATCAAATAGTGAAAAACGGCCGTAATGGGGAAATTACCTTGTTGGAATACCATTGGCTTTCAGTCTAAGATGAAATTCTGTACCCTGATGGTGAGGCACTCTCAAATCTTTTGAACCAATGTGAAGCATTGTAGGTGCTTTCACTTTGTGGGCATGCATGATTGGAGACACCTTTCTCATTTTTAGAAGGATATCGTTATCAATTTCTCCTTTTTGAGTATATTCTTTGCCTGCTTCAACGTAACACCTGAAAGAAAGTGTCATTTGTTATTTAGAATACGTTTAGAGGATGGGGTGGTGACAAAAAGATATAGCAGAAAGAATGAACATTGATTTTATAGACAGTGTAAATCAAATAGTGAAGATGGTGATCCAAACTAATGTTCATCAAAATTCATCAATGAATCAATTTAGAACAATTAACATCAACAATCCAAGAAAAGCTATCTCAGAATTGAAATCTAATAAGAATCCCGGTGAGAATCTCTCGAAAAAGATTTTAAACGAAATGGAGAGAAATTATTATTATTGGTGAATCATTGTTTAGTATATATAGTGAATTCCCATCAAAATTAAAGTGTTCCACCATTACCTCTGTGCCACCAGTTCAACATTTTGAGCTGTATACAAATATGCGACTGAATAATGTCTTGACAGATGTCGAGAAGCTGTTCGAATGGATAATATACGAACAAATTATTGAGTTCATTGAAGAAAACAAAATTTTGACAAAAAATCGAGCTGCATTTAGAAAAAATATTCTACAGAAACAGCAATCCAAACGGTGGTGGAAGAATATAAAGGGTTGTCCAATAGGGACGCAGGAAAGTAAACGTCAATTTGACATAGACGCCATCTTTGTTTTCTGTCACCGACATGTCATTTTGTTAGTTGAATGTTTACCATTGATCGCTATGGAGTCGTATTCGATTGAAGACCGCATTAAAGTTATTCAAGAGCACTAGAAAAATGGTGCAAAAATAAAAAACACGTTTCCCGCGCTTCGTGAACATTTCGGTCGCAACAACCGCCCAAACGAAACAACCATCGGTCGTCCGGTGCGTAAATTCGAGGCAACAGGTTCTGTGGCAAATCTGCCAGGCTCTGACCGGCCAAGGAGCGTTCGCACACCGGAAAATATTGCTGTTGTGAAGGAGAGTGTGAGAGACGATCCGAAACAATCAACAACGCGTCGATCCCAAGAATTGGGCATTTCGAGAACCAGTTTGTTCCGCATTCTCCACAAGGATTTGAATGTACACGCCTACAAGATCCAATTGACGCAAGAGCTGCGTCGGGCCGACCATTTTTCGCGCCGACCGTTCTCAGATTGGCTCCTTGAACACCGCCAAACTGATGCCAATTTTTCATCAAAAATCATGTTCAGCGACGAAGCGCATTTCACTTTGAATGGGACGGTAGACAAGCAAAACTGCCGCATCTGGGCGAACGAAAATCAAGAGCAGCCGATGCATCCTCAAAAAGTGACTGTGTGGTGTGCATTGTGGTCAAAAGGCATCATCGGACCTTACTTTTTCTGAGCGATATCACGTGATGATAGAGGACTATTTTTCGCCGCAACTTGAAGGAATGGATATGGACGATGTTTATTTCCAACAAGACGGTGCAACATGCCACACAACCAACGTCAATATCCATCGATTGCAGTCCTTCTTCGGTGATCGCGTGATTTCGCGCAGAGGAAATGTGCCATGGCCACCAAGATCGTGCGATTTGACTCCGTTGGACTTCTTTTTATGGGGATATTTGAACAGCAAAGTCTACGTCAACAAACCAGCCACTCTCCTAGAACTCAAAAACAACATCATTGCCGAGATAAATGCCATAGAACCGACCATGTTGCAAAATGTCATTGAAAATTTCGACCATCGCGTGGACATCTGTAAATCCAGTCGTGGTGAACATTTGAGCGATATTATTTTTCATACATAAATGGTATAAATGAACCTTCAAAATAAAGTACCCAACTTGATTTTAATATCAATCTTTCTTGTTTTAATATGCGTTTACTTTCCTGCGTCCGTTTTGTAATAGTATTTTTGGACTTCAAAAGGGCATTTGAGACTATAGATAGGAATTTTTTTTAATGAAATTTACAAATAAAATATATAAATAACATATTGCGTTATACTTTAGATTTTTAAACGGAAACCCCTTTTTTTAATTTTTGGATTTTTTAGTAACTTTTGTATAATAAGGTTTATACCTATCCTCAATCGTTGTAAAGCTATTTGAGTTTATAATAAAATTCGACTAACTTAATACTGATAATAATTTTTTTGCGATATAATCCCGTATCACAAGCTTTCAAAGAAGAATCTTACCAGTCTGGAATGTCGGAAATGATACTCATCGAAGATACGTCGATGACGGGATTTCTGGCAACAACAGCATGGAACCTATCCGGATACTGCCCGCTGAGGTGAGCGACTAAGAATCCACCATGGGACCCACCTACCAAGGCCATCGCGTCAGGGTTCAACCATGGATATTTTTTCAAAGCTGTATCAGTCGCTTGAACGCAGTCTTTTACGTCCGTATCTCCGATTTTGCCCGTTAAAAATTCCACGCATTTCTGACCGCATCCTGTCGAACCTCGATAGTTTATGAATAGAATAGCAAAACCTGAAAAACATGAATCAAACAATGCTTCATACGGAATTCTCCTCGCTTACCGAATTTCAGGTACATAGAACCTTGTAATATCAAGTTGTTCGTGAAAGAACTGTGAGGACCACCGTGAGGCCACACTATTAACGGTACAGATTTGTCTTTGCCATCTTTGGGTCCGACGTATGTGGCGTTGAACGAATCTGGAAGAAAAATGTATCTCTATATCTATTGGCAAGACATAGTTTTAACCAAGCAAAGTTGCAAGGTTTGAAAATAATTATCCATTGGTGTTCTTGATGTATGACTTTCTAGGTCATTTGAAGGTCAGGACAGACTTCTTATACAGGGTGCGGCAGAGAGGACGGACGTTTCTGGGATGGGTAGTACTCTCCGCTTCCGTCTACGAGAGAGGTGGGGAGGGTGCCGTTTGACTCGTGAGATCCTAGCATTATTTTACCAGTTGTCGTTTAGGAGCTTTGGATGGTCGAGCACCGCGTTTTCGCCTATGATTGTTTCGTCCGAAATAATGAGTCAGTCATCGTACAGCGTGAGTTTCGTCGCCACTTCAACATTCATCGGAATAGAGCTGTTCCCTCTCGAAACACCATCCTTCGTTGGGTTGAATCACTTCGCAGGCGTGGTGAACTGATCAACAGAAGACCAAGAGGAGCGCCGCGAACAGTTCGAACTCCTGAAAATGTTGAACGCGTTCGACAGGTCTTTTTTCGCAGTCCGACTCGATCTGCCCGGAAACATGCAGCTGCACTTCGCCTTAGTGATCGTTCGGTAAGGCGAATTTTGCATATGGATCTCCGCTTTCACCCCTACAAATTGGCCATTGTGCAACAGTTACAGCCCGGAGATTATGCACAACGAATGAACTTCGCACGTGAGATGGAAGCACTGATTGATCAAAATGAGAACCTCATTTTGTCTTATGGGGACACCTCAAGGCTAGAGTATACGCGAACAAGCCCCGAACTCTGGACGAATTGAAGGGCGAAATTCGCGTGGAAGTCGCCCAATTTGAGAGAGCGATGTTGGAGAGTCTACGCGAACTTCCAAGAACGCCTCCGGCACTGCATCAACGATTTCGGCCACCACATGCCTGATGCGATTTTCTACACTTGACTGTCTCAAATGCTATTTCCTTGTGAACCTGATCCCATCAATAAATTTGTTTTCGAGTAAAAATTAACTATTTTATGATTTTTTTTTAAACCGTCCATCCTCTCTGTCGCACCCTGTACATGGAACCCCTATTTATTACTCCTGAGGTGTATATCTTTGCCTATTGCTCTGACCAAGATCTTATCTCGTAAAACACGTTTCATAAAGAAAAATGTTCTAAGATAAACATGTAAGTTTTGTAAATTTAACGGTGACCTTGAACGTAACCTTGGCAATGACATTCAAGCTTATTTGAAGGTCAAGACAGTTTTTTTGAATGGAAACCCTTAATTTTGACACCGGAAATAAAAAGAGCAAAAAACTTTATGTTCAAGTATGGCCACGACCTTGATTATGACCATCAAGGTCATTTGAAGATCAAATGCATTTTTAACGGGAAACGCAAAACAATTAAATTAATTTATTATTGCATTAAAATGTTGGATAAAAAAATGTTCATTGTAATTACTTTGAATCTTGCATTTCTTTCTCTGAAGCCAATATCATCATAAAACATATATGAACTCAAAAAATGCTTTTAATATAACCCGTTTTTAAGCCGAATTAAATTAAAATAAATGCAAACAAGCATTTAGAACTGAGAGACTTTGCAGAAGAAATAAGCCTTGGTTACAAAACTCAAATCTTTTAAAAAAGTAAAATTACTTACTGTAACCACCTTCATCTGCTATAAGATCCAAATACTGATATGTACAGTTCTCCAATCCATCTACGACTTGGCTACTTGTCAAGTCATTCCAGACAATGTCCGCACCGCTGGGGCTCAATTTCCCTAATACCAGTTTATCAGGCTTCAAATACGTGCGTTGGGTAGCTAGTAGGATATCGTCTTTAACGTCGAATACTATCTGGCTACCATCATGGTAAGACAGTTCTGATATGTCACCATTTTCTAGAAGAGACAAGACATTTTTAAGGTTTCGCCATGCAAAATTTCACATTGACTGTATTTCCAAAAACCTACAGTTATATGTTCTAGGCAAATCCTGAAATTATGTTTCTTGCATAACTTCGATTGAAATACTATATGTTTACATTTTGAGGAACAAACATTTGGAGAAAATCTAAAAAATATAAGCCATTTTCGTAAAAGAAAATCAATTTTTGGATAAACTGTGACTTGGTCCCTTATTGAAAAAAAATTGTACTTCAGGGGTAATTTAGGAGTTAACATATCTTCAAGAAAGGAGATTCTGAGTCAGTGGGAAAATATTGTACTTCAAGGGTAATTTATAAAAGTGCCTATATTCAAGAAAGGAGATTCTGGGTCAGTGAAAAAAAAACTGTAGGCGTGTGACATCTAGTGATTTTTTACTCAAATGTGGCTAGGAGATCAAAAAATCTGATATCTTGATTGCAGCTATAGAAGAACTTTTACCTATATCGATCACATACGCATTCACAGCATACTTTTGGTTTGTATTCACAATCAACCTATTGCCGCTAGCCCAAGGTCTCTTCAGGAAGGTAGAATTGTAAAGACCATAAAATGTCTTCCCTCCATTAATTTTTATTTCTGTATCTACAACAGGCACCACTGTCTCCACAGGAGACTGAAATGGCATGAATCAAGTCAATAAATGCTACAAGAATCAATGATACATATTCTTCTGTTAGTTACAACAATAGAGAATATGCATGATTTTTTTCACTTTCTGTCGTTTATTTACATTAATTAAATACATATTTCATTCATGGAAATAAGCATTTAAAACTGCAACGCAATGACGTTGATTTAAACGCCGCATGATCTGTCATTTGGTTGCATTTTTGGTTAGCAGGACTTTCAAACTGACAATCAATGATAGAGAGAACAAACTTCTGCCATTTGGTATATATACAGGGTGTCCGCAAAGTTGGGGTTTTCCTTTACACGACGTGTAGATCTTGAAAACATGAGCAATTTTTCTTAGTACCATATACACCAATGTCTTAAGGGAACCGAGATAAAGGGCTCTGCAACATCAAAAATATCTGAATACCGTCCTGTAGCCGCGACCCGCCGCGATATCCCCGACTGTTACAAGGTCTCAACCCGACGGCAGAACTGGTTCGGGGTCAGTGTGTCAGGTTAGTATGCAACCTTCAACCGAAGGTTACGGTCACGCGTGTAGAGGTAAACGAACTCGTATAATCGATTGCGTTTCAAAAAACAACAAGCACTAGAGACGTGGCTAGAGAAGTGCAAGTATCAAAAACTAAAGTGTGGCAAACGCTGCGTGAAGAGGGGCTGTATCCGTTTCACGTCCAACGTGTACAAGCCCTTCAACCTGACAATTTTCCAGCAAGAGTGCGGTTTTGTGAGTGGTTGTTGCATCAACATGACAATAATCCGGACTTTTTGAAGTGCATATTGGTGACAGACGAATCTACGTTCACGCGTAATGGGGTGAATAACTTTGGCAACACTCATGTTTGGTCATTTTCAACAAACATTTTCGGTGAATGTTTGGGCTGGCATGGTGAACGGTATGCTCATTGGACCATTTATTCTCCTAAATCGATTGGACGGGATGCAATACTTTTCACGCAACATTTTGCCTTCCTTGTTAGAAGATGTGCCATTAAGTGTAAGACAATCAATGTGGTTTCTGGGTCTGCTCGGTAGCGCTTCAGCTGATTTCATTTTCTGTTGGAGCGGTATGATTTCGGGCAGAGACGTACTTAGCCCTTCTCGTCAACTGGAGGGTGAGTACCTTTTCCTTTATTGTTTTTTACTTGGTCGCCCTCATTTCACTACACATTACCTTTGTTATTTCAAGGGTAGTTGTTTCTGAAAAGGAAAACCCCAACTTTGCGGACACCCTGTATATATACTTCGGCATTTCAAATTTACCATATATTTTTGCCCATTTTTTATTGATTAATATTCGTAATTTTATAGCGTTCAAGTACAAAATAAGGTTGAAGACGTAATTTTGTAGCAATATATTTGAATCACTAGCATATTCTCTATTAGGTTCCATCTATACCAGTAAAAAAATTTCTCACATAAAAACTGACCTTTTCAGATAAAGGCAGTGCAGTCTTCACTAAAGACATGCAAGCAGCATGAGGTCCCCCCGCTTTTCTTTGTAACCAAACCAGAGTCTTTCCATCGCATGAAAATATCGGAGACTTTACCGATACATCCTTCAAAGGCAAATCAACTAAAAATAAAGCTAGCTAAAAAAGAGGCCAGCAAAATATTTTAGTAACTTACGATAGTTGCCGCTGAAATCCAACCTAAATATAGTGCTAAGTCTGTTTGAGCAATAAATGAGACCCAATTTCCTTGGTTCTGCCTCGTATGCTACACCTACAATGTACGACCCATCATTAGAGTATTTCGGCTGAGCAATACAAATGTTATCCGGCAACCCTTTTAGAATGGTGACTGAGTCACTTTCAACGTCATATTCGGCCAGGATGGAGTATTTTTTGCCAACCAGCTGCTCTCCCCAGTCTTGAATGAACAGGTATTCTTCACCCTATGAGAAAGTTTTCAAAAGATTCAATAGGAAACTGTAAAAATTAGGAACAAATAGAAAATTTGAAATTATACATTTCTAAACACCTATTGGAATATTTTTTATAAATCTAGCATACTCAGCTCTTATTTCTTGAATCGTATCTTTTAGGTAGCATAAAATTTTACTTATATACCTTTGACTTTTCTTCATCTCCAGTGCCACCTTCATCATTAGCGGTTGGTGATTTTCTCTTATAAAATGGTTCAGATTTGACCGGTTTCTTTTCTGCGACATACAACAGCTTTTTCTCATCAGGAGACCACTCAAAAGATGAAAATTCACCTGAAAAACATATTTTACAGATGAAGATTGTCTATATTTCTATTTGACATACATACCATCAGAATAGACTGATCCATGGACATCTAAAGCATTTAGATCAACAGTGCGGATAGTATTATGGCCCTGCCATATTTCCAAGTATTGCTTACTATCTAAGTCCCTCAAGACTGCTCTGTACTTCTCACTTTTTGAAAATCGAGATAAAACCCTAAAACCAATATAAAACAACTTACATTCGGAATTTCAGATACCACCCAAAAAAATATACTTGTTTGAATTTGAAATACTCCCTACAGTTTTTGGTGGTTACATTATTATATCATATGAAAGAAGTAAACAGAATGACTAAAGTGGTGGAAGAGGAAATTAAACTAAAATTAATTTCACATTAAAAATTATCATAGGAATAAAATGAATTATTACTTAGATACTCTGGAGGTCTAAAGTATTACTTATAAGTTCCTTAATATCTGAGGGTTCTCTAAATTTGTTCAAGCATTTATTGATACACAATCTGCAGATACTTATAATGATCTTGCCCAACACTTAGCCTTTGAAAACAATAGTAAATATTATTACAATGACTTGTATTATATGAATGCAACATTATTCCTTACAAAATGAATACTATCAGTGCTTTCATTGCATAATAATATATAAATGTATACAGAGAGTGATGAGGACCATTGTTTTCACTCTCTCTATGAAAATACTCCAATAAATTTAACACAGATAACTGACATTGTACTTGATTTTCAGTTATTGCTATGTATTAATTTTTGTAAAATCACACTCCCTTGTCAATTGTATTTCAATCATTCGTCCACTTTTACGTAAATAGCGCTACACAACAACTTAATATATCAAATAAGGAAATATTGTACAGTGCTTACTCAGTTGATACATCTATCGGATTAACATCAGCCACAGGTTTCAGATCAACTGTGAAAAAATTCTTGATGAACTTCGTTGTTTTACCCTTTTCTATGTCCCTTTGAGACCACAAACTACTTATTACACCATTAGACCGTATTGTCCCACCTAGAGCAGCCGGGATCTGCGACAACTGCTTGTAAGTTTTCACAAATTTATCAGCCTAAAACAAGAAATATTCAATAATCATGTTTTTGGCAGGCTAAAATCGATGAAACGAACCTTAGTGGACATATTTCCAGTTATTGTTTAGTCACAATGCGTAGCGCTTTGTGGAAGATCTAAAAATAAACAGATCTGCAGATTTATTTGATAAACTACGTAAACCTTAATAATAAAAGAAAAAGTGAGGTTATGAGAGATAGGTGACAGCTGTCGTAGGCAACCAATAATGCACCGATTTGGAGATTTCCATTGCGCCATGTTGTCGCTTGACATATCTAGGGACTTTCGCGAATGTTGGTACTCCGTCTAGTGCGTTTGCGGACCGAAAAAGAAATGTCGTCATGAAAATTACACATGTCGATATTTTTGCAAGCAAATGTACCCAATTTGGCAAATAATTCTGTGATAAATTAAATAACGGGCCTAAAATTATTACGAAAACGCTATGTATCGTCTAACACTGTTCATTGTGTAAAATTGTGATCCGGGGTGTTGTTACACCCTTCCTTTAAAAAAAGGTCTCGAAAAAGATTGATTTCTTGTATTATCCTGAAGCTATCGCAGTGAAAAACGAGTGAATTATGCAGGAAAAGCCGGTGGCTATTAAATGAGAATTACATGAAGTGATACGTGAGTATTAGGTGGTTTTTGCTTGGCCAGCAGCCAAATGTATCTCACACCTACTAGAACTGAAGACACCTGCTAAATAGATCAATTATTCGAATTGTATACAAATTTCCCGTTAATGCAAATGCTGATTTCTTCTTCTAACAGAACTTTTTACACCAAATCCATAAAGCTTCAATAGAATAGCCGAGATTATATGTGAGAACATCTACATATCTTTTCTGAATAAACCTGAGAGATCTAGTTCCCACTTTTAAAATAGGTTTCTATTTTGGTTTACAAAAAGTATTTCTTCTGTGTTAAATAATCTGAGTGAGGTATTTTAATTGCATTCTTTAGCCCCTGTTTGTTCTTCTTTTAAGATTCTGGCTAATTTTTGGTTGTTCAGGTATTCTTTCACAACATACATTTAGGTAAGAACTGTTGGATCCCAATTAGAGTCAGTGTACCTTTTTACAAAAGTATGTGTTTGGTAGAGAAATTCTTTAGTGCCTCTTTAAAATTCAGACTATTTTTTATTGTTCAGACATTCTTTTACAGCATAAATATTAAAGATATAATATAATTTTTAAGTTCAAAAAGTCTGTTTATAAGTACATATACCATCATGTTATGAAGTTATTAATAAATAACGTCTTTCAAGTTGAACAAATAGCTATATTGGTTTGCTGTTTTCACACCAAATTATGAGTAAATGAGTTTTTGAATTTTGTTCTGGATAACCTGAAAGATCTAATTCGTTACTTTTTAAAATAGATTCCTATTTTTGTTGACATCGAAAAGTATTTTTCCTATGTTAAAAAACCAATCTATATTTTTCTTCTGTTAGTTCATGTTTTGAAACCTTGGCTGATTTTCTATTGTGAATTCTAATTTCACTATGCTTTTGAGAAGCACCAGTCCACCAGAATTCAGTCAGATTTTTACAATAATAAGAGTAGTGTTTTTAAGATATTTTATCTGATTTTATCATATATTGTTGCTTTTAGCATATTCTTCATCATTTCCACTACAAATTTTCCTGTAATGTAATCTCACCGAAATTAACTCATGGAAGATGACTCATTTTTATCTTATTTGGTATGCTAACAAAATAGTTAAATATACCATGAAACATCAAACATTCTACTTACTTGTCTTTCTTATTAGCATAATATCTGTGGGTGGTCAAAATTAGTCCCAGGTTATTCTAGCCCTATTATGACAACTTAAAGGTTGATTATGTTATTATTGTTTATATTCCCAACAAATTACTTTTATTTATTGTCAGATGTTCTTTGATAAAAAGTGCATAGTTTATATAATCTGTAAATGTGCATAGTAGAATTATTTTAAATATATTATCAAAATATTCATTGTTAATATTTTAAACCTATAACCCTTGCTACATTTTTATTATTTGTGTTTGTTGGGCCAACTGAAGTGGGAAGGGGCTTGTATACACTAAAGCATCATGGGGAGTGCAAATTAGTATAAATAGGTCAAACCTGATCACAGTGTATTATTTTAACAGACAATAAATGCTATCACCTGTTGAATAATCTAAGCTATGCTAATATTTGACTCAGAATAAATAAAGAAATTCTTACTATGGATGAGAAATACCTGTCCATTGTTGCTATTTGCACTTTTTCTGATATTTCAGCAGTGTAAGATGGAGGGTAATGAACTGTATCTTTCTAGATTAACGATCCTCGGGGTGAGGTGAGGATAAGGATTATTTGCTGATGGATGGAAGCATTGCAGGCGGCAGGAGGAGGTTAGCTACCAAATCCTCTGCCGAAGACCAAGCTCTTGACCAGATAGCCAAAGAGGTAAGTCAAATAATGCTTAAGGATTAAAGCTTTCTTATTGCATACTTTATTGTTGGACTTTCTATTGCAGTAATTTTAAGTTTCTCTTATTTCTAAGCTGTTATCACTGCTCAGAAAAATCAGTATCAACGTATTTTTCCCCCTGTTATCGTGGGAAATAAAAACAAAAAAGAGCATTGGATTTTTTATAATCTAGAATATGCTTTTGTGGAAAACAAATTAATGGTCATTAAAAGTGTAAATGGTCCAATTTGATTCGTCAGCAGACCGCGGAACATCGACGCGTCGCCGACACGTTTTTGAGTGCATCAATGTAAAATTAGCTCCCAGCTCAAAGCGGGGTCGCATACCTTTACGTTTTTTTCTACTGTCGCGTCAACACACACAGTAGCAAATAGCGTCTGTCCCGTTCAGAAATCAGAGAGCTAGGAATTAGTTTTCACCACCTAACCTCGTTACTTTGTTCAAGAATTCCTAAAAATTATTTAAGCTATTAATTACGTTTGACGACAATTTATAGATTTCTGAGAGTATACCGAGTGTTTCAAAAATTCGGATTTTGGAAACGGTAAAGTTGGGTATTTAGGTGTGCCGTTTAGAAAGTTTCTAAATTCAAAGTACTTCCGCAGAGAGGCGGAAAAAACTGAATTTCGTCAAAATCGTTCTAATTTTCCTGGCGTTATTTGTAGTGGGATTTCAAAATAAAGTGCACATTAACATTGTCATTTTTGCTCCTCTACAAAATGGCACTATTCTAATTTCAATGCGGTTTTGTCTCTTGTCCTCCAGCATCAACTTTATTTTTTCTTGTGGACGCTTTATTGGAGCTTTGCGCAGGTGAATAGAATTTTTAATCCTGATGCCAAAAATCTATAATATGTCATATATTGATATTTCCAATCCTTAGTTATTTTAGAAAAATTGATATTCCTGGTAGGCCTTGAAATTATCAGATAGTCATTTGTTTCGTATAACAGATCAGACTTCAAATTTAACATATACTAAGTGACATATAAATCCGAACACCCAGTTTAAATGGTTTTATTTTAATAAAATTTTGTATAAGTACTTAATGAAGCATAATAAGTAAATGATAAAAATTTCAAAATGATTGCACTGCTTTAAAGCCCTTTGACCTTTAATAATGTGTGGATGCACCCTGATGTGCTACGCATTCTCCAACGCGCCTAGGTATGCTTCTGATCAGGTGGTCAATGTCCTCCTGTGGTATCTCATTCCAGGCAACCACCAACTCCTCTCGAAGTGCTGCTAGAGTCTGAGGAGGACGTTGCAAATTGAGCAATCTCCTACCCGTCATATCGCACACGTGCTCAATTGGGGATAAGTCTGGAGATCTTGGTGTCCATGGTAGCAATGTGACATCATTATGTTGAAAGAAGTCTATTGTGACTCTTGCAACATGTGGTCGGGCATTATCTTGTTGGAAAGTTGGATCTGTCAGGGTGTCAAGATAGGGTAAAAGATGGGGTTCTAGAAATTCGTGGATATAACGCTGCGCGTTCATGTTACCTCTGATGAAGATTAAAGGTGACCTGGAACCATAAGCTATAGCACCCCAAACCATAACTCCAACAGTGTGATGAACATGTCTTTCAACAAAAAACTGTGGATTCCTCCTTTCACCACGTCGTCTTCTAACCCTGGCACGACCATCGTGCATGCCTAAACAAAATCGAGACTCGTCACTAAAGACAATACTGTTCCATTCCTGATCCCAGAGTGACCGTTGTCTGCACCACTCAAGGCGATTACGTCGGTGTTCTCGAGTTAAAGGGAGGACCCAGTGTGGCCGGTATGAAAACAAGCCAAACCTTCTCATTCGTCGGTAAACACTTCGCATGCCAATAAGTCTTCCGTGTTCTGCAAACCATTCATTTGTAATGGACCTGGTAGTGGAGAAACGGTCCCTTAAGGCCAATAATCTTAGGCGGCGATCTTCACGGTCTGTTGTTCTACGGCGGCGTAAAGTGCCCCTTGCTCTTTGCGTACGGCCTTCTCTAAGCCATGCCTGACAACACCTAACCACAGTGTCTACACTTCTTTGCACTCTAACTGCAATTGCCCGAAAAGAAAGTCCAGCTTCCCGAAGTCCCACTATACGGCCCCTATCAAACTCACTAAGTTGACGAAATCGTACAGGTCTCCGTACTCTAGGCATCGTAACCGATCGTAAAGGTTGTCAAGAACCAAAATCCGCCAACGTTGATTCTTTACTGCGGCTGAAATATTCATTTTTAGAGCGTTAGTGAATTAAAAAAAAGCAGTATAAAAACCGGAATGTCCAACTGATAAGGCTGAAAATTTTTTCACTTGTTATTTACAGTAAGATAAATACATTCACCAACTTTTATTAAAATAAAACCATTTAAACTGGGTGTTCGGATTTATATGTCACTTAGTATACAAACAAATAGTTAATACCCAATTAAAAGGAAGTTTTTATGGCTGTGAATGATGCCTTCTTTAATTACACACGTGTAACTGAATATACTATTTGGGTTTCTAATTCTGAGATACCCTATCAGATTTCCTTTATATGCTCTACAAACACGTGGAAAATGCCTCTATAATTATCGTGATTCTCCCTTAGCTTCGACGATTTTATAAGACTTCGAATGAATGAATGGAAACAACTATTAGCGGATAACAGGTATAAACATAAATTGAATGTAAAATCTAAGGGCTGTATCGTCAGTTTATGGCTAAAAACAAGATTAAATTAAATGTGAGAAAAACGCAGACGCAGTCTCTTTTTTTGAGTTATAAGCAATTTAATATGTGGAAGCCCCTTAAAATGCTTAAAAACTTATAATTTTATAAACGTCCAAACGTTGTTCTAGCAGACCTCGATTAGTATTTTGAGATTACTTAATTTTTAGGCTTGTCAATTAGGCAAAGACCGTACATGGCGGAAAGCATTGTTTCTTATCATTTCATCTTCGTCGGCAAAAGCGGAAACAAGAAATCAGTGATATCAGTATGATTAAGAGCGTACGTATCTACCTGGATATAGTCGCTTTCCGTTCTGAAAAGGTACCTATCTCAACCGCTCCTTCCGTTTCCGTTCTATTTCGGGACCGAAAAGCTTTCGGATCCGGACAGAAAGGGGAAATCAGACGGCGATGCATCGATCAATCGTCTAAAGTTCCATAGGGTATATTTCGGGAGGTCGAGGCGGCGGTCGATGACACACGCGCTCCCACGCGCGACGCCTCTAATGATACGTGGAGAGATACGTTTCTTGAGACCCCCCGTCGATAGATTGTGAGATGCACTATGTAGACATTTTAAATACCTTTCGTGGTTTTCGAAATGACATTGTTTATACTTTTTTCTCAACAACACAAATAATAAAAAAATCGTCAGATCATAAAAGATTCAGCCTCCAGCGTTTTCGCCCGCGTTTCGCGGTTTTATTTGTTTGTTTCAGATTTATTTAGCATTAATGCTACAATGTCGATAATATCCATATTACACAGTATATCACAAAATATATTATGTCTTCAGGACTACATATTTTTGTACAAAATTTCACTACTATGAATTCTGGTTTTCCGTGAGATATTTTTTCAATTTCCCTTTGAACATTTTCAAACTGACACACATCTTGATATCATTACTTAATTTATTAAATGTACAATCCCTTTTGAAATACTGACTTGCTCGTTATATTGCTACTGCAGTTTTGTCAAAAAAATTATTTTTTGGATATTTTTGAAATATTTCTGACAGTGTACCGCGATAAGTCTAACAAAGTTGCAATTTCTGAGTTTGATTTCCCAGAATTAAAAAATTTAATTATCAGTAACCGAATTTTCTCACTAATAACCTTTCCTCTACCCATTCTGAAAACCTTAACTACCCGAAACTATTTTAAACGTATTCTGACAGCTGTGATTAATAAAAACAATTGTCATGGCTTTTATTTTTCACAGCCACCTATGCGTTATAGACTTTTTTGCATTGAAATGAAAATAGTGATATTGGCTTGTAAGTAACGTTTCAAAGTCAATAATTGTGATTTCTCTTGATTCTCTCTCATTAAACATATACTCAATACTCAAATTCTGTTCATTGGTTATTATTAAATCGATCTTAGTTCGTGAAAAGTTTCTAATCCTTGTGGAGGCATTAACTTTTTGCCATGAAAGTTCAGTACCTGTTTGATATTTTTTTTACATAAAAATCTTGATTATCAAAATTTATATTGAAGTCTCCCAAGTGCACAGTGAAGCAATTTCGATAATACTGTTTTTCACAAACACTCAAAAAAGTCCAAAAATCGGCTAATATTACAATCTGTAGTAAACTGTTTTATTCAAAAATCAAAAGTGAATTTTATTATGACTCACCCTGTATTCATTTGTATTTGTAGCGTCTAGGACTGTTACACGTATGTAAAGCTGCACTCTAATTTCTCGAGATCATATTATGAATTAATATATGCAATGTAACGTAAATTACGCATATTTTTTGATTTTCATAAATTATACGGTAAATTAGAGCGCGTGTATTTAGAAGGAGAATTAATATCGTGTAATTATTTTATGTATACATTTAACGCACACTTTATTGCATAATTTTCATGCACGCTTGCAGTTATGCCTGGTCATCTGATATACCTTGTTTAGCCGTTTTTAATGAATAATATGAAAACTAAAATACACTGGACAACAAATTTTAGTTTTTTAATTGTATCTTGTGGGAAAAGTGCACTTCTTTGTTAATTTTGGGGCGCTGAATCCAAAAATGACAATGAAATAAAAAAATTAGTTGCGGTTTAGAAAAAAAACTTTTTATTTTTAAGGATATATTAAAAAAGTAACAAGATTCATATACTTATAAGAATCACTATATGCGCTGTCTTTTTGCTTTTCTTTTATGGATCGTTTCTGGAGCATCTCTACTAAGAGTCCAACAGTAGTCTGCAAGCATGGAAGGATTCCACTTTCCCTGGTACCTTTTTTCCATTGTTGAAATATCCTGATGAAAACGTTCGCCGTGCTCATCACTTACGGCTCCGCAATTGTCAGAAAAAAAGTCCAGGTGTGAGTGTAGGAAATGTATCTTGACATATTACAGCCCATCTTTTGATACGATGACAGCATATTTTTGACAAGGGTTTTATAGTTGTCAGCTTTTCTATTTCCCAAGAAATTAGTGACCACCAGACGGAAATCATTCCAAGCAGTTTTTTCAATACCTGTTAAAGTGTTTTCAAACTGTGTATCTTTCAAAATATTTCGAATCTGTGGCCCAAGAAAAATACCTTTTTTAACCTTTGCCTCACTTAGTCTTGGGAATTTCTGACGCAGGTATTGAAAAGCTGACCCATCACTATCTAATGCCTTGACAAAGTTGTTCATTAGGCCCAACTTGATATGCAGTGGTGGTAATAAAATTTTTTTCGAATCTACTAATGGCATATGCTGTACATTTTTTTGACCTGGCTCTAGGAATTGACGAACAGGCCAGTTTTGTCTGGTGTAATGAAGTGCCTTTGCTCGACTGTCCCATTCACACAAAAAACAGCAAAACTTTGTGTAGCCTAGCTGCAGCCCAAGTAAAAGTGCAACAGCTTTCAAATCGCCACAAATATGCCATTGGTGCTCATCGTATTTTATGCATGTCAATAGGTACTTCATATTGTCATATGATTCTTTCATGTGAACTGCATACCCTACAGGAAGAGATGGTAAAATATTTCCAATATGCAATAACACTGCCTTTAAACTCAATGTTGAACTGTCTATAAACAATCTCCATTCTTCTGGGTTATAGTTTATATTTAAAGCCGCCAGTAAGCCGTTAATGTTACTGCAGAAAACCAAGTTTTTCTCCATATTGAAAAATGGTTCTGTCATTGTGGCGTTTACGAAAAACACATACCGAAACATCGTCTTCTAACAAGTTCCACTGCTGCAGTCTTGATCCAAGGAACTCTGCCTTACATTTTGGAAGTTCTTAATCTCTTACAAGATCATTTAATTCTGACTGTGTTATTTTGTGCGGTTGGTGGCATGACGTGCTCGGTATAAAATCAGGATCTCTTGACGTTGATGGCATATCTTCTTCCTGACGAATCACTCGATCGCCATGATCTGATTCGTTTTCTGATTCGCAAGTGTAGGATTCTGGGGGTTTTGGAATAGGATTTTCGTCACTGTGATAACCGATTTTTCTTTCTTGGACATACCTGTGGCTTGTCCAACACAAGGTACCATGCTAAAGTAACAATCATTAATATGATTTGTAGGCTCTCTCCAAACCATTGGGACAGCAAAGCGCATAGACCGTTTTTTGCCATTTAACCAGGTCCTCAGACTTGAAGCACATGTATTACAGCAGTTGTGGAGTGCCCACTGTTTGTCTTGATCACCTAGTTTACAACCGAAATAAAGCTGATATGCCTTTGTTATTAGTGGAGTAATAGACCGTCTCTGAGACGCAAAAGTCACATCACCACACACGTAACAAAACTGATCTGGATTGTTTACACACTTTCGAGACATCTTGCATGAACGCTGTCAGCCAACTGAGGAACAAATGGCTAATATAAAACAATATAATGTACACGTATGTATAACGTAACACAATCATGCCGATTACATCATCTTTCTTTGCCGAATATAAAAATGTAGCACGTGCATTCTTGTGAATTACAGTATTTTAACACTGTCACAGCAGGAACACATATAATTACTGTATCTCTAAAACTTGAACTAATATTGAAAAAATAAGTTTCATTCCGGTTTTAACACATAAAAAATAGTAATATTTTGTTGATTTTATTTAGGATATTTTTTCACTGTTGATCAGGGATATCAATTATACGTAAACTATGTTCTTCTTAATTTCAAATTTTTGTTTTTCTGTAAAACCAGAATCGCTAAATAACTTAGGTTCATTAAAACAAAAAGGATGAAATTAATTTCAACTTAGCGTTTGAAAATGATAATATTGCATTTTTATCGCAACTCACCAGTATTGAAGATAGAATCCACGCGCCAATTTTCAGATAGCAGACTATGCAGATATGTGGTTATCTTTGAATGATTTGTTTATTTTGCAACGAAGTATTGTTCTCACTGTCGAGCTTGATATAAAGCAATCATTGCATCTAAACAGTCAGTTTTATATACCTGCTATTTCGTGTTATTTTTTTGTTTTATACACGGTTATCTTCAAGGGCAAAACGTATGCTGATATGCTAACCAAAAGTCTGGCCATATTTTTCAGTAGGTTATTTTGTCACAATAAAGTTGATTAAAAATTTACAAACGTGGAGATATGGAATGTCAACGGTTGTTCATTAACAATGAAAAATTTCAGATTTGAAAAATGGTGAGTGGACGCTGAAGATTTGGTTTAGATTCTAAAACCCATTGTGCTTTTCGGTTTGCCTATAATTTACTTAAATTATACCTTCTTTGAATTAACGTCTTTATTTTTCCGTAAAAACTAGTTTCGTTTCCTTCAAATTTACATTTTTTATTTTCCTGTAGATGATATACGAGTAAATGAAAGAGTCTATCCACTTTTGGGCAACTGCTCTTATACAGGGTGGTCCATAAGTTCTTTGAAATTTCAAATTTGAATAAAATTTAACGGGTGAGCGTGAGCGGCGCGGGCGAGGTGGGGGCAGTATCTTCAGTGTCTGGGAATTCAGTCGCCATGGAGTGTTTCACTGGAGCGGATCGTGCTTTTTGTGTGCGCGCGTTTTATCAAAATAATGATTCGGCAACCATTGCGCGGCGTAAATATCGAGAATACCACAATTTACACAATTTTACAAAGTGTCCGACAGCTCAAACGATTAAGAACTGGGTTGCTAAGTTCGAAGCGACTGGTTCGACGTTAGATAAACAGCGGTGGGGTCGACCAAGGACAACTCGTATTGAAGAAAACATCAACATTGTGGCACAGTCTGTTCGTCAAAATCCTACCCAGTCTACTCGTAAGCGTTCCAGTGCACTAAACGTACCCAGAACATCTTTACAGCGGATTTTAAGGAAAGATTTACGTCTGCACGCTTGCAAAATTCAGTTAGTGCAGGACTTAAAAGATAATGACGCTATTCAGAGACTAAACTTTGCGAATGAAATGTTGAATCGATTTTCTTCGTTCAATAATGTGTTGTTCTCGGACGAGGCTCACTTCCATTTAAACGGGCATGTAAATAAACAAAATTGCCGTTATTGGAGCCCCGAAAATCCAAGGCGTAAGCATCAGAAGCCCTTACACAGCCCTAAAGTTACAGTTTGGGCTGCTATGTCAGGGCATGGCATCGTAGGCCCTTATTTTTTTGAGGACGACAGAGGTCGCGCATTAACTGTTACTTCGGAGCGGTATGTAGCAATGATAGAAGAGTTTTTGACACCAGCGTTGCAGAATTTTCCAGGCTATAATACGCAGACCTGGTTTCAATAGGACGGAGCAACTGCCCACACCTCCAACACTTCTATGCCCGTCGTCTGTCAACTTTTTCCCAGCAAAGTAATTTCTCGAAGAGGAGACATTTCCTGGCCACCACGTAGTCCAGATTTGACCCCAATGGATTTCTTTTTATGGGGCTACCTCAAGAGTAAAGTGTACGACACCACTCCGCGATCAGTTGATGTCCTGAAAGAAAATATCCGAAGAGAAATGGCAAACATTACAGTGTTGACTTGCCGCGCAGTCATCGACAATTTTAGACGTCGTTTATATGAGTGCCGTGATCGTAATGGATTGCATTTAGACGATGTGATTTTTAAAACATAATTCCCATTCAATAAAGATGATAACAAAATATAATAATTCTTCATAATGTAACTAGTTTGGTTTTATTCCTTTTTTTCCAGCTCAAAGAACTTATGGGCCACCCTGTACCATAATATTGAGTGAGTGCGAGTCCGGATTACCTATTTCTGAGACAAATACTGGATATGATACGGCTCGAAATCGTATTCTTCGGATGTGGCGTGACCTCCATGTGAAAAAAATAAAAAGTGTAGACGTCGCGTGCGCCAGTGTCCCTCGTATAGTATTTTGGGCGATGGACTTCATTTCGGTCGCGACGCGTTACCGCCGCGCCAGCTTGTTCCAAAAGACCTGCACTAGCATGCACGTAGTCCTCGAGGGTTTTTTATTTCTCGATAAAATTTTATATACATTTTTTTTTACTTAAGAATGATATAGTCAGAATCACTAAAGATGACCTTCACGTCATACCATAAATTGTACTGAAGTAATCAACGGACGTACGTCGATGATAAAATCACGATTTCAGGAATGATGACAACAAATTTTTTTTGCGGAGTTAGGTGATTTCATTGATTATTTTTATTTTCATTTTGGGTAATAATAATCTTAGTGCGGAGTTTTGAAAACAAAACAGTTATGATTAAAATACCTTAAGACAGAAACACCAAAGACCAAAGTATTATTCGAAAACAACCTAATCTGCTTTAACATAACCTAACTATTCATCTTTCAAATATGATTGATTATGCAACATGAAAACATCGTCTATCTTTGACGGATACATGCAAATTAGTAATACAGTTTGTTTAAACAATAAAATTCTGTTTGTGCCTATCTAGCATATCTGAAACTTCATTAAAAATATTCACAAATCGTTGTCGTTTGTCTTTACTACAGACTAACATGATGACGTAATCGTCATCTTTCGTGATTTCGACTATACAGAAGTCGACGTCAAGCCGAAACCGGGTGTTAGGCAAAGTCATAACAGCTATCAGAAAAATATTTAAAAAAATTTTATGTATGTGTTTTGAAAATTATAGGTCTTTGAAAAAATATAGAAATTTCACACCCTACGGCAGTCTGTCAACTCCTGTTACTACAAATATTAACTTTTTTTGGATTTTATTTTTACAATGTAATGATGAATAATGCATCTTCAAACTGCTGTCTCAACCTTACTGCCAACTTTTCTCGTTCAGGAAAAATTGCCACTTATTTCCCAACCAAGTATTCCAAAGTAAAACTTTGCTCAACTTCAACTGGCTGTACTGGAAAAAAATGTACTACGAGAGTTTGGCAAGTAAGCTTAAAAGTTGGCGCATTTAATAAGGATTCCAAAATGGTATAACACTTAGAAGATTACTCGTTAACTTATGCACAATTTTTATTTGAAGAAAAACTGATGAACATTTTTCAAAATTTCCTAATTAAACAGCGATTATGAAAACGCACAAGGACCCTTAAGGATAAGTGTTTGCACAACAGTGGGCGTCAAAATGCTGCTGATGATGATTTACCTTTACAGCAAATGCTCAAACTGTTTTCCTTCAGCCGCAATACACGCTCGACATCTTAAAAAAGATCGGGTTATTAAACGAGCGAATCCACGGTTATTAACAAACTCAGCTGCTTCTAATAGTCTTTGCCGTAGCTCAGCTACATTTTGAATCGGCTTGAAATACACTTTTTCTTTTACAGTTCCCCAGTAAAAAAAAAATCTAACGGATTCAAATCTGGTGACCGGGCTGGCCACGGTATTGTACCAGACCGCCCTATCCATCTGCCGGGAAAGTTTTGATCGAGATACTCTCTCACTGAGAGTGCATAGTGCGCTGGGCAGCCATCATGCTGAAACCACATGTCCCTGTAAATACTCAGTAGCACGTCCTCCAATAAATTTTCTAAATGATTTTGCAAAAAACCTAAATAAACCTCAGCAGTCAAAGTCTCTGGGAACTCAAACGGACCGATTATTTTACCATTTAAAATTCCTGTCCAATGGTTTATCTTGAAGCGATATTGAGATTTATCTTCTCTCATCAAATGTGGGTTTGCTACGTGCCACTCGTGTAAGTTATGCAGGTTCATGTACCCACCTTTCTTAAATGTGGTCTCATCCGACCATAACATTTTTTCAAGGAACTGTGGATCTTTCCTGTGTCTTTCTAACATTGTGCGGCAAAAAGCAACTCGGGGCTCATAATCCCGGGGCAGGAGAGGTTGAACACGCTGTATGTGGTATCAAGATAAATCATTGGACAGGAATTTTAAATGGTAAAATAATCGGTCCGTTTGAGTTCCCAGAGACTTTGACTGCTGAAGTTTATTTGGATTTTTTGAAAAATCATGTACAAAATTTATTGGTGGACGAGCCACTGAGTATTTACAGGGACATGTGGTTTCAGCATGATGGCTGCCCAGCGCACTATGCACTCTCAGTGAGAGAGTATCTCGATCAAAACTTTCCAGGCAGATGGATAAGGCGGTCTGGTACAATACCGTGGCCAGCCCGATCACCTGATTTGAATCCTTTAGATTTTTTTACTGGGGAACTGTAAAAGAAAAAGTGTATTTCAAGCCGATTCAAAATGTAGCTGAGCTACGGCAAAGACTATTGGAAGCAGCTGAGTTTGTTAATAACCGTGGATTCGCTCGTTTAATAACCCGATCTTTTTTAAGAAGATGTCGAGCGTGTATTGCGGCTGAAGTAAAACAGTTTGAGCATTTGCAGCATCAGCAGCATTTTAACGCCCACTGTTGTGCAAACAGTTATCCCTAAGGGTCCTTGTGCGTGTTCATAATCGCTGTTTAATTAGGAAATTTTGAAAAATATTCATCAGTTTTTTTCAAATAAAAATTGCGCATAAGTTAACGAGTAATCTTCTAAGTGTTATACCATTTTGGAATCGTTATTAAATGCGCCAACTTTTAAGGTTACTTGCCAAACTCTCGTTGTACATTTTTTTCCAGTACAGCCAGTTAAAGTTGAGCAAAGTTTTACTTTGGAATACTTGGTTGGGAAATAAGTGGCAATTTTTCCTGAACGAGAAAAGTTGGCGGTAAGGTTGAGACACCATTTTGAAGATGCATTATTCATCATTACATTGTAAAAATAAAATCCAAAAAAAGTTAATATTTGTAGTAACAGGAGTTGACAGACTGCCGTAGGGTGTGAAATTTCTATATTTTTTTCAAAGACCTCTAATTTTCAAAACACATACATAAAATTTTTCTGATAGCTGTTATGACTTTGCCTATCACCCGGTTTCGGCTTGACGTCGACTTCTGGGACACCCCGTATGTGCTTCTTCGTTTGATTTAAGGTTTGTTCCAATAAGCAGTTCCGAAATAGTTCGGAAATAATTTCGAATTTGTATACGAGCCTACATGCCAGCGCACCGCGGCTGCTATGAGGCGCTGAAAGAATATCTGTTAATCCGATTTCTGAACTAAGATTAGAAGAACTGGGAAAAGCCTCCTCTTGCTGATTGTCCCACAATCTCGACACACTAGGGACAAACGAGCGGTCGTATCACCTCGTAAAAAGCGTGTTGATTTTTCAAATAGTAAAAAAAAGTAATAGATGACGCACCCTGTACTTAACTTGCCCCGCGTACGCTAATGGGGATAGCCAGAGACCAGAGGGGGTTCCAGCGACGCAACGCAGCGGCTACAACCGAGCGTCGCGGTATTTATGTGACTTTATGAATAGTTTCTTCTTCGGTAACCGGCGGTGTCTGGTGTTCGGTGCATCGAGTACGTCGACAGCGACGCGGAGGCACACGCGGAAAAGCGTTCTTTGACGAGGTGAAAAATCCATGCGATCAGCGTACACCTACAACGACGACTCGTTGCGGTGCGGTATTTCCGTTTTTGAGTTAACGTGACAAATCGGATATCATTGTGATTCGTGTTGATATGTCATAGTGCGTGTGGCGACCGGTAAG